TTTTCTCTCTCTCTTTTTTCTTTCTGGAAACATGAGAAGAAGCTGCTTATCTTTGGGAAGACGCTACCTTTGATGCTGATGTAAAAATGTACAGAATGTGTCTAAACTCAATTAAGAAGTGTCTGAAGGGGGAAAAGAAATCACTTAACCTCTTCAAAACACTTCCTTTCCCCATTCTAGAGACGGCTGATGTGGTCTTTGAACAAGAGTAGGAGGGCAGGCGAGAATTGTGCTGAAAATTTGCTTCTTTGAAGTAAATTGCCTACTTCAAACTACTGTCTCTAAGTAGTTTCATAAAGGGGGGAGGATCAAAACTAGCATGAATTACAGTTTAGAGCAAAATAATGTTGCCAATCTGCTCAAGGTAGCACTGGCCACCTTACCTTACCTTCACCTCTCCTTGGCACTGCTCTCGCACAACTGCCTGTTGGAGTTGTACTCAGCTTTCCCCATGTGGTAAACCAGAGAATGGCACATAGCAGCCTTTTCAGGGACGTGCCTTTCACAGACCCTGGACTGCTTCTGCCCATCAAGGCAGGCCATTGGGATCTTCCAGGACAGGCAGGGGCATAAAGAGCTTCCTGTTTCAGTTGAGCCTGGATTGAGAAACAAGGTCTTTCTGACATAGATGGTTCTGGCATAGATGGTTCTGTATCCTTTGGTACTGACTACTCAGCCCTGACTACTGTTGACTATGGTCCAACCCTGACATCACTGAACCAAGGACTGCTATAGTCGACACACTCTCCACACGTGGAGGCACCGTGGAAACTTTAAATATGTTATCCGTCCAATCCCATAATGCTAGCAGTTACCTTTACAGGACACTTAAGAAGAGCCCCCCCCTTAAAATGACTATTTTGGGGAGGAGTTTCCCCAAAACAGTTCAACAATTTGGGTTTGTTCCCAAAGAAAGCTCAACAATTTTGGTGGGTTTCCAAAAATTGCTCAACAACTTTGCAGGTGTCAGGAATTTTAATTTTTGGAATACGGCAACTCTACCTAAGATCATGAATTACCTTGCATGTTTATTTTTTTTAAAAATTAAGGATGGGGGAAGTTGAACAAAAGGCCGCAAAATACGATCTGTAGCATGCAAGTTACTTTTAAATGCAAAAGATGTAAATGCTAATCAAGGTGAAGAATATTTTGCTTCCATAAGAATCAAATTCCTTTAAAGGGTTTCTTTTTTTGTACAAGGAATGTAAATGCTACACTTAAAACAAAATGAAATTTATTTTGTTAAAATAAAATAATATTAGAAACTGGAAGGGTATGTTGTGTGGAATTTAACATTTATCCATACAGCTCTGTACAAAAATATTAACTTTAAACTACAAATACAGAGACATCTATAGACTTAAGTCACATTCAAAAGTTCTGGCTGGTGATGCTGGAAAACAAGACTACATTGAGGATAAGCTCAGTGACCCATTTCAGATGGAGGTATGGGGAGAAGGGTTAGGGACTGAAACCATCCACTGTCTGCCTCTTTTAACACGAATCAATTAATGAAATGGTTTGCTGTTAAATTATAGCCTGCCCTCACACACATGATGTAAATACATGCTTAATTCCCATTGAAACCAGTCAGTTCTGCTCAAATTAAATTGAATTATGCATAAAGAAAAGAAGCGTCTTCAGAGCACAAAACGCCCATAGCACCCTCTGCTGATAAAGAGGGAAGAGAATAAAATTCACAGACAGCAATTCTACAAACATGTTTTTTTTAAAGACTGTTGGGGGGGGATGCATGAAAAATGCATATGACATTAACTGTCATGTAAAGTGATCTATTAAAGAAAATTGTACTTGGAAGTCTACATTCAGAACATCCCAGCCAGATGAAAAGATTCTAACCAAGCAAATACATTTCACAACCTTCCCACATTTCTATTCATCAGTCCAGTATTCATTTTGACATTATTTGATGCCACCACTCAACAGGCCATTGAATTATTCATTTGGCTCTTATTGAAATATTAAGGATGTAATCAATGGAGCACATGGATGCTTAGTAGGCTTGTGTTGAAATGAGATGATGGGACGAACTAGCGTGAACTAGCTAGGATAGGGTACCATTCAGTGTTCGTACAGAGGTGAGATCACAAAAAGCTCTTTTGTTAAGTCTATATATTTAACTTACTATTACTGATCAATGGCAACTGAATACAAGTTAAGAGTCAGGAAGTAGTGGCTCCTAGGCAGCACCCTGATAATGCCATTTGTCAAAACCAAATGTGGACAAGTATATTAAAACAATTCTTTAAAAAGATAGTTTTAAAGGCTCTTCTTAAAAACCTAAAAACTCCCTTAAAAGAATCAAGTCTTCAGAGAAGTTGTATGATCTAAGAAAGTCTTTAAAATAATCCTTCCAAAAGAATTTAAACATTATAAAGTAGCACCTTTGAGACCAACTGAGTAGTTTTAGGTATAAGCTTTCATGTGCATGCACACTTCTTCTGATACCTGGACAAGTAGTAACTGTTGGGACAGGTTTTGCCAGAAGGCCATTATGGAGCATAGATATTGGAGCTGTGACCCATCCAACCACCTTTTCCCCCTACTGGAAAATGTCCTTCAAAAGCAGAGTCCAGCATGACACTACACGACTGCACTATAATTTATTGGCAACTTCCATTCTGTTCAGTCTAGTCAAGCCTGAGAGTATTTTTTTCCACTACAGCATGTAATTGTTCCTCTTTAGGTGTTAAATTAGCATAGGAAGGAAGTATTATCACAAATGATATTTGTGAGTGGATCAGTTTGGCTTCAGCAGAATTGTAAGACATTCTGCTATCATTTGCAAACCCAGCCAGATGGGTAGGGTATAAATAAGAAGTTGTTGTTGTTGTTGTTGTTGTTGTTGTTGTTGTTGTTGTTGTTGTTGTTGTTATAACATCCAGTGTAGATGTTCCATTCCAACTCTGGATACTTCATGCATCTGATGAAGCAAGCTCCAGTCTACAAATGTTTATACCACAATAAATGTGTTAGCATTCAGTTTCTACAGCGTTGTGACTTTGACAGCAGAGAAGGCATTCAGAGGCCCATTTGCCCCACACTTACAGAATTTTGATGTGTTAGCCTGTCAGCTCAAGCTAATTCATTACATCCATTGCAGCTCCAGTGCCCAACACACACACACAAACACACGGCTGCCTTCCTTTTAGCTCAGTATTGTCTACACTGATTGGCAGCTCTCAAGTGTTTCAGGCTAGAGAGGCCAAAAATTGAATCTGTGTCCTTCTACATACAAAGCAGCTGTGCTCCAGTCCTTCCCCACCAGAGCTCTAAGGGCCAAACTATATATTGCTTTTTCTTTGTTTTAGTGGCTCTCATTTTTCTATGTAAGCTGCCTTGAGTCCCAACAGGGAAAATGGGGGGTGGGGTATAAATAAATCTTTAACAATAATAATAATAATAATAATAATAATTTGATTTCATATCTTTGCCCTTAAGTGTAACATAAGGTGTAACATAAATTGCCAATGAAAGGAGTCTATCTAGAATCGAAATGTAGTGGGGAGTAGGAGGGCTTTAGCCTTTGACAGCCTTCCTGCAATGGCCTGTTTTTGAATCAACCCTTGATTGCTGGCAGTTAGCATACTGGGGAAAACTTCTCATTTGTTTTCATTTTAAAACTCACATGAAAACTAATTTTAAGATGCTTCGTACTGTTGTTTTTAAAAACATAGTAGTCGACTTTGGAATTGCTCAGAGCATGCCCTGAGATCTACTGTGATGACAGTTTTAATAAAGCAGCAGCTACGTGCCACCAAGCCTAGCTTGGTGCTGCCTTTTAAATAGGATTGTTTGTCTAGAAATGCAAGCAAAGGCCAGTCTCTGGACTAGAAGAGGCACCTTTTGATTGCACACACTGAACTGAATCCCTAATAAATTTCCCCACACCTTTGTCTGAACCAAGGGAGGCAAAGGTCTGCATTTTCTCACAAGCATGTACAAGCCTCATCCCAAGTCATATGGCTTTCAGCCTCAGAATCTCACTCTTTATTGACTTAAAGAGTTTGTCTGAGTGACAATGGACATCACTGATTTGTTACTTCTGTCATCTTTGCTACCAGTGCGCTTTACTTCAGATCAAAGTCAAAAGCCTATCTAAAATATATATATATTACAAATACAAACCACAGTGACAAATAGTATGCTTTGTTTGACATTGCAAAGCAAACAAGAAATTGCTTTCAATAACAAAGAGAAAGAATCCCCTCTTTTCAGTCCTAATTCTAAAGCCTGAAATGCTATGAACTAGAGGTTTACTTCACGCTCAAGGAATGAGCCCCTTTCAAAAATATAACTAGCCTGACAAAAGTTAAACTGGAATTGCAATGTTGAGGTTTTTTTCAAAATTGTGTACTAAGAAAATGAAAATAATTAGCTTCCCATCAGCAGAAAGTATTTCTTTTAGCAGTTTGTTTATTAGAGCCAATACAGTAACATACATGCAACTGCAGGAAATAAAATACCCATGAACACATAAAATAACCCCCAATAATTAAACAAACATTGAAAAATACATACAAATACCAGTAGTATTTGCATACCTATTCTGATTTAGATGCAGCTCAACAGCCTTGAACCTATGCTGTCCTAGATTTCAAAGCCAAAATTCTATGATCAGGAAATCCCAAACTATGGGAATTCAGGACTCACAAAATAAACCATGCAAACACACTAATTTTGCACTCAATTTTATTTGACCTAAATATTGCAACAATGGTTGGTTAGTAGTAGCCTCAACAGTTTAAAATAACATCAGGCCTTCTTGGAATACCTACACTAAGCTAGATATTGAACTGCAAAATAGTGCACTTGGGAGCAGTACAATGAAAACATAGCTTATACTCATGAATGTGACCCAGATGTGCACATAATTCCTGCAGGGTCAAGCTTCTCATCAGGGCCAGCACATCCCGAGTCAGCACCCCTGTGGGTGGTGAAGTTGCATTGGCATCGGCACAACATCTTGCTGAAATTGCATGAGATCTTGCGGAGTGCACAAGATTTTCCTGGAAATCGGTGAGCTCTCACCAGCAATCGGCAATGCTTCTCCACCAGTGACAGCAGCAGTATGGCCGAAGCTGGGAGGAATGGCAACAACAGCAGGGCAGGATGGCACTTCTCATTTCACCTCCAACAGCAAAACAAGACACACTGTTCCTGCTCCTCATTCATTTCAATAGAGGCTGATCTGTACACATGTTTCCATAATCATAAAGGAATAGCAGGCTTCCTCAAACTCAGCCCTCCATATGTTTTTGGCCTACAACTCCAATAAGGCAAATAACAGTTTCATAATAACCCTGCTTTGAAGTTCCATCTGCAACATGTATACCAATGTTGAAGGCCATGGCCCTCTTGTTGTATTGCTGGCCACACTGTTAATCTGTCTGTTTAGCTAGCAGGGTTGCATGTCTACGCTCACAGTTGTTACAGGCATGCCACTCAAGCCAGGAGTATCAAGGGGTGTGGCCTGCAGGCACAACCCAACTCTCCCTTTGGTCCAGTGAACCTATGAGGGGCTCATCTTCACACTAATGATATATGGGATTGTGTGCATGAGCAGGGAAAAATATAAAGCAGGGATAGCCAGTGTGATGCTCTCTTTTGGTTACTGTATTTTTATTCTCTTTCACTCTGCTATACACATTTGGATAATGTGCTTTAAGTGCTTTTTATTTTGTTTCCTTGGCACTGGTCACTTACTGCAGCAATCAAGGTTTGATTTGAATTTATATCCCATACTTTCAACATCAACCTATGTTCTCATGGCAAATAACAAAATAGTAAGAAAGCAAATGTACAATTTTAAATAGTAATAATGAAAATATAATGCACACAAATGATCACAGCGAACAACCTAGTCAAATAGAGTAAAATTAAATTGTCCTAAGTGCCAGGGACGCAGGTGGCACTGCGGGTTAAACCACAGAGCCTAGGAGGTGCCGATCAGAAGGTCGGCGGTTCGAATCCCCGCAACAGGGTGAGCTCCCGTTGCTCAGTCCCTGCTCCTGCCAACCTAGCAGTTCAAAAGCACGTCAAAGTGCAAGTACCGTAGATAAATAGGTACCACTCTGGCGGGAAGGTAAACGGCTTTTCCGTGCGCTGCTCTGGTTCACCAGAAGCGGCTTAGTCATGCTGGCCATGTGACCCAGAAGCTGTACACCGGCTCCCTTGGCCAATAAAGCGAGATGAGCGCCGCAACCCCAGAGTCGGCCACGACTGGGCCTAATGGTCAGGGGTCCCTTTACCTTTACCTTTAAGTGCCATGACTCAATGGCACAGGACCTGCTTTGCATGCACAAAGACCCAGATTCAACCCGGGAGACCCCAGTTGAAAACCCTGAAGAATGTCACAGCCAGTCAGTGTAGACTTTCGAGAGGACCCAGTGCAGAATAACACAGAATCAGTCTGCAGTGAGCTTTTATTTTCAGAAAGAAATCAGTTTTCCAAGAAGCGCTTTTTGGGGCAAAAAATATGCGATAGCTCTCGACTGTGGGTAGACTACATAGCAAAAACAAGGACTGTCTCCATGCAGTCCTGGAGGGATGCGCGTGCATACAGCCTCAGTATAGGGCAGAATCCTATGCTCCTTAAAATGCTTACCGGTACTTTGGTAACTCTTAAAAACCTGAGGAAAGAGAAATAGGGAGCGTCTACAAAGCAAGTGCTCACTATTGGCTACTCTTAACTAGGAGAATGAGGGGTCTCGTAGACCGACCACCCTCCAGCTCTCTTCCAAACAAACCACGTTCTACTGCGGTCTCCTAACAAAATAAGCAGCAGCAGCAGCATTCAATGTAAACCACGCGCCGGATCCCCCTGAGCCGCCCACCGCCAGAGGTGCGTATGCGCCTGCGCCTTCCCTCTTCCTCGCCGCTTTGCGTCTCGTCCCGCGCGCCGCAGACGTTCGTTCCGTCGGTCGCTCGCGTGCGTGCGCTGAAACCTCCAATCACAACGAATCTCTCTCGCTCGCGCTCAACCGTCTCCGTCGCCGGTGGGCGCGCGCGCGCGGGCACACTGTCTGTTTGGGCGAGCCTGGTCGCTTAGCAACCGGCGCGTGGCCGAGCCTGAGGGGGGGGAAAGAGCGGTTGACCAGGTCGGAGTGTTGGAGGGGCGAGGGAGAGAAACGTCGCGGGAGGCAGGCAAGCTGAGGGGGGAAATCCGGAGCGGGGGCACTACTGTTAATCTGTTTATTTCATCATTCATATCCAAGAGTTTGCTCGTTTCCTCCTCCCTCCTGACCCTTTTTCCTTTTCTTTTATGTAGCACAACCCTGAGGGCAGGGACTTTTCTTTAGCCGTTTGTAAGCCGCTCTGGAGCCTTCCCTCCACCCTTTTCTGAAGAGCGGGGTAAAAATTCGTTAAATGAAATAAAACCAACATCTCGCCTTTCTTCCAAGATGCTTCAAGCAGCGCACGTCGTCCTCTTTCCCCATTATCCTAACGAGAAGCCTGGGAGGTAACTTCGGCAGATTGGTCACCATCTGTGAGCTGCTTGGCTGATGGTGGAAGTTTGAAAAAGTCTCCCTTGTCCTGATGGGACACTCTTAGCCAGGGGTCAGCAAACCTTTTCAGCAGGGGGCCGGTCCACTGTCCATCAGACCTAGTGGGGGGCCGGACTATATTTTGGAGGGGGAAAAGAGCGAATTCCTATGCCCCACAAATAACCCAGAGATGCATTTTAAATAAAAGGGCACATTCTACTCATGTAAAAACACGCTGATTCCTGGACCGTCCACGGGCTGGATTGGGCCCCCGGGCCTTAGTTTGCCTACCCATGCTCTTAACTAACCGCTCAGGGGTGCCAACTTGAATAAAATGTGGGGGGCAGTTAAGCCCTGCCCTGCGTATTCGATCACTTGACACGATGCATGCACAAACCATTCGAAAGGCAATTCCCATCAACTTTGGGAGGGGGAGGGAACCCTCAAATAATTTATTGGGGGGGGGAGCAAAGGGACCTCAACCCCTAGGAGTTTGCTCCTATGACACCACTGGACTCTTTGTAAAGTTTTTCTGTTTCATTTATGCTATGCGATTCATTCTCAAAGTGCTTTACAATAATTTTAAATTGGGATGCGAAAATATGTAGCCCTCTATTTTTATTTATTGAATTTATATACCACCCTTTACCTGTGGGTCTCAGGGCAGTTCACAGAATAAAATCAAGATATGAAACCACAAAATGCATAATAAAAATAAAAACAAGCCAGTAGCCCCACCCCCAAAAAACCACATTTTATAAGGGCATAGCAACTCCCCTCACCGTTAGCTGAGGTGGTGTCCAACTACACCTAGAGAGATCCCCGATTTAAAATGATAAGATAAATCAGGGGTGACACTCACCTTTTGGAATCACAGCAAGGGACCTGTGAGAATGATTAGTAAAAACATTATTTTTTGAAAGTTGGTTGGCGCTGAATTCCAACAACGACCGGAGGGAGCCCTAATTTAAAACACCCAGCTGTTAAACCAGGGGTGGATAACCTTTTGCACCCATGGTCAGCACCCCAGAGGCTGCCTGTCAAAATTTCACAGGACCAATTCTTGATTTATTTTGAAAAGGACAAATTTAGAGGTACGGGTCACAACGCAGATTGACATCACAGTGATCTTTTTTTAAATGGAGAGATTCTAGAGGACTGGGTTTTTTAAAAATAATAATAATAATAAACCTTTTAGCACCACAGTATTAGAGCCGGGGACCTATGGGATCAGTGAGTAAAAACATTTAAATTTAATTTTAAATTTTAAAAAGATGGAAAAGTTGGGAGGAGCGTGCAAAACCTTCTGGTATTATGGTATCCAAGTGAGGAACCCAGAGGAAGAATCAGTTTTATAAAAAGCAAATCAAACTTTTATTTGGTATCACAGTAAAATGAAGAGTCCCCTGCACCAAGGAAGTTACATACTGTATTCCAAAGTTTGCTATAGAAGAGGAAGATGGCAAAGGAAGATTACACATCCATTTCAGATGTCCTTATTTAGGCTTAGCTTCAGTAGGAAGATGTAGATTAAAAGGCTGTGATGAAAAATATGAACAGGTAGAAGTAGTATAGAGCACAGCTCGGAAACCTATTGCCCTACAGATGTTGTGGACTACAATTCTCATTTCCCCTGACTATAGGCCTTTTAGACTGAGGGTGGTGGGAGTGAGAGTACACCAATATTTAGAAGGCCATTGGCTTCCCAGCATTCATCTGGACAGAGCCTGGCCCAGCCAGTCTGGCAGGTGCACAATGCAATACTAGTTACCTGCCAGACAATGTTTTTGTTGATCAGTTTAGTGACAGTTGGAGGAGAGCTACATTGTACTTGAGCTTTTTAAAAAATCAGGATAAAATTGGATTCTTGTTAATGCATCTTATGTGTTCATAAGATTAAGAGGTTGTATATAGAGGGAAGTAGAGGGGGGTGATCGAAGTAGGAATCATAAATAAAGCACAGTGTTATGGGGTGTTGGGTGCCAGTAGAGGGAAAACCACAATGGACACAATCACACAATCCACTAACAGTCTGTTCTGAAGTCCCCCTGAAAGAAATGATGCTTAGCTTAGTTACAACAAACTCACATCCCGTTGCTTTCAAAGGGATTTAGTTGCAATTATCTTTTACTAGATTTTGTCTAATTAAATGTTGCTGCTCAGTCCTGTCCATGCTTTGGTGCACGTCCTATTGATTTAAAGTAATAATTGCTTCAAGTAACTATGCTTGGAATTATATTTTTTTTTTTTTTAAAGCAATTTATTGGGTTTTACAATAGGAATAAATGTAATAAACAATATAGCATTCGTCTTAACATAATTTCACATTTTCTTTGGACTTCCTCACATCTCCCGCTCCCACCTTCATCATTATAACATTTTGTCAGCAATTTATCATCTTATTTAAATTCTTATATCTCTTCGATATTTCATAATCTTAAAGTTCTCATAAAGAGTTAAACTTTCACAATTTTTCTTGTTTCCTTAAAAATTTCTAAGTTAAGTGGTGCTCAGTTATTTAGTCCAGCATCTTATTCAGCATTCAATCAAATCACAATGTTTTTGTAGGTAGTTCTTAAATTTCTTCCAATCCTCCTCGATTCTCTCTTCTCCCAGGTCACGGATTCTGCCAGTCATTTCAGCCAGTTGCATATAGTCTATCAGTTGCATCTGCCATTCTTCCAGTGTGGGTAGATCTTGGGTTTTCCAATGTTTTGCGAGTAGTATCCTTGCTGCTGTTGTTGCATACATAAAAATGTCTGGTCCTTCTTTGCCACCCCTTGGCTGACAATACCCAAAAGGAAAGCCTCTGGTTTCTTAGTGAAAGTATATTTAAATACCTTTTTCAATTCATTATAAATCATTTCCCAGAACGCCTTCACTTTAGGGCATGTCCACCAGAGGTGAAAGAACGTTCCTTCACACTCTTTGCATTTCCAGCACTTGTTATCAGACAGGTGGTAAATTTTTGCGAGTTTGACTGGGGTCATATACCATCTATAAATCATTTTCATTACATTTTCTTTCAAAGCATTACATGCAGTAAATTTCAATCCATTACTCCACAGCCTTTCCCAGTCCTCAAACATAATATTATACCCAATATCCTGTGCCCACCTTATCATAGCCGATTTAACCATTTCATCTTGTGTATTCCATTCCAACAGCAAGTTATACATCCTTGAAAGTATCTTAGTCTTTGGTTCTAACAATTCTGTTTCTAATTTCGATTTCTCCACCTGGAACCCTAGTTTCTTATCACTTTTAAAAACTTCTTTAATCTGAGCATAGTGTAACCAATCTCGCACTTTGTCTTTCATTTTCTCCAAGCTCTGCAATTTCCAATTGTCTCCATCTTTTCTAGTATTTCCCAATATTTTGGCCATTTGGCCTCCATATTGGGTCTTTTTCGAGCCTTAGCTTCCAAAGGTGAAAGCCACCTTGGTGTTTTATTTTCCAGCAAGTCTTTATATTTTGTCCAGACATTAAACAGTGATTTTCTAACAATATGGTTCTTAAAGGCCTTATTTGCTTTAACTTTGTCATACCATAAATATGCATGCCATCCAAAAACATTGTTAAACCCCTCCAAATCTAACACATCAGTGTCTTCAAGAAGTAGCCAGTCTTTTAGCCAGCAGAACGCTGCGGCTTCATAGTACAACTTTAAGTCCGGCAGGGCAAAGCCCCTCTTTGTTTTGCATCGGTTAGTATCTTAAACTTAATTCTGGGCTTTTGCCCTGCCAGACAAACTTCGAAATGTCTCTCTGCCACTTCTGAAAGCACTCCATTTTGTCCAATACCTGCAGTGTTTGAAATAAAAACAACATTCTTGGCAATACATTCATCTTAATCGCAGCAATTCGGCCTAACAAAGAAAGTTTCAATTTTGACCAACTGTCTAAGTCTCTCTTAATTTCTGTCCAACATTTTTCATAATTATCCTTAAATAGACTTAGATTTTTGCTGTTATGTTTACCCCTAGGTATTTTACTTTTTAACCACATTAAGTTCCGTCTCATTCTGAAACCGTTCTGACTCTGTCTCAGTCAGATTTTTCCCCAAAACCTTAGTTTTCTGTTTGTTTAATTTAAATCCCGCCACCCGACCAAAATCATTAATCAATTGTAATACTCTTTTCGTACTAGGCTCTGGCTTCTGCAAGGTCAAAACCAGGTCATCTGCAAAAGCTTTTAATTTATATTGTTTCTGACCAACCTGAATTCCTTCCACCAGCTGGTCCCCTCTAATCATGTTCAATAGCACTTCCAGGACCGAAATAAATAACAAAGGGAAATAGGGCAACCTTGTCGTGTCCCTTTTTCAATTTTGAACTCTTCTGTAACCACATTATTAACTATCAGTTTTGCTTTCTGTTCTGAATATATCGCCTCAATCCCATTCTCAAAACCCCGTCCCACTCCCATCTCTTTTAAGTTTCCCATCATAAATTTCCAAGAAATGTTATCAAAGGCCTTCTCCGCATCTATAAAAATTAAAACAGCTTTTGTATTTATGTCAGTTTGGAGAAGTTCCAAAATATCAATAATGTTCCTTGTGTTAGCAAACAAATGTCTACCTGGGAGAAAACCGGCCTGGTCCTTATGAATTACTTCATTTAAAACTTTTTAAATCTACTTGCCAAAATATCTGCAAATATTTTGTAATCCACATTTAAAAGGGAGATGGGACGGTAGTTCTTCAGTTGTGTCTTTTCAGTTTCTGACTTTGGTATCAATGTGATAAACGCTTCCTTCCACGAATCCGGTGCCCTCTTCCCCTCCATAATTTCATTGCTAACCTCCATCAAGGGTTGTATCAAATAGTCTTTTAGTGTCTTGTAATACTTGGAGGTCAGCCCGTCTGGCCCTGGAGATTTGCCAAGTTGCATGTTCTGAATAGCTTGTTCAATCTCCTGTCGTGTTATTTTAGAGTTCAGGATTGTCCTATTTTCTTGTGACAGTTTAGATAATCCATTTTTGCCAAAAATTGTTTAATCTCAACTTCGTCTTACGACCCTTGGGTATATAATTTTTAAAATATCTCTGGAAACACTTTCTAATGTCCACTGGATTCTGAATGTTTCTTCCATCAACCTCTAAATTTGTAACCGTGTTTAATCTTTGTCTTCTCTTCAACTGCCAGGATAGCAGTTTTCCACATTTATTCGCCGACTCAAACGTTTGTTTCATTAATTTGATCTTCCATTCAATTTCCTGATTTATCAATTTAGAATACTGTGTTTGATACAGTTTAATTTCTCTCAGAGTTGGCTGTGACTTTGGATTCACTCTTAATTTCTTCTCTAATTCTTTTATTTTATCCAAAATCTTGTCTTTTTTCTCATTTTGTGTTTTTTTCTTTACTATGCTTGGAATTATATCCTTAAGATAGTAATGTGGTGCATATTTACAGATAATTCGCAAAAAAAAAAGTAAGATTTTTGGTTACAGCAAAGATTAGCAAATGGGGAGGCCAAGGTTTCTGATTAATAAGAAGATACCATGAGTGTAGAGGTAGTACTGGGAGACAATTAGAAACAGAAGATGACCGAGAAAGAAGATTTTTATATTGTGGAAGAATAAAGGAACTAGTAGCTCATCTAGTCAGTCATGCTTTGAATATTATTAAAGAAGAAGTCAAGAGGAAATCTTAAGTTAATAAATTATTTTTTATCTAATAGAAAATGTAGACTATTTGAAACATTTTAGAAGAAAGCAGCTTGCTTCAGGTTTTGGTCAACCATCTAGGATGTCCAAGCAACAATGAAAAATAATGTTAAACCTGTGACATGGAAACTGTTGGAACAATTGAAGAACTGAGAAATGTATTTTGTAAGAGCTCACTTAAGTCTTTGAGAGGTCAGCTCTTCCAAATATATTCCTGAAGACTTTTTGTCCACCACATATGTCACCAGAAATAGGCATGCCTGTTTTATAGCATTCAGCTGTGATGCTGAAACTGACTCATGGCATAATAGACGGGCCCCACCTGTCTCATAGAGCAACTTCAACATGTGCCAGTGTGCTACATACACATTATATTTTGGGTTATCATTCCAATTACTTCTCTAGTGTTTGTATTTGTTGTTTTAGGACACAGTTTTGACAGTCTGTTCTATCAAATGTTTAGATCAGTGAAGCATCCTTCCATACTGAAGATAACGAAATCATCATTGCCTCCAGTTCCATGATGCAAACAAAGTATAGCAAGGTGCATGAATTGTATGGTTGTAAAACATGCTAAAAATTGTAACTTTTACAATAAGGTATTATAAATAGGCCCATTTGATGTATGTAGAATATTATCTACTGACATGGGGTTTTTTTAATGTGTAGTTGCTTTGGAAGGCAAGAGTAGCCTAAGGTTTGGTTTTTAATTACATCGAAACAAAATATGTTTAGGCATGTCAAACTTTTATAGTTCATAATGAGTTTATTGCACATAATAATTATGGGTTCAGTAATTAAAAGTTTAAAAATTGCTGCTATTTTATTTAATATAAATGATAAATCAAAGATTTCTTTTGCCTTTATATAAGTAAAAGTTAGGATGTGTCAAACATCAATCTTATGTTTCATATTATGGTAATTGTATATTAGTAAGACTTCAAGCATGGGAGTTGTAAGAGTATAAAGCCTCTGTCAAGTGAAAAAACCATCATTGGCTAAGGGCTGAATTTCTTTTGTTGTTTAATATGCAGTACATAACGTACACATACAGAAGTAATTTATAATAATAATTATGAAACTTTATTTAGGGGAGTTCCTCCAAACGAGACTCTGTAGCACTTATCGCCGTGGCATTACAAGATCACATTTTACATAATCTTCAGCTGCAGAATCTTTCATTAGCAGATCCTTTTAAGTCAAAGACACAGAGTAAAAAGAATTCATACAAACCTGTGAAGAAGGAGACAGTCAGAGCAGTAGTTGATACTGGACTAAAGAAAACAAGCAGGCACCAACAAAAAAATGAAGATCCAGAAAAGGAGTATGTTCTTGATCCTTGTCCTCAGCCTCTCACGTTAGGTAAATTATGTTACAATGTGTTATTTGAAAGAATATTAATTAAATTATAATAAGTATTTTTTTTCCATATTGCAACAAAGCAGAAGAAGAGTCCTACTTGTCCTTACAAGTAGACCCATGTAGTCTGCACTGTTTGGAAGCTTATGAGCAGGGCACAAAGATAGCCTGACCTGGTTTGCCTAAGCATCTACTATTCAGAGAAAATACTGTCTCTGAGCATGGAGGTTCTAAATATGATAAGTAGAAGGAAACTTTTAAAGACCAAGGCTAATTCATTTCAAGACTTAGAGTAAAAATTAAAAAAAAATTGGTAGGGATGTGAAAACCTAATTTGTGAAGTGATATGGCTATGATTACCTTCAGTTGAAATGTAATAAATTACAGTGGTTGAGGGGGGAAACCGCATAAGGTGCTGACTATATCTTTGATAATTGTGTTCACTCATTATGTTTGCGAACACAAAGAGGTATCTCACGAAGGCTAGGACTTACTTGCATGCATAATATACTGTGTGACTTCATCCTTTAAAATAGTAGCTCTGGCTTTGGGTTAAGGGGCAATGTCTTTAAAAGAATGTATTGTTTCCTCCTCACCCATATATGTAAATTGCCACTGTGATAAAGAATAGCAAAAGACAATCCTTCCAGAATAAATAACTTTTTGAAAGAGAGTTCTTTATATCAGTGAACTGAAAATACAGTGCAATTAAACTGTATTAGCACCATCTAGAGTTGTATTATTACTGCAGGTGGGATAAGCACTTGGGCAACTATTGCTTTTTCAAAAGGCAGTTACTAGTCTGGGCATAAAACTTTTACTTAACCTTTACCTCCCCCTTGCTCAAAACTTTACAAGTTATGTTTTCATAATGATTTTAGGGCAAACCCATGAATAATGCCTGTAGTTAAACACTTCAAATCAAGAAGCAGACGTGTCTCATAATAAAAACACATGGATGCAGAAGCTTAGAATCCTGCCTCAGGAAACAGGAGTTGCACAGGCAACACATAATATTGCCATGAGATAACATGTTATATTATCTGGCAATCAGGAAGGCCTGCCCAGCTCAAATGTCTACACGTTTCTGACTCCTAAAGTTTCTAGCTCACTCTTATTAACCCAATAACAGAAAAGCATTTAGCCTTTCTTTCCCTTTCAATCCCTTCCCCCGGCACTTAAAAAAATGTGACTCAAGCATTTCCAGAGGTTTAACACTCTAATCCTGCAAGCACATTAGATACTTACAGGTATGTTTAGAAGTCTGCAACTGGAAGCTCATTAAGATATGTAGGTATGCAATCACATAACTCTCTGGGCAAAGGGACTTCATAGTTCAACCCTGCCAAAAATTGTTAAGATCTTGGTTTCCGTACATCATCCTACATCTTGGACCTCTTCTGCAGCTTTCTTTCTGCTAATATCTCAACTGCATTTTTTTAAAAGCATCTTACATTTGTTTGTGTATTTAAAGCACTTGCACCCCACCTTTAAGCTGCACAGCAAATGCCCATGCAAATAAAAAGCCCTCAGAATTGGGAGGGATCCAGATTGGACATGCACACAAATCTCTGGCGCAGTCATACTGTATAGGCCCAAACTGGGCTTGCTGCTGCTATTGTGCAATATATGAGGAAAGTCAATTCATATATGACAAAGGATTTCTCAGAAACATTAAAGCCTGCTACATCTTTCAGAACTGCAAAAAGGATTAATAACTGCCTTCAAAGAACACTTCATTGAACTGGCTTGATGACCAAGATACTAGGTGGAAGGGTGAATCACACCTTCTGCTGGTTCAAACAAATAAGCCTCCAAGTTCCAAGAAATTTACAGTCAGTTGATCAGTCTGCATTTGTTTAATTGTTCACTGCACTTTCTGTGAGTCATAACATGGAATGGTTTCCGTGCTATTGTAGGTAAATACAAATATACATACAGGGATGGGATCTGAAGTCTACAAACTAAGATGTTCTGACCATCTAATTTTGATTCAGGATTTTGTTTGTTGGCACCCTGCACTGCACATATTCTCTCAGTAACTTCAGTTGAAGAGTTGTCAGAGGTTTTGCTTGCCTGAAAAAAATATAGTTTACCTGTTGCGTGCTGCTTTCAGATGGCACATCTGCCACTCTGAATAAGTGAGACTTAAGGGTTCATAAAACAAATCAATTAATTTTTCATTTAAATGTAGATTTTAATATTCAGATTAGTAATAAATTTAATATGTGCACATGCACAAAGCATTAATTTTTGGTGGTTTCTTGTGGGACTAAAGCCAGCCTGCACACTGTCTGAAATAACGCTGCCCAACAGAATTCCATTTTAAAAAGGGACAAATAAAGTTTAATTCACTGATTGCCTATTATTCTGTTACTTTCATCGGAGCCATTATTTTCAAACCTGTGCTGGCATGGTATATGGATGTATGTTTGTATACAGAGAAGGAGGAAAGCTTCCATGAGGAAAAAGCTTTAATGTGTGTCAATGTCATTACCATATTTTGGACTTTGTGTCTATAGCTCAGCAACTTGGGTTGGTGGAACCTCCTGCCATGCCACTAACCATTGAGGAATGGGAGCATGTGAAACAACGATCCATAAAACAAGGAGATTCAGTTCAACCTTGTGCCATATGCAGAGAAGAATTTGCACTTCAGCCACAGGTATTTTGTCTGTCTTAGCATTAAGTCAGCTATCCTATGAATATGTTGAAATATGGACTGAAATCACAGTCAAAGCGTTGGGAGAGGATAGCAAAACTTAAATTATATCATTTTGCCACTGCACAGGGTCTTTTTGTATCAATGTGTATTCATAGAATGTATGCTGAAGTTGGGCATAGGAAAAGTTGGACCACTTCCCAATGTTTCTGAGAGAATGGAATAGTTTGCTACTCCTGAGCAAGCACTGAATTCCTCTTCCCCAAGTAGTCTTCTGTCAACAAAGAGCTGGAACATGCTTTTTAATACAGAGTACCTTGTGTAGCTACTATAAATAGCTCAGGTCTAGGCCTTGTGAAATAGCTCAAAGTTGCACCATTTTTGTAAACCGGGAGGGGGGGAGAGAAGCAGGCCACAGGAGTTGAAAAACTTTAGAAGAAGATCCTTAAGTTTATTTATTATAGTCAATAATAATAATAAGTTTTTATTATTATCCCCACCACACCATTTCCTGAGCAGAGTTCATGATCATTTTTAGGAATTTCGATTGTACTAAGGTAGAATTTCTTAATTGCTTGCAATCACGCTTTTAAGAAAGGGAAAGCCAATATAGGTTAGGAAATAACTTTTAAAAGTAGTTACTGCAACTTTTTGTTCTTGATCTGAAGTTGCAGATTGTTATTCTAGCCAAATCCCCCAAATTGTTAATGTAAGTTTTGCTAGATAAAGAATTACAAATTGTGATTGAGCCCTAAATATTCTATTTCTTCAATGAAAGCTATTTATCTGACATGCCATTGGCAATTTTCACTAGTTATACCAAGAGTAGTATATATTTTTTGAACTTTTAAGTTTCACAAGATGTTTTTATTCTCTCTTAACAGGTGTTGCTGTCATGTTCTCATGTGTTTCACAAAGTAAGTAAACCCTACGTTTATTAAAAGTGAAATGTGCATCAAAGCAGTCTTGTACATTGTAGAACTAATGTGAATTTAAAGTGTTGAAGTCAGGCTTTTGTTTCTAAGATTCACAAGTTGAAATAATTTGAGGATATACTGTTTTGAGATGGTTGCTCTTTCTTGTAACACTAAGCCAAGCTGTGGTTTAGCAGGAATAATGAACTGCTGGAGAAAAGATTCTGGCTGTTTTGCTCCTCCTCTGTTCCTGATGCTGCTGCTGCTGCTGTAAGCTTAGCTGCAGTTCAACCTAGTGTGTTGCCCAAACCCAGACTCATGATTTGTCTCCTCAGCACAACAATGGCATGTTGTAAATCATGAACCTATCTTGGTTTACAGAGCATAGCTTATCTGAAGCAAGATAAACCATGAGCCCAGGTTCAGATGATGTGCTGAATTAAACCATGGCTTAGTTCTCCATGGTAGGATTGAAGAATGAACAAAGTAATTGTGATCTCCAAGAGAGCACACTAAGCCATGGTTTGGCTTAGCTTTACATGCGAGATGGATCAGTGTCCTTTATCTTATTGTGAAATGTTATCATTCATATATATAAAGGCAAACGTACCACAATTGCATGTAGTTATGCACTCTTGAGGTTCTAGTTATGTCAGTGGACCTAGTGTTGCATTCCATTTAATAGTTAAGTGTATCAGAATCAACAATGTGCAAGATTTAACTGTGTATAAGAATAAACAATTTGCAAGGTGGCTCTTTATTTACTCTAGCTGCTTCATAGTTATTTTATTACAGTAGTTTTATTAATATTCTGATGTTCCTCTTTAAAGAGCCAACACTGTTTATTAAAGTAAATCTGGAATTGGCAGTCTGAGTAGTGCTCTAATAAGGATGGCAAAAAGTGCCTAGACAACATGGAAGTATAGGAAGAACAGAAACAGATCAGGAATTGTAGGAACTCCTCTCCCCATTCCAATTCCATTACTTTGAAATAACCCGTTTCCACAATTTTAGCATCATGTACATTCACTTTCCCCTGATGCTAGTTCCTGTGCAAGCTTTGCATAAATTGTACCCACAAACTCATATGTATAAAGATGGTGGGGTGGTGGGGGAGAACACATTTCAAGCAGATTTAAAGGTAAAACTGAATGTTATTTTTCTAGGCATGCCTGAAAGCTTTTGAAAGATTTGCAGGTAAAAAGACCTGTCCAATGTGTAGAAAGATCCAGTATCAGACCCGAGTAATTCATGATGGAGCACGCCTATTTAAAATAAAGTGTGCTACAAGGTAAGGATGACTGGCAAATGACAAAACTGTTTTCACTGAGAAACATTTATTGGAAGATCTGCATACACAGAAGACACTACACAGTGATGGGTGCAATGTTATACCAAAGCTAGAGAATGATACTTTAACCTTTTTTATTTACATTTTAATGGTTAACATTTAATTTTTACAATTTAATCATCTCTTATTTAAGCAGAGATGCAAAGCTTCTATGCAAATTTTCACTTTGAGGCAGATACTAAGTTAAGGTTGATTTTGCTCAGAAAATGTGTGATCATTTTCCAGGCTCATTCCAGACCACCATGTGGTTCATGCAAGTGCCTCTACTGGCGCAGTGGAACAGTAGTTACTACGAAACTACTAGAAATTTAAAAAGCTCAACAACTTCAATCCTAAAAAAAGCGCAACAACTTTGGTCGGCCCCCACGGCCCTTCACTTCATCAAATCTGGCCCTCTTTGAAAAAAGTTTGGACACCACTGCTTTTGATGGTAGATGTATGCAAAACCAAATGACCTGCTAGCAAGATTTTAAAGATAAAAGAAAGACCATAATTTTCTACTTATAGAAAATTTTTCTAACTTGTAGTAGCAGTAATTGGTGTGAAATAGTAAAAAATGGAAGTGTCTAGTCAGGAGCTCGCAGTCAAGGGTTGTGTTTTGCTGCTGTAGGAGAGCCTGTCTTGTTCTAGTAGTGGTGGAAGACGAAAAACAATAAGTGGTGCAAATGCATTCTGGATGCATGGTGGCCACATAAATTTGCTTAGCAGTTTTGGCTCCATTTAATAGAGAGCCATTCCTCTAAAGTAGCCACCGCTGACAGAAATGAGCTCTTTTTTCATCCTACAGTGGTGCCTCGCAAGACGAAATTAATTCGTTCTGCGAGTTTTTTCATCTTGCGGTTTTTTTCGTCTTGCGAAGCACGGTGTCGGAAAAGTTTTGGAAAAGCTTCAAAAATCACCAAAGTCTTCATAAACCTCAAAAAAGGCTACCATACCGCGTGCTATGAGTTGCTCCTCGAAGTCAAGTCGCAACTGTATTAACAGTTTTAAGAAAAAGGAAACAAACTTGCAAGACGTTTCTGTCTTGCGAAGCAAGCCCATAGGGAAAATCGTCTAGTGAAGCAACTCAAAAAACCAAAAACCCTTTCGTTTTGCGAGGCATTCGTCTTGCGAGGTACCACTGTATTTGTTAGTCCCAAGATAGGAGCCACCAAAGCTCGCAAAGCCCTATTTCTAGCCTTCATTCTGGGTGTTTTAATCTGTATCTTTTCTTGCTACAGAATTCAAGCTTTTTGGCGGGGGCATATTGTTAGGAAATGGTATAAAAAGCTAAGAAAAACAGTGCCTCCAAAAGATGCCAAATTAAGAAAAAAATTCTTTGAAGAAAAGGTATGTGTAGCATTTTTTAATTCTTCACAATGTTCCCCAGATTCCTCAACCTCAAATTATAGTGCTATAAAAACAAAACAAGTCCAGCATTTATTTATAAGTTAATACTTTATACAGCAGAAACCTAATACACCTTGATAATGTTTAAAAAGTATATAATGACTCTGGGTTTTTCCTGGAGATTCTCTTCTGCATGCATTTTATGTTTAGTCAAACTTGCAGGTAGGTGTTCTTTTGTTTTTTCTCCTATATAGTACATGGTGGAAGAGCTGGATAGCTACAGTGCTTCTGATTTAATCTCAGTTTTAGTTTAGACTTTTAACTATGGGATAGTGAGAAGAAAGGTCTCCACTTTGTGTAGCAGTCCACTACACAGATGTTGGGGACACTACCATGTGGAATAATTTCAAATGCCTTTCATACTTCAATAGCTGAAAACAAAAATGTTTTTCAAATGATTTAAAATAGTTATTCTTAGTTCTCCGGGAATCTTACACTTTGTAGTTTTGGGTAATTTTCTTATTATATTCTCAAAGGATTAATTGTTAGACCAAGTCATGTTTGATACATAAACCATAGTCAATGCCCTTCTAATGATATGATTCAGTTCCCAAAAATCATTCACATATTATCTATTTTTATGGATATCGCTTCTATGTAGAATAACAACAGCGGTCATTCCAGTGTTAGAGACACAAAGTAGTTGCAGATATTAAGAGCATATGTATATTGTAACAAAAGGAAATAATGATTATGACAATAAGAAGCCATGTCCTCTCACCCATCCTGCTCTTTGTCTTTCTGACCTTTCAGGTTCAATCATGTTGCTTTTCAATGCAGCAAAATCACTCTGAGTTGACTTTACTACATCAGTTACAATCTAAGATGCGTGGTTTGAATCTTCCCACACCTAGTTAAAAAAATTGCTTCAATGCTTTACTGTGTCACAGTAATTACTAGCTCTCACCATGTGAGGGCATATTTAAACAATATATTTGCCTCTCAAAACTGATATGGGGAAATCACCTCAAGGTGACTTTATCACATCAAAACGTAACATGTTAATCAAGCTTCAGTCTTAATCTTAAAATGCAATCTGTACAACTTGAAAATATGCACTTATGGAATTAAAAGTAGAAATCTAAATATAAAGAAGAGTTGGCTGAGCCACAGCTTGCATAATCATAGTCACTGGCCATGATCTAGAGCAGTGCTTCTCAACCTGTTTTAACTGATGCCCCATTTTAGCTAATACAGAAATCCCACCACTAACTTCAAACCCAACTTCCCTAATTATTTTATTTTAATGTTCAAATGGATGGAAATTGCATGATGTTCAGTTTTTTACTTATATTGTACATATTTTTTTGGAAATACACCCACACACAGAATATCTTCATACGCCCCTGGAGATGGGATGCCTCCTGGCTGAGAAATACTGAACTACACAGCTCACATACAAGGAAACCTTCATATTAATTTCAACAAAAACACGGCAATAGGTGTTCAGGCCCCTCAGACCCTCCATAAAGTAAACTTTGCCTTTTCCTTCTACAGATTTTCTTCTGTTTTCATTATTTTAAAAAATCTGATCAACCATACCAACTCTTCCTTAGTTGCCATACCCTTGCTGCTTCTTTCTAACACAGGGGCACACTACTAAAACCACTCAGATGACTTGTATGTAAGAGGCAGCATCATTATATTAACGGTGTTACATTGTAATTGTTAACTCTTTAATTCGTTTTTCTTAGTCTATTTTTTCCTCAGTCCTAGTACACATTCTTCCTCCTCTCTCTGCATTGCCAGGAAGTTCTCAGGAAGTTGCAAATAGCCATGGAAGGAACTGCAGTTGATCCATGAGCCCCTTGTGGGGGGGAAGGCCTGCTCTAATACCTAGTCTTATTAAAAGGACCAGAATGCAGGACAGTATTTTATACCCTCAGTGTGGTCTACACACTGTCCTTGAGCAGTTCTTTTCTCATGGACTTAATGCTATGCCAGGAGTGGGGTAAGAAACACCTGCAACTCAGTTTGCTCCATCCATTCAACTTGCTAGGTTTGATGGACAGATAGGTAGTAATAACCAATCATCCTTGTCTGCAGAAAATAACACATTCGCATTCAGTTCTCCTTATGGAAAACCATTGTTCCTAATCATGTACTGCCCTCCACTTTTGAATCAGAGATTCCACACTACTTTTCACAGTTATCCAGCCTCATTGTTCACTTGAAATATACTTTTTAATATGTGTACACTTCAAGGTCTCATGGGCACTCAACTTGGTCCTGAAAAATATAAGGATGGAAAAATATAGGGCCATAGCTGCTTGCACCAGTATGAACTTTATCCAGTTAGGTATGGATATAATGGTCACATGGACAATTGGTGTAATAAACTTAGCTCTTTATATATTATTAATACATTTAATATTTATATATTTAAGGGATTTGAACCCCCCTTTCCACTATACAATATGTCTCAAAGCTATGAACAAGCCTTGTGCCCCCTTATGCTCTTCTCTCTTTGTGTCAACAAGCAAGCATACCAGAAAGTCATTGGTAAATTATATTTTCCTTTCTGTCAGAAAATCTATAGTTAATGGCTTTAGAGCAAGCTAGGATATCAAGCTGCATTTTGAAGTTGGCTTCATATTTTGGCTTTTTCCAAAGCAGTTAACTGTAGTTTTCTGATTTGAAAGTGATATAGAACATGGATAGAGAAACAATAATTAACTGATGACTTCCTGGTATGTTTGCTTGCTCACAAAAGTGGAGGAGCGAAGTGGCTGTATTTGGGGACACAAGACTTGTTCATATATCTGCTACTTATGCAAAGATACAATAATTTAAACACAGGTACTGCCTCCTGCCAACCAGCCCCTCCCAGTTCCTTACCACTTAATCTGTTCCATGAAATCATGATGGTCCTGAATGGGGTAATTGTGCCCCTGAAGGACCAGGTGCGCAGCCTGGGAGTCATTTTGGACTCGCAGCTGTCCATGGAGGCACAGGTTAAATCTGTGTCCAGGGCAGCCGTTTTACCAGCTCTATCTGGTACGCAGGCTGAGACCCTATCTGCCTGCGGACTGTCTTGCTAGAGTGGTGCATGCTCTGGTTATCTCCCGCTTGGACTACTGCAATGCGCTCTACGTGGGGCTACCTTTGAAGGTGACCCGGAAACTACAACTAATCCAGAATGCGGCAGCTAGACTGGTGACTGGGAGCGGCCGCCGAGACCACATAACACCGGTCTTAAAATACCTACATTGGCTCCCAGTACGTTTCCGAGCACAATTCAAAGTATTGGTGTTGACCTTTAAAGCCCTAAACGGCCTCGGTCCAGTATACCTAAAGGAGCGTCTCCACCCCCATCGTTCTACCCGGACACTGAGATCCAGCGCCGAGGGCCTTCTGGCGGTTCCCTCACTGCGAGAAGCCAAGTTACAGGGAACCAGGCAGAGGGCCTTCTCGGTAGTGGCGCCCTCCCTGTGGAACGCCCTCCCACCAGATGTCAAAGAGAACAACAACTACCAGACTTTTAGAAGACATCTGAAGGCAGCCTTGTTTAGGGAAGCTTTTAATGTTTGATGTATTAGAGGATTTTAATATATTTTTTTGGAAGCCGCCTAGAGTGGCTGGGGAAGCCCAGATGGGCGGGGTACAAATAATAAATTATTATTATTATTATTATTATTATTATTATTATTATGTTGCCATTGTTGGATACATTCATGCAGGACCAAAAGAATGACACAAATCAAGAGCATGTGTCCTTATCAGCATCATCTGTGTTGCTCACATTACTTATCTACAAGTACCTACTGATAGATTCAGCAACTTCGAAGATAAAAAACATAGCCTGCAGAAACAACAAGATGGCTTTCATAGTTAAAGAGAAACTTGGTTTATTCATATGTTTTATCATTTATAATTCAAGCACCCCGGAAGATGCACACAGATTTCCATTAGATATATACAAAAAACACTGTAGTATTTTACTAGCAAGTGAAAGTTATGGCTGATTCTGCACGCTATTAATCACTGTAGGTTCAAAGCTATCCAGTACACTTACATGAGAAGTAAGTCCCATCCAAATCAGTGGGGCTTAATTCTGAGTAAACATATAGGATTGCACTGTAAATATCAGTTTCTTAAGGCACTTAGTCTGCAGTCCTCTGCACATTTACCTAGAAGTCAATCCTTGCAGGCCTTAGTTTTGAGTAAACATGCATAAGATTGTAATGTCACCCTGTGATCCTCCAAAACTGGTGTTTCTAGATTGCAAAAAAGCATTTTAACATGGAAGTCTTACCTTTTCAAAAGTTAAAGAACCACACAGTTCAGTTAAAAATGCTACAAAAAGATGGCTGAGTAAAATGTATTAAAATATATATTGACTTCCTTTGGCAGTAACACACAAAAGAAGGATCAGGTATTGTACTGGTAAAGAAATTCTACAGTTAGACCTTGTGTTTAAAATGTCACTGCTAAGTAGAATGTATTTTATTTGTCTGACTGTGGCACAGTAGCCTTTTTATTAATCCATTCAAGATTTTACTAATAAACATCAAAGGGGTTGCAAAAGGTTACTGCAACCAAGCTATGCTAATTTTTAACACCAATGTATACACAGAGTGAAGTGTTGCCTAGAATTCAATGTGCTTGGTAGTGAATTTCTTTGATCCTTATCTAGAACTCTGCTTGTATATGTCATCTAATTGAAGTAAGATATTTTATTGCTGTAATTAAATCTTTTCAAATGCATTGCATTATCTTAAACTTAGCTAAAAATGCAGACAATTGTTTAAGAAGCTAGGTATATTATTTGTAAAACAGTGCAGCTTGTTCTAGTATCCTCCTTCCCCACCATGTGACTTCTTCCCAAAGATTTTAATTTAAATCTCACCAAACAGCATAATGGTCCATGAGTTTGTTTAGCCATTTGACTTCCTTTATCACATAGAGATGGCAAACATTCTGTTGCTAACTTGATGTGGCTCCAGGCAGCAAGGCTATGAGGATTTTAAACCAGTAAAAGCTTATCAACTGATTCATTGATATGCTGTAAATTCCAGTCTTTTCATTTTACTTTAAAGTCAACACATTAGTAAGCAATTTGCTGACATAAAGATGGATTGCTTTAAAAGGGTTCCCCTTGGGTGGACAAAGTTCACCTCAATGCTTTTGTGTGCATCTTTAATTTAATCTTGTTCTTGGGCGTTGCCTAAAACTTGTGACTGATGGTGCTTTACATATTGATAAAAATATTTAGAAGGCCTCCACTTTGTCATATTGTTCAAGTTAAAGGGCAGAGAGGTCACGAAGTAGATACAAAATTAATTTCTTAAATATAGCATTCTTTTCCAAACAGCTTTTCTGGGAAATAAAGATATCCCGTTTTTTTAACAGGATATTTTCCTTTTATTCATTAATTAACTACCTTTCCTTTGAAGAAAACATGTAACTGCTTGGATCCTAAGTTGCTTATCCATTCATGTAAAGTGGAAGGGGTGGTTTCTGCCACCTCTCCTTCTGTTTCCAGCTCACAACACCATATCATAAACCATTCCCAAAAGTTCCCAAACCCCCAGGAGGGGAAGTGCCGGGGTGAAGGAGACGTGGGAACGCTCTATTCAGTCCAGAAAGGAAAACATTAGGATCCCCCAAATTTTATTTTACATTACAAATTTATATTTTTGGTGTCTGTTGAAGATCTTCCTTTTTCAACAAGCCTTTTAACTATAGATTTTTCATCAGTATCACATTTGAAATTGTTTTCTTAAATGTTTTTATTGCTGAACACTTTGGGATGTTTCATAAATAAAAATAGATTAATTGCAAACACTGACTTTGGTCTTAGTGACAGGAAGAAAACTGCCCTATGATCCTCAGATGAAGGGCAGTATAGAAATTGAATAAATAAAATAAATAAATAAAAATATTTAGGAAGCTTCATTCACTGTCAAATAGCCAGGGGCAGTTTTAGGTAGAAAACAGGCAAAGGGTCCTAATCCTGATGGAGAGCACCTTCTGGATTGTGGCCCCACATTCTGGGTGAGAAGCAGATACAAAGCTAGTAATGTGCATTGGGAATAGGATTCATTATTTAAGACAGAAGGGTGTGTCTTAACTCCCTGTAATGGAGGCAACCCTGGCACTGATACCTCATATACTTTTCATATCTGCTTGCAACCTATTACAATGGGAGTAAAATCTTTGTCTTACCGTTCAGTTTTCAGAGATCTGCCAACGATTATTGAATTCATATGATACCCGCATAGACGAACTCTTCTCCGAGATTGATTCTAATGTAGCTGAAAGTCAAAACGTGTTTCAGCAGCTAGACAAGAAGTTGGGCCCAGGCTTAGATGAAGTTGAATGGGAAAAGATACAGATGCAGGTTGGTTTCAGAGACAAAAATGTGTATTACCTCAATCTAGCTAAAAGACTGACTCTGCCTCCTGTGCTTTGTGTTAATTGACTGGTAGCAGCCTTTTCTGTACCTATTATTTACATTTTGGTCCTCCCTTTTCCGGTGGTGTGCATGTGCTACTCCCATGAGGGAGGATTGGCTGGCTGGGCTACTTTCTGTGAGCTTAGGAGTTGAACAAAGCAGTGGACTACTTTTTCTGATCCAAGTCCAAAACTGCTTCTACTATACACCGCTGCACACAGAATTATCAGTGTGCCCTGTTCAGACAGCAAAGCCAGCTATTGGTGGTTGCCAATGCCAGCTTGTTCTTGAAGCTTTAACATAACATACCTTAGAGTTCTACCACCTGTCCAGCACAGAGTATAGTTGTCAGGGCTGCCTCAGGTCTCAGCTCACAAAAGAGGCAGCCCTGACAATAGTTACCTGATTTGTTGCATTAACCCTTCATCCTATTCACTGTTGGCATCTTAATGATCTAACCCATTGAGCAAGTTCAGGGAACCATTTTCAGTGCCAGGGCTTGATCAGAACTCCCCCACCCTCCATGGGCCATTTTTGAGAGAGCTATCCATCTTATACATCATATGGTCAGGCAATTCAGATTTCACGCCAGGAACAAGTTCAGGCTAATCTCCGATTTTAAGAGTTGTAGTGCTTAGCACCATAACTTGGAAATAAAGAGACCTCTGTGATCATATTAGGTCAGTTGACAGATAAGTATGTGCGCTCAGAACGGGCCAAATTCAGAGGCATGAACGTACCTTAAGGACCTCTTGAACCCTTATACCCCAGCTTGATCAGAGAGATCATCTCAAGGAGCAGTTACCGTATTGGCCTGAATATAAGCTGCACCCGAATATAAGCCACACCTTTAAAAATCGGGGGGGGGCGGGGGAAAAGACAAGACCCGAATGTAAGCTGCTCCCTTAAAATTCTGTGGGCACTCACACCTGTTCCGTTTTACCGTATGTCTATTTCAGCAGCAATATCATAAAAGCCAATTTTTGTAAGGTCGCGAATTTAAGCCACGTTTTAACTTTTCATGGTCAGAATTGGGGGGGGGGGGTTGAGGCTTATATTCAGACCAATACGGTAGTTGCTGTCCATGTTTCAGAGGCTCAACCAGTCTCTGCTAAAAATTGGGTATTTTGTGTCACTGCTACCATGCTATGGAACACTTTCCAGCAGAGATTCGACAGGTATTGTTGCTTGTGACTTTAGACCTTATTATGCCTACAGGTATTTGCAGCTGATTAATTTGATTAGCAAGTCACTTTAAGGATTGTTTTTAAATGTGTTTTATATTTTATAGTTGAGCACCACGATGATATTTTATATGATGGTACAGAAATACTTTTATAAATGCAGAAATTAGGCTTGTGGGCCAGAGATTCTTTACCCGTTCTTAATAGTCACAACCCACTAGGGCTGTGCAATAAATTGCCATCTCAAATACTGGTATTGAAATGACATCGTGATAAGTGTTTCAACAAGGCAATATACCGAGAACAAAAGGTGGAGACTTGACAGCTATGCAGAGGGTAGCTCAGCTGATACTTTGCAGGCATCAGCTCTCCTGCTTTGTTTGCTCTCTCACTCTTCACTCCCTCCAAACCCCTCACACAAACCAGCAAACTCTTTAAGCTTAACCAGTATCTTCCACACCATCTCTCTCTGCTTTGTTCTCACTCAGCCTCACTGAGAAATAAGGAGAGTGGCTGGCTGTTGGTAACCCCTTGCAAACACACAAACCAACTCTTTAAGCCTAACTTCCTGCTCTTGCCCAAGAGGTCTGCTAATTATGCAGAGCCTGCTAACAGTCCAGGAGGAATACCCCCCCCCCCCAGGCTAGACAGAATGTAAAAAAAGAACTGGAAAGCTCTTCTTTCTTCCCTCACACTCACCCCCCACTGGTGGAAAAAAAAGAGGGGGTAGAGTTTTCATTTTTATTTTCTGGTGGTGTTTATGTTGTTGGTTTCCCCTAAATAGCTTTTCTCCATATTAAAAAGGAAGATTTTAAAAATTGATTTAAAGGAGACAGTCTTTGCTTGCTTGCCCTCCCTCCCTCTCTTTAATAAAAAGGGAGAGATTGGTAGTATGGGGGTTTTGGGGGAGCCCTTCTGTGGAGGGGGATGGAGGGGAGAAGATTTAGCTGCCTGCCTTATGCTGAAATGGGAGGTTGGGTACTATGTGAGAATGATGGGGAGTGTGTCTGTAAGCAATGCAAGCAAATGAGTGTCTGCTCACAAGCAAGCCCTACTGAATTCATTGAGACTTACTCCCAGGAACGTCGAAGTTGGGCTTATGCATGCATGGATTCCACTTAGACCTCTGAGTGGGGAAGCAGATGCAACTTGACTAGTAAATCACTTAAACTACTCTTAAATAAGTTGAAAATATATTAAATATATTCTATGGCAGTTTATTTATTTTTATTAAATCTACTTCCCTACATTTTATCATGATATTTAGCTGATGCTGTATCGTGATGTTGAAAACCAGATAAACCCTACAAACCCACTAGAACTTTCCTACATTTAAATATTTATTTTCTCCATCTTTCATCAGTGAAACATTTTGAGTATTTTTTTATTTGACCAGAAATGACTGACAGACTTTAGTGCTGCAAAAGTTGGAGTAGTCTAGTATAATTCCAGTTTCAACTGTTCTATCAGCTTAAGAACTGTTGCAAAAATGATGATTCCAAAGCCATCCCCCCCCCCCCCCACGTTCTTTTGGACTTTTTTTGTGTATGAATACAACGTGTTGCTATTAAGCCAGTTCAGTATTTTCTATGCTTACCATTTTCTTTGTTTCAGGCATTCCGGCAAGACATAGTTGACTGCCCAATTTGCATTATGCCGCTCATCTACCCCACTCACCTGCAGGACGGAATTGCCCAAGCCAGCTACCCATCATGCTCCAGCAAGACCGTTCTGCTCTCCTGTTCACACATGTTTCATAGTACTTGTGTTCAAGCATTTGAAGACTTCTCCTTGGGAGAAAGACCCATATGTCCTTTATGCCGCTCCCATTATCAGAAGAAAATACTTAACTAATGTTTTAATATAATTGTTCAAGGTAACTTAAAAAAGGCATTGGGTTGTATCCAATGCTGGCCATATTCCTTGGAACAGACCCATTGAAATTTAAGTCCATTAATTTTAATGGGTCCACTTTGAGTAGGCCTTAGTTGAATGTGTATTATAGAAATATTAATGTATTTCAAGTATATATATGAATTACTTGCATTTTCAGCAAGAGCTGCCACACAAGTTATTCCTTTGTGCATATGTTTATGTCAATAAAAAAAGATTGCTGTCACTGGCCTTCTGGCAATTCAGAGTGGGATGGGCTTTTATAGTATTGGATACAGCGTATTTTCCCATAATCGGGAAAGGGGTGGAAGAGATGTCAGATTTATGGGGGAAGGATTTACCAGGCCTTAATTAAAACATAGCCATTGATTTACACCCCTTTCATCCAGTTTCTCGAAACCAGAGACTGAAGGCAGAGGACATTGCAAGTGTGGTAGCAGTAGCAACTAGGCCACCATGTTCAATCTTGTCCCTCACAGACTCCCAAGCAGGAGAGAGGTTTCAATTCCTGCCAAGGAGTAAGCACTGAAACTGGGAAGAAAGGCTCAAACCCTCAAATCTGTAAGCAACCTAGGGGGTCATTTCATGCGTTTCACTAGAGTCGGATGTAAATACATGCGAGCTCCATCTCATCACCATTCCTATTTTTAGAACAGGGTTCTAAAACATACAAGAAACCTCCCTGCTGCAAGGTTGAAGCATGGCTGTGTTTATCCACAGGATAGCCACTTGAAGGATAGTTAACAGGAAGGTAACTTTTGTTTGTGGGTTCTACGGAGTCCCAAATGGGAAGAATAACAAGCTCACCAAGAGATGGGAATAGGAGGCAAGCAAGTAAAGAGACAATTGAGGTAGTTCTCAATAGCTTAGAAATGCTTTGTATGAAGCCAGCAAGCTTTTTTTTTTTTCCATTTCTGGCAATACTTGCAAGATTTGAGCATGTGCTCCTTGCCCAGGTGAGTGAGGCACAAGCCAAATATACTCAAAAGAATTTTATTCCCTACACTCACCGTGATATGAGTATGACAACAGGCTAGAGACTGGGGCTAGAAAAGACGGCACCAGTACAAAGGCAATGAGGAAATGCTAGAACAGAATTCCAACTCACTTGGAGATAGAACCAGTGTCTTTCTGCTTAGTTCCTTTCTGACTACTCAAGAAGGAACCTCTTTACACAAGAGGTTAGTCAGAAAGGAACTAAGTAGGAATACACTGGTTTTAGCTCCTTATAGGTAAAGGGTAAAGGGACCCCTGACCATTAGGTCCAGTCATGGATGACTCGGGGGTTGCGGTGCTCATCTCGCTTTATTGGCCGAGGGAGCCGGCGTACAGCTTCTGGGTCATGTGGCCAGCATGACTAAGCCGCTTCTGGCGAACCAGAGCAGTGCACGGAAACGCCGTTTACCTTCCCGCCGGAGCGGTACCTATTTATCTACTTGCACTTTGACATGCTTTCGAACTGCTAGGTTGGCAGGAGCAGGGACCGAGCAACGGGAGCTCACCCCGTCACAGGGATTTGAACCGCCGACCTTCTGATCGGCAAGTCCTAGGCTCTGTGGTTTAACCCACAGCGCCACCCAGCACCTCCTTATACTATGCATCAAAAAGGTATTGTACAGGAGTGAGGAGAGGAGCCAGCACTCCTAGTCTTCCAGAGCTTTCTTCAAGATTCTGCTTGTGGTCAGCTTTCAAATCATGGGATGTATGTCTTCCCCTACCTGGATGTGCTTTCATCCATCCTCTATTTAAAAAGTGTTCCTGGGCACATTAATGGTACACCCCAAAGATCTGTAAAGGTGGCGTATCTTATTGTCCATAAACTTCACCCATACATACAAACAAATACATACATTGCTACCCACTCCCCATTTCTTCTGAAGAAAGTTCACAAGCTCCCTAAGAGGAGAACAGAAAAATCTCAGTGCAGAGGCAGAACATCTGTGAGATGTTCTCAATACCAGGCTGTACACAATGTCAAAGTGTTTTAAGTGAACAGAAGACAAGGTGCACCATTATGAAGCTTGAGCTGAATGAAACACCTCTGAACCAAGTAAACTGTAGAAGAACATATTGTCAAATCCTTTAATTGACACTGTAAAACAGGCAACTGTGTAAAAGAGATTGGAGAAAGAGGTGAAGGTAAACGTCACATTACAATCTGTAAACAAAGTGTCCTAGTGAAGCCAACTTCTAAATAACCCCTCTATGTCTGCTTGACATTCGCTTAAAAAGCTAGAGAGTAAAGATGTGCTCAGACTTTGCAACAACAATTCGGTCACGCTGTGTTAACACAGTGTACCAGTGGAGGAGAAAGCCAAACAATGGCGCACTTAAGACACTTAACTTGCATACATTTTTGGTCTGATTTGATATACATCTAGCTCATACAAGAAAAGCATATTTGTGCTTTAGCCTCATAACGAGGCAGATGGTTTATGACTGAAGTAGAGGTTTTTGTACCTTAAAAAAAGGTACAAAACACTTGACTACACAAGTCAAACCACTAGGAATACATTACTAGTATCCATCAAAGAATTACTAATACCATCTACTTAAACACATTTAAGCCTTTATAACTTTAAGTATTTATGTGTAATTTTTATCACTATATTTGAAAGTAGAACTTCATCTGTAAAATAATTTTCAACTGAGGGATAAAATGACAATTTTAACAATTTCACATGGACAAAGTCAAGGAACAGGAGACCACCACATATATTTATAATGGGGGGGGAGTGCTGAATCTGTCCCCCTTCTAGTGACTCTTATTTCACATGCATCTCCAGGGTGGTGCATTGTGGATTTTTGTGTAAGTTTGGAAGTGGGAGGCAGCAATAGCCAGGTTATACTTCAATTTCACAGGGTGAGATGGCCTGTATTATTATTGTATCACCAGGAAACAATGATTTGCTGCAGTGGCACTGGTCACTTTACTAGATAGGTCCCTCCTATTTTCCTGCCAAAGGCATTAAAACTTTACAGAGGGCAGTTTAGACTTTGGCCTAATTTCATGCACGTGGCTGGGAAGGGGCGGGGAATGGAAGGGGAGGAAGAGGTCCTACCCATCACTGGCCTATTTAGCACCACAAATATTGTCCCAAATGTGGCCCTTGAGAGGGAAAGAAAGTACCCCACCCCTGATTGAGATGCAAACCAGTACATAGGATAAGTTGCACACCTGATCCTAAGAAATTACAAGAATTGAGATGGAGCCTTCACTAATCAAATGACTTTTGGGGATGGGGGCAGGTTTCATACCATGTACCATTAATGCAAACCACCCCAGGATAACCAAAGGCAAAATTTTCAGGGAAGCATTTCCTCTTGCACAGCTCCTGATTTGAATGGGGCTGTACAGTAGAGCACTTACAGGTGAACTAACCCAAGTTTATTAAGGTACTTACGGAAGATTCCTCATGCCATCTGCATTTATTGTCTTTGATGTTTAATTTGCAAATTTGTCTAAGTCAACTCTCTACCTATGAAGAACATGGATTAAAATTCTCAGTAATTTGGTATGAACTTTGTCCAAAGCATGATAGCCACAGAATCACAAATACTTTCAAATTCAGTTCGATCCATCTATATGTTGACTGCAGTAGCTATAGTAATAAGCATACTGTTGATGTACCTTTACAATACAGAATCCACTTATTTTTTTTTCTGTAGGCATATTACTATTATGACATGAACGATTATGTTTCAATGTGGTGTTGAGTGGAGGTGCCAAGCACACTAAAAATCCTAAAACCAATTACTACCATTTCAAATTGAGATACAAGGTCTCAATATCTAAACTCTTGGGCCTGGTTCAGATAATCAAATGCTGTGAATGTGAATGGAAAAACAAGTCAGGAAGTAGAAGTTCACTGCCACTTCCCTTGCTTAACAGCTTCCAAACGAGCTTATCCACAAGTTGGCTGGTTTGTTCAGAAGCCATTTTCCCATTTGCATGTGATGTGAAGTTATAGTTAAATCATAACTACAGCTTCCTGGCTTCTTTCCCCACTTATGTACAGGGTGCTGTATGTTGTGCACAGCACTTGTGCATATCCTGGCTTAATCTGATTACCCTAACAATGTCACTGAGTGAGTCGATTTCTCTACATCTTCCACTGTGGCAAAAAGCCCCCAGTTTACAATTTATTCCAGTTCCCAGAAACATTTTTATGAAAATAAGTTCCGTCCTGCATCTGTTCTATTTGTCATTTCCACTGACAATATTAGAAAAGATTCTATAATGTATTTACTATAAATGCTACCTTCCAAAATTTAATGCAAGATTAATTTTCATAAGAAATCATATGAAACTTAGAATAGTGTCTATTATCCAGGAACTCTACACTGATTTCAAACAGTGTAGAAAGTGCTTGTGAGCCCCAATGAATCTAGTAACATTCTGAACTTTTTTAAAAAGCAGGATAATTTGCAGAATTATTTCAACATTGTACAACACATCAAAACCCAGTTTTGGACTTAATGAGATTAATATAATACTGATATTTTCAAAGTGAGGTAAAACATTAAAGTTGTGAAGATCCAGTTAACCTTATGGGATCTAACTTATAAAATGTGCTCATCTATGAATGGCCAGTGTCACTTCATCATCCAAGAACTACAAACCTTCAGCAAAGTTTCATAAAATGTCATGCTAGCCTTTACAATCTACCTACCTCTACTCACAGTATGTATGCTAACTTCCTTCAGATTCATATGTTACACACAAGATTTGCTAAAGTGTAACAATATCAATGAAAATTGCATGCCTTAATTGGAATCTATATTTTCATATTTAAAAAACTGGAGTTTATAATCTGCTACCTGATTACTCCATGTTTTTAAAAAGATAGATCAACAAAGGAAATAATGAAAAAATGGTCTATTCTAATGAACTAGAATGCACTGCACACTTAACCCAGGGCATCTAGAGTGGGATAATTGTTTTAACACTTGTGGAAGTTGTGTGCTATTGTATCCTTTTCTCACTGCTTATGCATATAAGGCGACACATTACACAGAAGGGAATGAACAGAATTCTCTGTGCATTTAATGGAGTTGTGTGGTTGCCCTAAAATGCATGATTATGTACACAACAATCAGAGGTCTGTGAAATTACAATTTAACACTGCAACCTAGGGTTACGTTATTGTGTAATTCATGAGTCTCAGTGGAAGTTACCTTTAGTGATAACTGTAGGCCACTTTGTTATGTAGAACCAGGAACTGCTGGTATCTTAAGACACAATGACCGTGGAAACTCATCAGACGGGCAATGAATGTACTGATCCTGGATCTTACCATATTCTCTATAAGTTGTCCGTTTTCATAATGCAATTTTACTGAAAAAGCAGCAACTCTAGTAAAGGATTTGCCATTTTCAACTAGCAAGGCTCATCTCAGACACCCAGCCTAATTCTTCAGCAAAAGGTTTATGCTCGGGAGATTCTTGGCCTAATATGTTGATAGATCAATATGGAGGTGTATCCAAAGACGAATGGAGTTTTCTTTTCCGCTTCCAGGTTTCAAGACAATTCTGCGCCAGTAATTCTGACACAGTAATTGAACATGGATCAATCTGAGCAAGAAGAGAGTACAGTCTGATACACCCAGCTTTCTTGGGTGCATTTTTTTTTTTGTTATCAACTTGGACCCAATATACAAACAAGAAAAAGCAATACAAAAACAAGTGCTATGAAGTGACAGGAATGTCATGAAGTCAAAAGGGCTCGGTTCCACCACCTGCTTTTCACAGTGTTTTCTGGTGCCCGTTTACAGATGGCTTTGCAGCCTCAGAGTCTCTTGCATTGTGTGAGAGGTGAAGCTTGTCTAAACCTGCAAAACATTTCAAAAGATAGTACATTTAAATTTCTTTTTCACTTCTGACAAGTATAGGTGTTTTCAAAATCACATTAGGCTTCGTTCCAGTACATAAATAAATTGAAGATTTTTGTCTGTGGAGACCTTATCTGAGAACATGAGAAACTAGACAGGATTATAAATGGCACAAGAACAGCATCTGTGCAACTTAACTGCCCCTTGCAAACACTGTAAAGTCATAATAGGAGGTACCGTATTTTTTGCTCTATAAGACTCACTTTTTCCCTCCTAAAAAGTAAGGGGAAATGTGTGTGCGTCTTATGGAGTGAATGCAGGCTGCGCAGCTATCCCAGAAGCCAGAACAGCAAGAGGGATTGCTGCTTTCACTGCGCAGCGATCCCTCTTGCTGTTCTGGCTTCTGGGATTCAGAATATTTTTTTTCTTGTTCTCCTCCTCCAAAAACTAGGTGTGTCTTGTGGCCTGGTGCGTCTTATAGAGCGAAAAATATGGCATTTCCTCTCCCCAGGTCTAAATATTTGGTTGCTGATGGGAGAAGCAGAATGTCATGGCATCATTATACAAATTTAAATTCTATCAGTCATGACAGAGGGGGAGGGGAGCTGTATGTGAGCTTTCCATCACATCTCACTTTCACACAACAAATACTGAACATTCTACATGGCTTTGTCTATTGATTTCTAATGTGAAGTTGAATTCATACATCTGCAATTTCATTATTACTAAATTTTCAAGTAACAAAATAAGCCTCAAAAACTGTAGAACAATAAACTACATCATGCAGTTTGAAAAGCACAACAGAACAGAACATTCATCTGCTCAAAACATCTCTGTCCATGAGTCTCTGGTGGTCTTCTAATGTTGCAATTCCTTAATTTCCACCTCAAAGCTTTCCAGCTTTTGCATCATTATCCAAAGCAAACCAATTGGCATGTCAAAACCTGATAAGAAATATCCTGTGCCCACTCTCAGTGTTAGTGGATTTGATTGTGTCAACACATTCCTTAGTTACATCTTATATGAACTACTGTGATGTGCTGTTCATGACGCTGACTGAACAGTGAAAGTTCTACTGCTTCAGAATATTGCAGCCAGGCTATTGAACAAGGCAAGCTGTAGGTGGCATGCAACTCCCATATTACAAGAGCTTCACTTGGTACCAGTCTGCTCCCAGGGAAAATTCAAAAGTACTGGCTGTTAAATCATGAGAACTACTTGGTCTCAAATTGTGTAGGGTTTTGCAGATCACAACTAATATAATAATAATTTTATTATTTTTATAAATTATTATTATTATTATTATAACATTCTGATGGTAGATAAAGCTTTTATTCAAACAGGCTTTTGGCTTCATAAGCTGGCTTGCTATGGACACTTAAGTATGCAAAACAATTGGTTCAACTAGTTGTTCTAGTTGTTTTTATTTTTACTTTTGCTTCATTATAAGTTGTCTTGACACCACTTGACAGAAAGATGGGATAAAAGCAAACAAATAGTTTTCTTAAAAGGAATAAACTAGGTGAACTCAACACAGAACCACTCACCACGTATGTCTTTTTATACCACATGACGGAAGCTGGAAACCCACACCAGGCAAATTACTCTCCCTATAACTCTAGAATTCAAATTAAATTAAATTCAAATTATGCACAATATGGCTATCAAACGAAAGAGAACAAATGTTACCTAATGCTTTGAGAAGCTCCTCTCTAACTGCAGAGGTGAACTTTCTAACCAGACACAGGGTTGTCACAATGGCAAAGAGGATATTGTAGGATAGCACGATGTAGAAATTTCCTAACCAGTTAAACCTTCCAAAGTCTCCAAGGAGATCAAACCTGGTAATACCTGCAGGGGGGAGAGAATGTGACATAATTCAGAAAAGCGAATGAGGGTGATATCTAAGATTGAAAAATGACCGCCAAGTACTTTAATCGAAATAAATTAAAAAATTGTCCAGTAGCACCTTAGAGACCAACTACGTTTGTTCTGGTATAAGCTTTCGTGTGCATGCACACTTCTTCAGATACACTGAAACAGAAGTCACCAGACCCTTATATATAGTGGGAGGGAGGGTGCGGTTTTTCTCAGAAGGGTAGTAGGATATGGGTGATTGGCTCAATGGGTATGATAAATCTGTTGACTGTTTACGACTGCAATTAGTCCTACAGGAAAAAGCAAGGGATAGGATGCAGATGACCAAAAATAGCTTTAGCATATGTAATGAGACAAGAATCCAATATCTCTATTCAGACCAGGTCTCTCCATAGTTTAGTAATAAGTTGTAAATCAGCAATTTCTCTTTCAAGTCTGTTTCTGAAATTCTTTTGTAATAAGACAGCTGCTTCGAGATCCTGTATTGAATGTCCTGGGAGATTGAAGTGTTCTCCTAGTGGCTTCTCTGTCTTGTGATTCCTGATGTCAGATTTATGTCCATTTATCCTTTGGTGTAGGGTTTGGCCCGTTTGTCCAATATAGAGAGCTGAAGGGCACTGCTGGCATTTGATAGCTTACACAATGTTAGAAGATGAGCAATTAAATAGGCCTGAGATGGTATGTTTGATGTTGCTGGGTCCAGTGATGGTGTTGTCTGGGTGTATGTGGCAGCAAATTTGGCATCTGGGTTTATTCCAGGTTCTGGTACCAGTGTCCATGTAAAGTCTGGTTGCTGTGTTATTGTGGGTGAGGAATTGTTTAAGACTGGGTGGCTGTCTGTAGGCAAGGAAAGGTCTTCCTCCCAGAGAGAAAGAGAACTGTCATTGTCTAGGAGAGGTTGTAAATCTTGAACTGTTTTAACTTGGGAGCTGTATGTCATTACTAGTGGTGTTCTGTTATTTTCTCTTTTGGGTCTGCCTTGCAGCAAGTTCTCTCTGGGTATCAGTCTGGCTTTGTTGATCTGTTGTTTAACTTCATCAGGCAGATATTTTAGTTCCAAAAAGGTTTGCTGTAGATCTCTTAGGTGACAATCCATGTCTGTAGAGTTGGAACAGATGCGGCTGTAACGTAGAGCCTGGCTATATACAATTAATTGTTTGGGATGGTAACTGGAATTATGTAGATATGTTTGTTGGTCAGTTGGTTTTCGGTATAAGGTGGTGTCTATGTACCCATCCTGTATTTTTATAGAAGTGTCCAGAAAATGTATTTCTTGCATAGATTGGTTCATTGTTAGGTTGATGGTGGGATGAAAGTCACTGAATGTTCTAATACAGATAATTTTACTTTCCCATTTGCCATTCCCATTATGACAAGAGCCCTCCTCATTTTATCACCCAGAAGCCTGCTTTACTCATACTATGAAAAGCTTCACAGCATCCAATGTGGTGCGTTTTGAGATTCTGCAAAGCACCACATGACTCACTGTACCCTAATGCACTCCACTAATCCTGTTTGGACAGCTGTGTATGTGCATTTTGTTAGCTGTGTTTTAACTGTTCATCTTTGCAGTTTTAGCCTTCCTTTTATCTCTATGGCAAACAATATAGGAATTTCATTTGTGTCCCTCAGCAGGGAACTACGAAGTCTTGCCTTTAATTTGCTTTTTGTGTAGCAGCAATGACACATCCTCTTGTGTGCATGTGCGCACACTCATTTTTTCCCTGATTATATTTTCTATAAGAAGGTCATCTTCATGCCAGTTGACAATGAATATAAGGTTTCCCACCCCCCTAGAAAGCCTCAGCAGCAAAAGATTACAGACCTATTTTTACCCCTCACATTTTTTAAGGCTGAAACACCTAATGGCTGCAATTACTCACTTCATTATTTAAATGATTGTGTACTAAAAGTTAAGAAAAATTGATAAACTGATGAGACTTTCAAAAGCTGTATGTGGAATAGCACAGGGGGCTTGCTCCATTAAAGGGAAAATATGCCTTGAGGCATGATCAAACATTTGAGAGTTCCTCAAGTAGCTCTTTCTAGGTTGTTGATGCTACTTTCCTTTGGTTTCCCTCGTTTTCTCTACTTGTCTAGCAAGTGAGTATCATCAGTAGTTATGACGGAAAAGCTCATATATGCTAACTATTTATAGAGGTCTTATTTGTATCCTGCACTTCTGAAATGGTCTTCAGAAACCTCAGAATCTAAACATTAAAAGAACAATATGGTGCCAGGCAAGTCTCCTGGAGGATATTCCAAAACGAGGGCAGTGTGGTCCCACAACTAAAGTGCTCTTGTCCTGTTATAAACCACACCTCAGAAGGCCAGGAAATCCGGAGCGGAAGCTCACAAATGATAGCTTCTGTCACTGCACTGCAGCCATGAAGGGCTTTAAAGGGCACCAAGACTTTGAACTGAGCTCAGAAAGAAGACGGAGGACCACTGAGGCCAGTCTAGCAAAGGGGACTATGATCCCACCACCCACCCCAGTTAGCCTTGCAGCTGTAACCTGAACTACTTGCAATTTCCAGACTGTCTGCAAAAGGCAGCACAATGTACAGCCTATTGTAATAGCCCAAGTATATTAGTTTTGTTCCCTGTGGCTGCAGCTGTTTTCTTCTTATCGCAATGACAAGGTCATTTGTGTTATGAAGCAGTCTGTGTGGCTTTTCAACAAGACCACCTCACTGAGGTTTGTGGCTATGAAGAAACCTGAATCTAGATTTTCCACAACCAACCTCAGACCTATCCATTGTCCTACACTGGCCTCCAAACTGCATGACTGCATTCTTGGACAAACCTGATGGTCTACATTCCATTTGACTTCAGGACTAGTTTTAGCACTGAAACTAGCTTGGTTGCCCTGACGCCTGAAGGACACAGGGGTATGGCCTTGTTAATACTGCTAGACCTCTCAGCAGCTTTTGATACCATCAATCAAGGGCAGGCTACTCAGCTTCAGAACTGGGGCACTTTGAATCAGTTGCTCCATTCCTGTCACAGAGGCAGATTTCAGGTGCTGGTGGGAAACTACCACTGAGCTCTGTGAAATTTAGACTACAGCTGTGTTTTAGGCTTTTGCTGTCCTGTCCTTTTACTGCTAATATTTATGCTTTGGTTTATTTTTAGTCTTTGCTAGCCACACTTGGAGGACAATTTGCTTGAAATCAGGCCATAAAGTCTGTGCACACATCGACACACACAAATCCCAAGGTTTGTCGGTATAAGATTCTTACTGTCTATATTTCCTCCTTACACTACACAGAAGGCAAGGGTGTGCTACTAAGCAAATATATGCTGACTTTTCCCAGGGTCCTTCCTCTTAACTCTGTCCCTTTAGGGCCTACCACCCAAGCCACAGGCTTACAAGGAAACTTAGGCATTGCTGCTTGTGTTTCTGGAACCCCAGCAGTAATGCTCAAAGTATGGCGCTGACATGGGAAGAATGATCAGAGTCTGCACTGGCTTAAGAGCTCCAGCAAAGTATGTTCAGAAAGCTGTTTCATAAGACACTCAAGTTGTACCTAGATTTTCTTTCCTGAAAATATGACTGAAACCATTTACTGATCTGTAGGCAATGACAACTATATACACCTCAATAAAGAGTTCTCTAAAAAACAGAAATAAGACTTACCCAGTGTCCTTGACATAACTGGCAAAGCTGAACTGAGGACTAAGATCGAAACGCAGTTCCCAATTATCTGTTTGAACAAAACAAAAAAAAGGTATTTCAATATGATTAATGAGCTCTAAGTCTACCAAGTAAGGCACTGAAAACACACCCCAGGTTCTTCTAATTTGATTTTAAAGTCTGCCCATCTCTAAGGTTAATGTTTCCTCGGCATTTCTCAAATATTGCTCAAGTCTCCTCTAAAACATTTTATATAGACCACAGGGACTTTAGATATTGGCATATACTGTATCATACAAGCACAAAGAAAGCATACTAAGCCCCTATTTCTGCCACAGATGCTTTTTAACATAACAGTGAATGTTATGTTGGCTTCCCAGATACAGAGATTCCAGCCTCTGTGCATCCAGAACGGCATTTGGTCTCTGTGTTGAAATGAGCAGCAGGCTGGACTTGCTGCTGTTTTTGGTCCCAAAGGAATCTTTGGGTTCTTTGCTAGTAAGAACCACTGCAGATCACGAGATGAAACCGTAATGGGCATCCTTCTGTGTGCTGAAGCCGGGGGGCTGAAAGAACACTACAGGTATACAAATCACTGTATAGTTTATGGCATTTAAGGCCACTTCTATAAACACTTGCTTACATGTTCAAGATTTAGGGGGTAATTCAACACAGCATCCAGGAGACTGTTCCATCAATGCAAATATTTCTCCTTGCCCAACAGAATCATCTCCCTTCTCCTTCGCACTGTTCTTGGAGTCTCCTGAGTCTCCAGAGCAGATTTGAGGGAGTCACAGGGGGAAGGAGGGGAGAAGCCCCACTGCACTAGAGGGAGTCCTTGCACTGGCTTCCGTTTATGCAGTGGGTAGTTGAATCTGACACTCACACATTAATCATGGATTACATAAATATGTGATGAGCATTTTTCTAACATGCTGTATGTGAAGGGGCTGAGCATATATATTGGGATTCCTCAACATTTTTAATCAAGGATCATCTATAGTTGTTTACTTTCCCACTTTCAAGAATTGCTTGCAAGATGAAAGCAAATATTTCCCCCTTCTCCAATTCTTTGAATACAAAAAAGGAAGGAGAAAGGGGATCTCAAAAATTCAGAAGTTAATAGCCAGTAGGTTTTCAGTTTAAATCATTTTGATCTGTTTGTGGGAATGACTTTTTAATGTGTACACCACAGCACTAGTTCTAAAGCCACTATAAAGTTCTGGAAAAGTCAAAGTAGCCTCAGAATAAAAAGTGTCGCTGAATAAAACTACTTCCGATTTAGTTATTCAATTTGAATTAATTTGCCTGCATTACTTGTAGCAACCAAATTCTTTGCATTTCAAAGAAGCTCCTAAAGTACAGTTTGCACAAAGTTACTCATTAGCAATACAAGGAGGGGAGGGAACCCTTCAAGAGATTTTCTATGGCTAGTTAACAAGCTTGGCCATTCCAGCACTTTACAAGTGAATGGACGCCATCCAAACTAAACAGGACAAGGCTTTTCCTTCCTCCCCCTCCCCCTCAAGACCATTCAGGGCCTGAAAAAAAATCTTCTAGTCTGTTTACGCAACTTACAAGCACTAATCACCACAAATGAGCCATTCAGAGCAATTACCATCTGTGGGAGTCAGGTTTGCCTTGGGTGGAAGAAATGGGCAAGCAAGAGGAAGGAGACATCACCACCTCAGACTTTTTAACCTACCTTTGTCATCGTTGTGTCATCCTTTCTGGGAGTGAAATCTCCAAAAAAACGTAAGCTATAGAAGCCAACAACCGAAGAGACCATTAGATAGCTGTGAGAATCAAGGAATAAAAGAACCACTAAAGAATGCCGGTTTCAGACTCCTAGAAGACTTAAGCGCCACAAAGGGAAGGGGGGCAGAGAGAGAAAGAGAGAGAGAGAGAAATAACCACTTTTGAGTGCATGGGAATGGACGGCCTGTCATTTTCTCTCTTCTAGGCAAGTGTCTTAGTAAATTAACAGCGTCCCAGAAAATTAGACAGAATACTTGTTAACAGACAAGAACGCCTACTGAGAGAAAGGATACAAAATCAAAATGATCTCGAGTGCTGCTCCCACAAAACCAAACGTGGACAGAGAGGCATTTCCTATGCCAGGCCCCTGCAAGATTTAAGAAACAAAAGTATTACACAGAGAGCACTATTATTTTTCTGCCCATAAAATCTCAAGTGCATTGGACAGAAGTACTAAAAATGAAGAGTTATGAAGCATCGTTTTCTGATAATCTTCTTACTAAGCTAATCCCTAGCCATTAATAGTCGCACACTATCAAGGCTGAAAACATGAGCCAGACATTTCAAAACGTAATTATTTTCCATCCAGATGAGCTATGTTAGAATGCCAGTGTGCACATTCAGAACAAATATTGAAATGCACAAATAATTTGGCGCAAATAAAGGGAAACCAGGGCAATTGTAAAGCAGCTTGCCTTACTGGCTACTGCAGTCTCAACAGCAAATGCAACTCTTTCTAAATCATGCTCCATGTGTAACTAGAGTAACACAGAAAAGTCACAATATAACTAAGATATATATAAAGAAGGGTGACTATACACAACTGGAGCTTTGTTCAGTCTTGCTGCTGATGTGATCCCTGTTGCTTTAGATACATGCCACTTTAAACTGCTTTCCCCACTAGCGGTGGTGTTAATGGTGACAAACAAACAGCTCTGTGCATTATTAACCTGTACACATATGCTGCTGCTTCTGACACTGATTATTGAGATTGTTCCTTTTATTCTATTTAGATATGTTCCACATGCCAAACAATGTGCGAAGCACACTTCACAATATGAAAACTTGAAGTTGTGTGACTGCTATTAAACTTAAAGTCAGGGACAGAATTCATACTTCTGAACACAGGTCTGCATTTCTATACCCATTTTCCTGAAGCCCACTGAATTCAATGGGACTTTTCCAAGTAGGCATGCATTAGATTGTGCTGTCAATGTGCCTTTTGCTGGTGTTAATATCACAAAAGAAGAACACTTTACCCTTGACCCCTTTGGCATTGCAGTTTCATCAACCAGCAGGCAAAGAATGTTGCAAGCAACCAAGAGGACAGAGATTGCCTTAAAAAGAAAAAGAAACATCAAGTCATGAAGGTTCAAAAATATTTGCTCTATTTCACACTGATTACCATTTCTGAGGAATCTGCCTCTGTACTGGAGAAGTAAACTGAGTGCTAATGGCTCAGGGCAGTGGTTCCCACAGGGTGTGGCCTGCCACACTGGTGTGGCAGGAGAGGGTGGCAAGTGTGGCAGGAAGATTCAAGGACAATCCAAGAAACATTTAAACATTTCAGTGTAGTATAGTATCATATCACATCAATATAATTGTTTTATACTCTCTGGATGTCCCACAATCATATTATAAAGTAGTTGTGTTCTATGTTATAAATCAAGCACAAATAGAAGTTTTTTCTTTTTGTTTTCCAATGTACTTCTTATCAATAAAAAAATTGGTGTGGCACAAGCAAATTTTTATTCTGGAAGTGTGGCCCAGGCCCAGAGAAAAAAGTTTGAGAACCACTGGCTTAGGAAGACAAAAACAGCTCCTTATTATTTTTGTTACTCAGCTCACACACGTACATGAAAAAGATCACTAATCTCAAAAGGACAGATGGGTTTTAAGCAATGGAAGGAAATTACAGCTTACAGTTTCAATTAGCAGCAGGATCATTACAGCTGGATACACAAGATTCCTCTCCCAAGCTGAAGCCTTTTTCCGTCGTTCTTTTAAGAGAAAAATAAGCCAACTTGCTATATTAAGGTGTTTAGAGACAAACATCTTTTCCTATTCTGAAAGTAGAAGTTCTCTAAGATACAGATCCACCACACTTAACTAAAAGCAGCCCCGATTAATATTGTAAGCAAGACTACTGTGGAATTCCAAGGACAACTTCCTTGCCTACCTCTGGTCTCAAGAGCAATTTCTAGGTCATTTATATTGCCCTGCCAGGCAATAAGTGGCACACACATTGCTCCGCGTACTATTAAATTGTCCCTAACCATGACCAGACAAAGTATTGGAAGGATTCATTTTGGGGACATCAACCACCTACCCATCTTTCTGGAATGTTTTCCCCAACAATCTGGCTTCACATATGAGGAAGCACTTGGAACATTCAAACATTTGGCTCCCTGTATGGAGTCTGCAATGGTACCCTTTTTAATGCAGATTACATCACATGCAAAAAGCTTATCAAAAAGAGCTAACATCCCATTGACAGAAGAATGTATATGTGTTTTATTTCCTCTTTTAATATAATTTTCCAAAAGCGTAGTCAACCCATGGAATTTGTTACAAGGTGTGGCAATTCTCACCAACTCAGGTGGCTATAAAAAGTGCTTAGACGAATGAATGGGAGGATAAGGCTTATGATGGATCCAGGACCAGAAACAGAATACATCTGAAGACCAGTTGGTTAAGTACAGCAGTAGGAAAGGGCTACTGCACTCATGACCTATTTGTGGGTTTCCCTAGAGGCATCTATGGGAATTGGGGTGCTGAACTACACAGGTCTTTGGTCTCATCCAGTAGGGCTCTTATTTCCTTATCTTGTGTGACTATATCCATCCATCATCATTTGGGATACTTAATTTTTAAAAACAACTAAAAGCTATTAAGTACATATTTACTGAGTCCCATCAGGGAAAAAGACAGGGCATAAATAAATCAAAACCCATTTACAGGACTGCAGGGTTTCCCGCCATGAAGTGTGATGTTAACAAAACCTATTTACACAAGAGATCGTCTTGGTAATAACACCTGATATGATAAGCACACACATTTCTAACACCACCCAGAAACAGTTTTAAACTGAACTAACAGACACAGGGAACCACAGAAAAGGCCCGATGTAATTACCCAATTTTGTCTTCATACTCTTCACATTACTTAGTTCCTGTTTCAGCTGCTTTGTGTTGTACTCCACTGGTGAAGACATCCCTGTTCAAGAAGAAAGACATGGCCACTTGGTTAGGACTACTAAAACAAACCTGGCTGGATTATAACGGTGCAATAGAAGCAATTGTGCCAGGGCCCATGCCAATAGGGGCCCAAGACTATGAGCTGAAGCTGCTAGCCCTCCAAGCAGTAAAGTTATGAAGCAAAATGTGCAAGCAACCTTCTAAATGATTTCTGTGAGAAGACTCACACCGACTGCTGCCAGCGATGTTTTTAGCCAATGAGTTAAATCAGAACTGTGACTGATGAGTTGTTTGAATCCCAGACTATCGGAATCCCTGGGATCCTAAAGAGTTGCTGTTTTCCTTCCTCTTTCCTGCTTTTTTCTTCTTTTCTAGTCCTTGGCATTTCCATTGCCCTTCCTTTCTTTGCAGAAACCAGGATGCACCTTTCCTGCAGTGGACCATCTGCAAAAATATAAATTGCCCTCTGCTTCCACATGGAAAAAGGCAAACACCTCTTTAACCATTTTACATCAGGAACAGAACCATAGATCACAGGTGGAGCATAATGTTTGTATGCATGGGGTTCCAGGTTCAACCTCTGGCATCACCAGTAATGAGGATAACAGCACAGCTAGGAAAGTCCTCAAAGAGCAGCTGCCCCTTGCAGCAGAGAAGAATGAGCTAAATAATGGGCTACCCTGTATAAAGGAAGCTTTATTTGTCAATACAGGTGTTTGGATGCTCACCAAATCTCGTTGCATCTGCAGTAATTTTCACATCAGTGTTAATGGGAAATACATCAAATCTTTAATATTTACACTGACGCATAAATGACAGGTCTTACAACTTCCTCCGAGATGATAACAAGGCAACACTAATCCCAATATTTTGCCAAAGAGCAAGGCAACATTTTAGAGCAATCACATCAGAACTCTGAGAGACAGCACAAACTATTCAAAGCACTACAGCCTCTCAACTTCATTTCAAACAAGCACAAAAGTTTAATGTCTGCATTGTCTAGCCAATAAATCAAACTGGTAGACAGAACATGTCCAGACTAGTCATGAAAAATTAGAAGGGATTCTCCAAGAAAACCACAAAGCAGCTCATTTAAGGTCAATTTAACAGTATTATTTTGTTTTTCTTCCAGCCCCAACATAATATTTCAGTACCTCAAAGGAAATTGTAGGAGTATCTATTTGCATTCCCTGTAGGTGATTGGCAGTTCAACACCAATTAGTTCAAAATTACACTGTTACTAGTACGCAATAAAAACAACACCTTTCATCTTTCTTACATAGGTCAGAATACCTTCAGAGCCAATAACTTTGATCAAATAAGCATTTTTGATCCTGCCCCACCCGTCTCCTTGGATTCAGGAAAACTAATAGCTAAAGGCAACTTTTCCCTTTTAATATAAAGAAAGTCCTAGCTTTATTCTTTTGGTGTAGGAATGATGTGGGCATTGAAATACAATATGCTAGAAACACTGCTGCCAACCCAGTCTCTTTCGCAACAAGAAAGTTTAGGCAGATCATCCATTGCGGGGATGATTTCCTCACCACCAAAAAAAAAAGCATATGGGGAAAATAAAGTTATATAAAATTCACATTTTATAAATTATAAGCATTTTTAATGATTGGCATGATCTTAAAAAGGCATTTTTAAAAAACACGAGATTAATAATAATTTAAGTTTTTTCAGTTTGATTCCTAGAAGCATTCTGCTAAGCCAGAACCGAAGTAAAAATATTACTGATTCAGATCCCACCGTCTAGGAAATTATGAAGATTATAGCTACCAAAGTTTCTCATTCTTTCCAGGATTAGAAGCAGATTCCATAGTCCTTCATTATGCTAGTACCTGAGTTTCTGCCAAAAATGTGATTAACATCTGTTATATGTGTGTCCACACTTGCAAACAGGTGTTCAATACTTCCTTGTTCAGTATTTGTTAGTTCTCACTAGCATACAAAGACACAGTTCTTCAACAGGTGTGTTTGTTTTTCTTGGACAGATTAGTGGGACAAGCGAAGGTCCACAGCACCACTGAGTTGACTGCCCCACAGACAAAGGAAGATTCTGAAAAGGTTCCATGTTTAGCCCAGGGAATTTATAACACACAAACCAACTAGCCTATTCAAAAAACCGAGGAAAACATTTCCTGTTTTGTGGTTGCAGTTCCAACACCTCTGATCCTACACTGTTGCAACTGAGGATAACAGGAACTGCAGCTTCCTAGTCCAAAGCTGTTCTTTGGAATTCTTCAGGGAGAGGGGATTTTCATCAGGACTGGCATGGGAGAAAGGGTTAACTTCCCTTCCCCGCAAAGTCCTGATTAGTCATAGGGGCAGTATCTCCAGCAATTGCTGGGTGAAGTGCAGGAAGCATACGAAGCTTTATTCTACCCAATGAGACAATTGGTCCATCCAGCTCATTACTGTTTAGACTGACTGGTGGCAACTCTCCAGTTTCAGGCAGTCCTACCTGGAGATACCAGTCTGGTATCCCGGGACACCAGGGACTTTCTACGTGTGGAGCAGACGCTTCACCACCAAGCTATGGTCCTTCTCAACGGTTGACTAACTAGCTGACCCCCTGATCAGGAGCACTCAGCACTGCAATGTTTTGTAGCAGGCCCATCTGTCCACAAAAAGTTGAAAATAGTCAAACTAAAGGGAATGTGACTCTAGTAACTACACGTATTCCAAAGCTTCTCAGCTATACAGTAAAACATCTAAGCAACTGAAATGCATGTTTTAGTCTTCCCATCTGATTCCCTGAAAGGACAGAATTCAAAACCGATTGTGTCAAAACACGATTTCTCTTAAGGAAAGAAAGGGGGGAGGGAACCATGACCATTCCATGAACACCAAGGAAACAATAATGAAATACACAGCAACAATTATTGTGCAGTTCCATCATAACATCACACTTGGTAGTTGGGGGAAAAATAATTACTCCACTGTAGTTTCAAAGAAATTCACTGACATTTGTGCTAAAGGTAACATGTAAACCTGTTCAATGAAACAGATGCTCTGCTCTAAAAATCTCAAGGTAGTCTTTGAAATTCCAACTATAATTCTCTGTATTTTAGATGCTTATACAAATAAAACGATTCTCTATGGTTAAATTATGACATGCAATGCCCTTGAGCTCATTTGGAGGTTCTAGAAGGGCAGCACAGCTATCATATGCCTTTGGCCGAAGAACGGTGCATTCATTCTAATCTGAGATAGTCATCCTCTTCCACCGAACTTGCAGCTTCAGGAAGGATGCCCATGGAGCAGTGAGGGAGGAAGGGCCCAATCACCTTGGCGACCAATGGAGTGACAGACGTCACAGCCAGATCACCCTCAAAACAATGTCACTTCATTGAAATTGTCATCCTATTTTTGTTTCTTGTTTTTTTTCTTCTTATGACCTTCATTTCTATACTGCCAGAACAGTACACAAACACTTGGGCCACAATCCAGCAGCATGTGCATACCCTCTGATGGAAAAGGACAATATGGTATTCCTTTCTGTGAGTTTCCTGTAACGTTTTCTGCATAGCATGTAAAGAAATGGTTGGCATCCATCTGTTTTGAGAGGCAAGGGAGTGTGCCTCCAGTGGTTCTGAAGTCAAATCGCTGCATTAGCAGCACCAAAGTGACCTCTCCAGGGTGCAAGCCTGGGACGTGTGTATGGGGGTCCTGGGCTGCCCAGATGACAAGACCCCCCTCTCTTGGCCTCGCTGATGTGGTCCAAAGGAAAGCAGAGTGCGTTTGGCACCAGCTTGGCTGCAGCAACTTCCAGAATGAGGCATACAAGGAGGCATACAAGGAAATATATTCTTGGTTCTGCCTTTACTTAAAATGGCTGCCTGCACCACAATCCGTTCAGAGCGCTTCCTGTCCTTAAGCAAAGGCAGGTTTTTATCGAAAAGAAATGTGGCAGCTTGTAACGCTTATCATTTCTGTAGAAATGTCAAAATATTGCCTCTTTATACAACCAGATACAAGAAGAACCACCGCAAGTATCAAACATACCTACCATTTAGCCTCCTCATGATAGCTTCTTCTTCTAAGGTGATGATATATATCTGTTCATCCAAGTCTTCAAGGATCTAAGTCAGAAATTTAGACACTAGATAAATATGCATTACAGGTAGTCCATACACAATTCACCATGTGCAAAACCTAGAGGGAATAGGAGCCTAGGCATGAGGACAACCTATACCACTGGGCCAAGTGTGAACTGGCCCTCAGCTGACCAAAATGGCAACGTTTATTTTTAAAACAATGCTTCTGACATTCTCCTAGGTTTTTCTCTTGGTTCCCAAACACAATAGATAATTTTAAATTTGTGCATATAGAATTGATCCGAGAAAAATTCTTCATGTTGTCTACATATGGGGAAGGTTTGTTAAAAAAACGTTCAGTTGATGACACAGGTCAAGACCGCAATTCTGAAAATATGCAGGTACAGATTTATTTATATGTAGGACCCAGGTTACAACATAAAAGCATTTTCCTATAACAAAGACTATGAAACAAAAACTTTCAAGTTTGTTCAGACCTAATATTTTTTCTAGAAAGGTATTACAGTTTAAGTCACCTGGCCTGGGATAGCTCAGTCAGTAGCACATGAGAATCTTAATCTCAGGGTTGTGGCTCCGAGCCCCAAATTGAGCAAAGGATCCCTGCATTGTTGGGGTTGGACTGGATGACCCTCAAGGTCCCTTCTAATTCTATGATTCTATGAATCTGTGATTCTAACAGAACTTGGTCAAACACAGACTTTTTAGGTAAAGCTACTTTCTAGTTTGGGATTCAGGTCCCAAGCACCATATTTTTGGGCCCGTTACATGTGCCTTCTCCACACACTTGCCATGATCCCATACATACAATTTCATGTTATCATAAAAGAAATTTTTCTAATTCTGAAATTAAATTGTATACCTTTCTGAAATTGCACCATGGTGCGCACTGAGGTTTCTCTGCCATGCCCCCAAACACTCCTCATTTCTGCTATTTTGTTAGAACACAAATTCCAGCCTCAATGAAAGTTCTACAAAGCTTGCTGACTATTTTGTAAAAAAAATGGTCCTAACAAAGGGAGTAATGTTTTGCTTTTTTTATCATATTGTACCAACACAGCAGCAAACGTTTTACGAATAAATCGATTCATTTCACAGTTTTATCTTTCTGCACTTTTTCTTTGCAAAATCATAGATTGTTTTCCAAAAAAAATCAATTTCTCATTAGATCCCTTGACCGACAAAATAGCCAGGTGCCATAACCGCAGTTTTTGATGAGTGCAAGCTTGCTTACACTTATTTCAGTGTCTGACAGAGAGCCTGGCAGTGTGCAAAAAGTATGGAGGGCTATACACACTTCACTGAAAACTAACTGCTGTTGTTTGTTGCAAATATCCTTTAGTAAGGTAAGTGATGATACTTCACACTCTTTTCCAAGTGGACTTGGAATATTTATTTTCAGGTGGAAATGTCTCTGAAATATCTGTAGGATATGTGTGAAACAGACATTTAGATGTTTCCTCCGGTTTATCGGGGCCTAGTTAAGTATTTTATGACTGAACAAAATATAGAGCATATGGGTTTATTTGATTACAATTTAGCCTCATTATCCCCTCATGGTAATGGGGTTACAGCCTGGCCAGACCAGGCTCCTACTTGATCTTAACCCACCCACCCCCATGCCTGGGACCTGTTTGGATTTGCTTATTCCATCAAAGCAGGCAACACCTACCGTTGGCTTTACAAGCAACTGACCCATCACTGTAAACATTCGTGAAAGTCCCACTGGTGTGCATACTGTGGAGGAAAACGAAAGATAACACAGTTCTAGACTCCATTAAACAGAATCTGAAAGAATTAATATAGGGAACGGACAATTGTAGTTAGCAAGAGAAGCTCCATTCTGCCCAATAGTTTCATAATTTGTTGCAATGCAGGATAGGTATTGGCTGTTTTCAAGCAAGTCAGAAACTCTAGTAAGGGTATGGAGTTAGCTTTACACTTGTCTGAATTACGGCCAAATCCATTTCCTTTTTCCATTTTATTATTCTGTCTTATTCTCATATCACTGAAATTTAAAACTGAGAATGATTCAAAGATGAGTTGTTTTGTCCAATTTATGAGAAACTACCTCCACCCTGTTACTGGTCAATATTCTGCCACCAATAATGAAGTTCCTGGGAGTATCTTGTAGAAGTTTTATTGTTCAAGTAAAAAGTTAAATTAGATACAGTTTGTAAGCTTGTATTTCTATGCTGCAAGTTGCCCAGACAACAATGTCACAAAGTGACTACATAAATATACTTAGCAGATAAGTAAATAAATATCCCTCCCCTTTTAACAGATGCTTCTACACTCTGAGCATATAGTGGGATAGTAACAGAGCTCAGCGGCAGAGCATATGCTTTGCCATGCAGAAGGCCTGGCTTCAAACCCCAGCATCTCCAGCCAAAAGTATATCAGGTAGCATAACATCATAAGAGGAGGCTGCTGAATCAGACCAATGGCCCATGTAGTCCAGTATCCTGTTCTTACAGTGGTCAAGATGCCTACGGGAAACCTGTAAGGAGGACCTGAGCACCATCCGTGGAGGCAGAGCACGGCCTCTGTCATGGCTAAAAGCCACTGAGGGACTTGTCTTCTATGAATCTGTCTAACCCCCTTTTAAAGCCATATAGATGGTGTGAAAGATCGCTGTCTGAGACCTGAAAAGCTGTTGCCAGTCAAGAAGAAGAAGAAGAAAAGAGTTTGGATTTGATATCCCACTTTATCATTACCCTAAGGAGTCTCAAAGTGGCTAACAATCTCCTTTTCCCTTCCTCCCCCACAACAAACACTCTGTGAGGTGAGTGGGGCTGAGAGACTTCAGAGAGAAGTGTGACTAGCCCAAGTTCACCCAGCATCTGCATGTGGAGGAGCGGGGAATCGAACCTGGTTCACCAGATTACGAGTCCACTGCTCTTAACCACTACACCACACTGGCCCAGAGCAGACCATTCTGAGCTTGGTGAAGTTTGACCTGGCATAAGGCAGGCTCCTCTGTTTCTCTATATCTCACTGGGGGCACCCAAGCTGCTGTACGCAGCTTTGTCCTGAGATGTTTATTTGTTGCTCAGGTTCAGGCAACTGGCAAGCATGCTGTCTCCTCTTGTTCATACGCTGCAGACTACAATTGTAACTTTTCATGACACCTTGCTAGCTCTCAAATATGCGGTCTCCAATTTCCCTTCTGTATAATGGACAAAACTCAAAACAGAGGGATATAAGAAACAAGTCTTTACATTTTTTTTACATACGAAAAGGAGCTGTTATGAATGCCAAGATATGGTTTTTCCAGCACTGAAGTTTTCACAACTAGTGAGCGCATTTATAAACAAATGTTGTTAATACTAGTCAAAAACCAATAGCCAGGGTGAAAGGATAAAGGCGTTGATACTAAAACGTCAAAAATAATTACATATGCATTACTTCCTCTTCTGGTATATACTGCAAGACTTACGTAGAAGTAATAAACATCCCATCAGTGATATACAGGAATATAAATAAGGGAGGTAGAATTCCCAAAGATCTGAAAATAAAAAAGGTAAAATGGATTCAGCTTGTACACTATTTTGTCTCATTTGGGCAATAACATGGGAAAAAAGTATGCCGATCACCGTGCAATCATTCTGCTGCTGTCTTCGTAAACAATTATACTACTACGCTTACAAATTTTTGGACCACAAACATTTACTTTAACACTTTAACAGTGGCTGACTGAAGACATGGACAAATCTATCCTATGAATGCATATATTTGTCAAGTTGCCTTAGCCTCGATTAAGACTCTTGCTGAGCAGAGAAATGCAACTCCCCATACCTTCTGTTCGCCGCAGTGGTTAGAACCTAGAACTGCAAGTTATTCATATCAATGTTTTGAAAACAACAGAATATGTTATAAAGATGTCCGTACCATACAATGACTCCATACTCGCAGCATCATTGTCTATGAGAGCTGAAGCCACCCAAACGATTCCAAGGATAAGCAGTGCAAGAAGAATGAGCATAACAAGGGTTTCCAAAATGCGTGCTTTGATCCCCTGTAACAAAAAATAACTTGCAGTTAAAACACACACAAATATATATTGACCCACACACAGCTGATCACCATATATTTCCTTCCATAAGTGACTTTTGAGAGCCTAAACTAGACTTTCTTCTTTTAAAGCCACAGACAAGAGTTTACAGTTACTAACTGGCATCACAGTCTTTAACAATTTTATTCCATAAATCTTAATATTTTCACAGGAGCATTTTCAAATGACAAACTGCTTTTATTAAGTCACTCAGCTGAGAAAGGATATTGGTCAAATGTTATCTACAGTTCCAGTCAAGAGAATGGAAAACCAAGTATGGTATGTAATCCAGCCGGCATTAGTTTGCTCAAGTACAATGTGCCAATCCATTTACAGTCTTCCACCATAATGGTTTCTGCTCTGTTCCTTGCAATGTGAACACCCTCAAGAGCACAGCACTACACATACTTGAGATGTAATACCAGTTCCTTCACATGTAGGTTATTGGAGATGGCTGGGTTTGATATAAACATGGCCCAACACACACCAGTTTCTCCTGGGCCAGACACCCAGATCCTCACTTTAAAGTTCCAGCAATGCCAGAGGGCTACTTTCAATTCAGCAAGAGAAGGTTGCAAGTTTTAAAAGCTTAGCTTCATTTTCATAAAAGCACTTCAAAAATCCTTCTATACTTCCAAATCCAATTTCCCTATGTCTATCTCATTTCTTTTCACAATTACAGCCATCCTGCAGAGGCGCATAAAGGACCTGATAATTACCGTATTTTTCGCTCTATAGGACGCACTTTTTCCCCTCCAAAAATGAAGGGGAAATGTGTGTGCGTCCTATGGAGCGAATGCAGGCTTTCCCGGGCTTCCTGCAGCTCCGCGCCACCCTCCGGATCCCGGCGCGAAGCCGCGCGGGGCTCCGGAGGGTAGCGCGGAGCTGCCTGTGCTCCAGGGCTTCTTGCAGCTCCACGCCACCCTCCGGATCCCGGTGCGAAGCCGCGCGGGGCTCCGGAGGGTAGCGCGGAGCTGCCTGAGCTCCAGGGCTTCTTGCAGCTCCGCGCCACCCTCCGGATCCCGGCGCGAAGCCTCGCGGGGGCTCCGGAGGGTAACGCGGAGCTGCCTGCGCTCCAGGGCTTCTTGCAGCTCCGCGCCACCCTCCGGATCCCGGCGCGAAGCCGTGCGGGGCTCCGGAGGGTAGCGCGGAGCTGCCTGCGCTCCAGGGCTTCTTGCAGCTCCGCGCCGCGCGGGGCTCCGGAGGGTGGCGCAGAGCTGCCTGCGCTCCAGGGCTTCCTGCAGCTCCGCGCCACCCTCCCGATCCCGGCGCGAAGCCGCGCGGGGCTCCGGAGAGTAGCGCAGAGCTGACTGCATTCCGAAGCCTGGTGCGCACTGAAGAGCGCACCCGGGCTTCGCGCACCTCTCCACAAGCCTGGGGAGACCGGCTCGGTTCCCTAGGCTTGCGGATAGCAGGCTGTTCTGGGGGCTGGGGTCGGGGGAAGCTCGGGCTTCCCCCGCGCCTGCCCCGTGCCTGGGGAGGGAATTTTTTTTTCTTTATTTCCCCCCCCAAAAAAATTAGGTGCGTCCTATGGGGCGGTGCGTCCTATGGGGCGAAAAATACGGTAATTCTTCTAAAAAGCAGAATATGCCTGTAAAGTAACTTTTCAGCTCATGTATGAATGGCAGCTGACTTTACAGTCTTGAAGCAATGAGAGACTAGGAAGCCACAAAGCATAATTACTAAGAAAGAAGCCCTCTCTCCTCCCCTAATAAATCTGTATTAAAGAGGATTACTATTATGTCAATTGAAACACATTAAGACATGCCTCAATAAGTGTGTTTACAACTTATACCTAGAGGGTAGTTTCTCTCCATTCATGAAGTATATGTTTTCTGATGACAGTTCCCTGTTGACTCTGAATCAAACTTTTGACTTAAAATTTTCAGATTTTTGTACTTTTGGAAAATTCCAGGAATATGTAGAAGCAGAAAACACACCAGGCTACCACACACATACAATTATATGGATTGGCTAACAAATATTAAGTATTATTGACTCAGAATCAAATGAAAAAATATCAAGTCTTGTCAAGACTGTGTGTATTAGACTACAGATAAAATTTCTTTTAATTGTGAGAAAAGCCTGACTTGTTAGGTTGGTATACTAGATTTGGAGCTTTCTGCAGTCATGCTTGAGGCTTACATTAATATGCATTTGTAGCTAGTGTCCTCATTAAATTAGTGAAAATCACAGAAGCTGCCTTTGTTGTTACAATTATTCACTATTGGGACATGAGAGTCAAGAAACTTGAATCAGAGTTAGCAGACCTAAATGGAAGGGGAGCAACACAATTTTTGAATATACTCGGGGTAAAAGATGCATGGATGGATGACATACAGAAGCCTCATAGTGTCTAACAAAAATTGTTGTCTCTCGTTCATTAAAAATAAATGAACTTGGTAGGCTGGTGGAAACCTACACATCCTACAATGCTTGCCCCAAAGTGCTATCAGCAGTAATATATACATATATTAAAGGAAGCAAAACATCAAATAAGAATACTAGACTAAGGGTCATTTTAAAATAATATATTTGCATGAATATTTATTTTAAAATATTTTGATACCACCTTTCACATCAAGTATTGAAGTGGTGTAGTAGAACAATTATCAAAATTTTAAAATTCAAGAAGAAAATGCAAATAAAAACTAGGGAAGAGATATTATGACAAGCATTAGCAAAGATAGGTGTTTTTTAAATACCATAGGATTGCATTGAAAAACAGGGAGAGCAAGCTCCTTCTGGTATCCTGGCCCCAAACTGTTTAAGGCTTTATAGCTCAATACCAAAACCTTAAACCTTATTAGGTGACAAAATTCAAACTGATTATTAAGGTCAATTAAAATTTTCAAAGATCTTAAACTTAAGCTGTCTATTTCAACAAACTGAATCAGCATTGCAGGAGTTCAAGTACACTAAATTATCAATGAAGTTAAAACAGTTATATCCCTTTTAAAAAAGTAGAGGAGGGGCCTGAACAATAAGCTGACATGTTTCTATGGAAATCAGGATTTAACACACAATTCTGGCAGAACATCTTGGCCTCTTGCAATGTATGTTAACATTACTTTTTATTGGCACTGCCCTCTATGCAACTGGCAAATCTGAGAAACACCCATGAAACAGACCCAACCAGAACTTTTTGCACCTGATTAATTCTTTTTCTAGGAGATGTACTTAGGAAGAAAATATTGATAAAAATATTCTTTTCTAATGCTAGCACAATAATTTAGCATTCCAATACCACTCCAGGACTTTAAAAAAATAAAAAATGAGGCAAAAATGAATGAGGCAAAAATAGGTAAATTCGTTTGTTTCATATAATTTATTCTTGTCAGCAAAGGAATGGGCAGGGTTGTTGCATGGTGTAGACCTGGCCCAAATTACTTGCCCATCATCTGTACTGAAGTCACCCTGAAGTCACCGATGCTGCTGCAGTTTTAATTAGCAACCATAGTATCAAATGTCCTATATTGTGGCTTTTATAGTTCGAGGATTTTCAAATTTATGTTTAATAATTGCCTTAGCCACTATTTGCAAAGAAAGCCCTAAGCCAGCGAGGATGCCACTTTAAACAAAACATCTATAGTAGTACCGTATTTTTCGCCCCATAGGGCGCACCGGCCCATAGGACGCACCTAGTTTTTTGGGGGGGGGAATAAAGAAAAAACTCCCCGACCCCAGAACAGGCTGCTTTCCGCAAACCTAGGGAGCCCGGCGGGAAGACGCGCCGGGCTCCCTAGGGTTGCAGAGAGCTGCTCGAAGCCTGGGCGCGCTCTTCAGCGCGCCCCAGGCTTCCGGATGCAGGCAGCTCTGCACAACCCTTGGGAGACCGGCACGAAGTCGCACCGGTCTCCCAAGGGTTGCACAGAGCTTCCTGAAGCCTGGAGAGTGAGAGGGGTCAGTGCGCACCGACCCCTCTCGCTCTCCAGGCTTCAGCGAAAGCCTGCATTCGCCCCATAGAATGCACACACATTTCCCCTTCATTTTTGGAGGGGAAAAAGTGCGTCCTATAGGGCGAAAAATACGGTATGTTTTAAATGAATTTTAGATAAAATATTAACTTAAGATTTTAGCACATGTCAAAACATTGGATAGCCTTTGATGTCACTGGTTAAACAACTTTTGCTTCTAGTTCTGGTAATGAAAAAGTAAATGGGGTGTAATATAGTGCAGCACAATTCAGCTGCATACCAGTAAACATTTCGCTGAGATCAGAGCGCTATAATTTCAGTCTGTGATGAATTATTTTTATAGACAAATAAATATGAGAGTAAATGCCAAATAAACACACCCTTCTAACCACATTCCATTATTCTGTTTGGAAAGCCAATATTCACAGTAGCTTGTGCTTATCCCAAACTTCAGATATTTAAGCAGGCATAGAGTGGGCTTCTGTCATATAAAGGAACTCTCTTCTCATTAACAATTTTTCTGGGAAGCTATACAGAAAACTCTGTTTGGGAAAAAGGCAAGAGTTTAATCAAGAGATGATTCCCCAGTGTAGAGCTGCCCTCGTCTTTAATAGTATTACCAAGAAATAAAAGGGATTAAAGTTATTCCAGAATTTTTTTAGAGGAACAAAATGTTTTTAACAACAAATCCGCTAAGTGATGCACTACAAATATTCCATCACAGTTAAGATAATTCTGCACTTACTTCTTAAAACATGTAAAAGTCTGTTAAGATACCTGGCAAGAAAGCCAAGATCTAAAGCATTTGTACTAAACAATATTCAAAGATGATGCCAAATAAGATTCTCTGCCAAAAAAATCAAACATTAAACCTGTATGTAAAGCTGCTCCATCAATTTCTAAACCTACTATTCTTGGCAATGCTGAAATTTCAAATAACGTAGTTTATGAACTCCAAAATCTATCAGGAATGATCCTCTGAACTAAGAAGTCACAACGTATCAGTCATCTATGTTAAATAGCCAGCACTAATTTGCTTTTTTTCTGTTTAAAAAACATATAGGACCTAAAATCACCACAAAGGTGTAAATTATTTAACTGAAGTTTTATAGATTTTTTCCCCCTGCGTATTATCAGTACAGTGCCATGCAGTCTCTTGTTGCAAATTGTTTCTCACTGCTGAAAATTTAGGAAACGATTTTGAAGAACTACAGAAATGCTTAACATAACTTGAAGCACTGAGCTGTCATAAATAAAGTCTTTTGGGCAGTGGTCTCTCACTCATATCTCTACAAAAAATAAGGCTAAGCCTGTTTTATTTTTAAACAGTTTTCTTATTACAACTGTTCTATGCTAGAGAGGGAGAGGTGGAAGTGGTGATGGGGTTACTACTTGACACACAACAGCTGGTGAAATATTGCTCTATTTTTTGTAACAAACACCAAGATCAAAACATTATGCAAGTTAAATTTCCTTGAAAGGTTCCCAGCAGGAGCCTTCCTTTTTGTTTTTCGCAGTGCTTGATTTCCTTTCACCCACAAAAAAAAACGGCTCACCAAGAACATCCATGTGCCACTAACACTAAGCAGCACTTCCTTAATCACTTATTTCCAACAATTTATGGATGATCAGTGGCAAAAAAACGAGCAAAAATAATGAAAGAACGCAATGAAGCGTCCTTGAGACATACTGGCTTAGACTTCCTACTCATTTCTCTGTCTCTTTAACATTGGGGGCCTGATACAAATTAGCCACTGAGGGGGGGAAAGTCATCTGGTCATAAAATACAGTACAGGGTCACTTTTATGTAAGTTTGCCAAAAGGGACATAAACCAGGACAATTTCAAACTGTGACACAGGATAGAAGTATATTAAAACAATCTTTGTTCCTCCTCTATTGTGCTGTCATGTTGCTCAGCTTTATAGATATTCTGAGCACCAACACTGGCCTCTTCACTTCCACCTGGCCTACCTAATTAATTAAGCAAGGAAGTTACCTCAAAATTTTCTACCATTTGCTTTTATTATCAAGCACTCTCTTTTGATGTTCTCAGAGTTAACTTCTTAATCCACAGACTTTTTGTGCTGTGTTTCAAACATGAAGATGTCTGGATACTTTGCATAATTGGTCAGGATGTTGCTGTCGCTCATGGTAAATTTTATGCCATAACTTCAAGGGCAAAAAAAAAAACCACACACACAAAAACCCAAGGTGAAAGTATGCTCTGGTGTGTGTTTTTTATTCATGTTTCAAATTTCGCATTTCAGTAAAATACAAATGATGCCCCTTCAGAAGCACTTCTTGCTATGATAATGCATTTGATGATATGTCAAGAAGCATCACTATAGCTAGGTTATGAACACATATAAACAGCATTTATCTTTCAATTGAGAATAAACACAAATTGAACTTATGGCCTTTCTGTACACATTGTGTGCACTGCTCCCCTGGGTTCCTTTGGGAGGAAAGGAAAAATAGAAATTTAATAAAATACATACATATACACTGACAGCTGAGATTTCAACATATAGGCCGAAATCCAAATCGCTCCTTAAGCAAATGCAAAAGGTTTATCATGGAACATGGAAATGTAAGAATTACTGTATTTTTTGCTCTATAAGATGCACCAGACCACAAGATGCACCTAGTTTTTGGAGGAGGAAAACAAGAAAAAAAATATTCTGAATCTCAGAAGCCAGAACAGCAAGAGGGATCGTTACGCAGTGAAAGCAGCGATCCCTCTTGCTTTTCTGGCTTCTGGGATAGCTGCACAGCCTGCATTCGCTCCATAAGATGGACAGGAGGGAAAAAGTGAGTCTTATAGAGCAAAAAATACGGTACTTTCCTTTCCAACAACCTGCATCCCCATGCCGTATCCCCTATAATAACAAACTCAGGGCAATACAATCAAACCAAAATGAGGTTACTGAGAAACAAGAGGGAGAGATCAGCTTAATTGGGTGAACTTCAAGCAACTTAGAAGTCTAAAACTTTTTTTTTTAATTCAGAGGGGGAAGCCTATTCTATTCTATTCTGATCACATGCTGTAGGCAGGAGCAATGATTTCTGAGATGTCAGCTCGCTCTGATCAGTTTTTCAGACTCGCCAAGCTATAGCAGGTGTTAACTGTGTCCTTCTGTAAAACATCTAAGCAGAATTGTATACCTCCCACCCCAGATCAAAACAAGGATACATAGAAAAATGTAGAAGTAAATAATGAACACATATTTTTAACAGAAAACTGAACTGCACACCCAAGAAGAGAGGGCCCTAGTTAAACCCTCGTCACCTATCTTCCCATTTCTGTAAGTTGACAAGGGGTTAACTCGCTTGGGACATACCACAATGGTTCCCAACTGGACGGGTCCCAATTGCAGTGCTAGTGATCAAAGCACCTGATGCGAAACTGTGCAGCCGAATGCCACATCAGAGGAAGACCACTTGTAAGCTCCTTACAAGTTATAGTATTCTAGAAGATATACTGCAATATTTTGTTGCTGATAAACTTGTCACAAACTGTTTTAAAAACTCATGAGTTTTTGTGTTCATGGGTGGGGGGTGCTATCTTGAAAAGAACATGTCGAAAGGTCCTTGTTATCAAGAACTAATTCCACAGTTCTTTGGATCACAGGCTCAGAAGGCAATGGTGTTTTGTTTTGTTTTGTTTTGTTTTGTTTTGTTTTGATTTGTTTATGCATGCATGTATGTATTATTACATTTATAGGTAAAGGTAAAAGATCCCTAGATGGTTAAGTCCAGTTGAATTTGACCTTGGGGCACGGCGCTCATCTTGCTTCAGACCGAGAGAGCTGGCCTATGTCCGCAGACAGTTTTTCCAGGTCATGTGGCCAGCATGACTAAACCACTTCTGGCACACGGAACACCGTGACGAGTGCCAGATCACACAGAAATGCCATTTACCTTCCCACTGCAGCAGTACCTATTTATCTACTCACGCTGGTATGCTTCCAAACTGCTAGGTTGGCAGGAGCTGGGACAAAGCCATGGGAGCTCACCCTGTCATGTGCGGATTCAAACTGCCAACCTTACAATTGGCAAGCCCAAGAGGATCAGTGGTTTAGACCACAGCACCACCTGCGCCCCTATTACATTTATATCTCAAGGTGGTGTAATAGTTCTCCCCACTCCATTTTATCCTCACAACAATCCTGTGAAGTAAGTTAGGCTGAGAGACTGTGACTGGCCCAATGTCACTCGCTGAGCTTCTCGGTCAAGTGGGGATTTGAACCCTTGTCTCCCTAGTCTGACATTCTCCCTAATCTGACATTCTAACCACTACACCACACTAGCTCCAAAGAGCCATGAGGGGAAAGGAGGACACTCCCATTGCTGTTTTGGAAATGCTTGCAGAAGAGCTTCCTTATACCATCACACAGCACTATAGCAATCCTCATGCTTCTGCTTGCAGAAGCAGAAGAACATCCTTGATTTAGCTACATTTTTCTGACACAGTGCTCAAGTGCATGGCATAAAATAGTCCTTTCACAAACAGAAGACACCTTCCACATAGGAAAGTGTAGCTTGGCTCTAACACAATGACACAGAGAAGCTGCCAATTCACATGATAGGTAAATTATTCCAAAAAAAACCAGCTGAAGCACCAGCTGCATATTAACAACAAGAAAAAGTCCAGCAGCAGATGAACAAAATCTCCTTGGGCAAAATATAAATCAAGAATTAAAATATAGGAAATTAATTACATTGCCTTTCTTATGTGCTTTTAATGCTTTGTGTATCGCAATGAGTGAATAAGTGAAAAAGTAGATTCGAAAAATAAGCCTAGGTGAAATAATTTGGGTAACTAAAACAATTATGTTTGTTTACTATCAAGGCAATAATGAACTCCAAGACATTTAACAAGGATGTAAGTACTGAAAACCAGCTTTCAGAGTGAAGACGGATCTATCTAGATTTACAATTTAAAGAATATGGAGAAAACTGCAGACCCAATAAAAAAATGTAACAGTGGACTAAGGGAAAAGGCCATTTAAGCCCCTTTTAAAAAGCAGTGAGTTAATCCCCTTAGGCCTAAAATATCCTGTCTGAATTAACAGAATGGTTTAATTAAAACCCTAGACAGAGAATCGTGTTTAGTTTGATTTTCAGAACACTGCATCCATCCGTGGTGAGTGGCCAATTTCCGTATCTGTATCTCTGTGTAATATGGAAGTGGTTTTAAAAAAACAACTTTTGCCCAAGGGAATCAATGGGAGCCTTCCAGAGAAACCATATGCCATAGAGAATGAATGCCATCAATTAGAACAGAATAACTCACAATAAATTTGCAAGCAGCAAAGGGTGGTAGTGATGAGGATTTATCTTTTTTAAACAAACAGAAAATTTTAGTCTAGTTGTTATAAACATTACTAAGGCCTACTTTTCATTATCAAAATATATCATAATTTATTATACAATATATTACACTGGGGTAGGGGGTTAAGTTCTAGCTGTCAAGCCATCAGCCGGTACCCAAAAAGAGTCAGAAGACTTTCTTTCATAACTGCAAATTTAACACTGTCTATTCCTTAACTGTAGTAATAGGTTCAGGAAGGTAGCCGTGTTGGTTTGACGCGGTCAAAATATATATTAAAAATGTCCAATGGCACCTTAGAGACCAACAAAGTTTGTTCTGGGTATAAGCTTTCGTGTGCATGCACACATCTTCAGATAAACAGTAATAGTAATAATAGGGTTAGGAAAAGGTAACAGAATTACATATTCCCATCAGCCTTAAACAAAGGCAGTGTAGCTATGGTCCAGAGACAAAGCCATGGTGAACACTATCCAAGACTTGTTTCCAGAATCAGCACAGAGATAACAACAATCATGTCAAAAGAAGCAGGGACTGAGGGGAGAGAGTATGTGTTTCTAAAGAAAATGCACATTCCTTAGCTGGATCCCAGCTCCCTAATGATGATTAGGGGATTAGTATCATTACATCTGTGGAAGCCTCAGATATCAGATACAGATTGTAGTCCTACCTAATGGGAGAACCCCAAGACTTGTTGAGGGGAAGGATAAATGGCTTTTCAAATGCTATAAAAATACTCACCATGAAGTAATATCAAACATCAATTCACATGCTTTGAATCAGATAGTTCAGAATTCACTCACTTCATCACTTACATTCTCATAGAAACTTGCACCTACTTCCATTAACAAATGGTTTGGGAGCACCTAATCTTGCTCCCTGAAATTTGCCATTTTAAAGGAAGGTGTAAATAGATACAAGGAAAAAGCGAAGAGTTTTAATTGTTTATATTCAGGCCGCTACATTTAATCAATTTATCCAGAAGCATGTTTATACAGATTTTTTAAAAAAATCTCTAATTTATTTACATTTTTAATATAGTAAAAAACAAATTCATTATTTTGGAAAAACCTATTTCCATTTCATTTATTGAGGAGTATGATTGTGTGTGTAAGAAAGTTTCATAAACACACACACACACACACACACACACACACACAACAGATACAAAAATTCCTCTGCAAGCATGGTATGTACATTTTCATACACCACCACCTGTGAAGCAATGTAGGTATCAGATATTCAGTGAAGGGTGACAGCACAATGGTAGAACATCTGTTTTGCATGATGAAGGCCCCAGGTTCAATTCATGTTATTTCCAGGTACAGGTGAGAAAGACTCCTGTCTAAAAACCTGGAGAGCCGCAGTCAGACATGTTGACAGTACTGACCGAGATCGACCAATGGCCTGACTAGCAGATTCCAGGATCACTGGGATATCTGAACTGTTTTCATGCTCATACGCTGTCATATGCATTTTGTCCTATCTGGGCTTCAAAATATAAATCTGTCTGAACAGGAATACGAAGGAGACTTCTAGATTGTATCTATGGGGACTCCACATGAAGAGGAAAGGGTTAATTCAGATGGCAGAGGTGGAGGATAACCTGCAGAAGGAAACTAAGACTAAGGAGGAGACCATACCAAACAATGGGAGGAGTTAGCAGTCAGCAGCTGTTCTATTTAGCTGATTGCAGTCTCTGGGAGCTTGCAACCAGGACTTGTAAATAGGGGTGTCTGAAGTGTGTTTTGAAGGGAAGGCCCAGAGTGCTGTCACAGTGCGCCTGGTGCAAAATATTACTCAATTTTTTAAGTGTCAGCCCAATGGTGGACCTGTCTTTTTATGGCCCTGAAGCTTCAACAGTTATGGAGGACCATTTGCAACCAGCAATGTCTGGGTAACCACTGTTATTTTCTTCAGTGGGGTTGTTCCACAACAGATCACTGTACCGTTACAGCATCTGTGCTACTGACTCTCAAGCTTTGGGATTGTTGAAATATATACAACCAAAAATTAATCAATTTAAGTCGCGTGACTCAATTTGGGTCTACTAGACCCAAAATTGTAAAGCAATGGGACTAAGGTCGCTTCTGGGCCCTGAAACTTAAGCTTCATTATTTTGTAGTAGTCCCTTGTGTCAATCACAAGCATGCCACAAAGTTAACTATTCAGGTTAAGTCACATTCAACACTGAATATTTTTGTTATTTAATAAACCGTGTTTAAATTATTAATGCTAATTCATATATAATTTTACTGTAATATATTTCATAGATTCATAACGTATTTCAGATATAAATTTCCTTCATTAAATCTCTCACTCACTCACCTGTTATACTCCTTCAAAAATATTATTTGTGTACTGTGTTATTTGTTTTATTGTAATAGCAAGGTTATCAAACCTAATATATTAAGAGGACTAGCCTGAATGCAGACCAGCCAAGAGTTTTGTTGCTACTATAATATATTTTTAAGTTCCTATTACTCAGGTTTATAAATAATTATTGCCAACACCAATTACTATCATCATTTAACACACATCAATTTGTTTTAGCATAGATTCTAAAAGCTGGCCATTAGTTTTGTATATATAGCGTTGCTGGCTGCTCACAGTATTTTAACCATCACATTCACATATATTGAATACCCACGCACCTTTTTTAAGCCAGCAAAGCCTTCCGACTCCAGAAAGAAGAAAGCAAAGGGCATCAGTACAAACAAACAAAGGTTGGAAAAGAGAGAAACAAGATTCCATAAGCCTAGAGAAAAACAAAATGTATGTGTTACTTGTGAAAACTGCAGAACCTTTAAAGTATAACACAAATGAGTTCTATCATTTATTCCACAACACCCTCACTGAAGTGAAGAAACATGCTCAGTTATTTCTAATGATTTCAAGTTTACTATAGCTGAAAGGGGGTGGGGAAATTAGCAAAAAGGCGGGCGGTATTATCCTGCAAAACCCCTTCCCCGAGCTGTAAATTTGGGAGACATGTAAAAGAGGGCATCCCTGGCTGGCTATACTGCACAGATATCCTGTTTTTTTTAAAAAAAATACAGTATGCCAAAGCAGCTACCCAGAGTCAGCCAAAATGAGCAAAATGGTAAGGGAAAAGGCCATGTTTGTGAAATCTTTGGAATAAACATGTTGGTTCTGTGAAATTTATTCATACCAAAAGTGTTTGTCCACAATTCAGCTCACTGCTGAACTTTATTCTCCTATGCTTATGAAAGACCACTATATCACTTAGTTATTACCTTCCAGTGTTAACAGCAGAACCCAAATATAATGCTCACTGACACTTTCACTACTCTGAAGTACAGTGGTACCTCTAGTTACCAACTTAATTTGTTCTGGAGGTCCGTTCTTAACCTGAAACTGTTCTTAACTAGAGGCGTGCTTTTGCTAATGGGGCCTCTTGCTGCTGCTGCGCCACTGGCACACAATTTCCGTTCTCATCCTGGGGCAAAGTTCTCAGCTCAAGGTAACTCTTCCAGGTTAGCTGAGTTTGTAACCTGAAGTGTTTGTAACCTGAGGCGTTTGTAACTTGAGGAACCACTGTACTTAGTTTGAAAACTAGATTCCTCTTCTTGGAGGAAACCAATTTTCTGGATCCATTTCAATCAGGGTTTTGGCCTGCTTTTGGCACAGAAACTGCTTGTATGATAGCCTCTGTCATGAGGAGAGATGGGGAAATATGTCCCTGTTAAGTTTCCTTGACCTCTGATCCTGGCCCAGCTGCACTGGCTGCCAATCAGACCCAATTCAAAGTGCTGGTTTTGACCTATAGCGCTTTTAACGGCTTAGGACCACAATACCTCAAGGACTGCCTCCCCTCATATGAACTGCCCCAGACCCTGCAATCATCATGTGAGGCCCTTCTTCATGTGCCCCCTTCCGAGAGAGGTCTGCAGGGTGGCAACATGAGAACGGCCCTTTTCTGCAGCGGCTCCCCATTTGTGGAATGCTCTCCCCAGGGAGGCTCTGGCTCACCTGGTGCCTTCATGACATATCTTTAGGCACTGCACAAAAATGTTCCTATAAGACCTGGCCTTTGGCAGATTAAGCAATCTAGGGCCTTTAAAATGCGTTTTTACGGGGTGATTTCTTTTGTTATTATGCAATCCATTTCGTGTTTTCGTTTTGTCTGTTTATGTTGTGCACTGCCCTGTGATCTTTGGATGAAAGACTGTATATTAAATAAATAAATAAATAAATAATAATAAATAGATTGGCATCTGAAGTGGCTCAGTTACACGCCACATGTTGTCTAGCTCTCTAAAAATTACTGCAGGCAGTGCAATGGATCCAAACTACAAGAAAGAAGATTCCACCTAAACATTAGGAAGAACTTCCTGACAGTAAGAGCTGTTTGACAGTGGAATTTGCTGCCAAGGAGTGTGGTGGAGTCTCCTTCTTTGGAGGTCTTTAAGCAGAGGCTTGACAACCATATGTTAGGAGTGCTCTGATGGTGTTTCCTGCTTGGCAGGGGGTTGGACTCGATGGCCCTTGTGGTCTCTTCCAACTCTATGATTCTATGATTCTATGAACACAGAACTCAACCTCATTCTTTCAAAGTTTGGTCCTCTTTTCTTTAGAAGAACCTATGAGGCGAGTAGCTTGTGCAAGATCTTCGTCAAGGGGGGCAGGGAATCAAACTACACCCTGAAAATATGTTTGGAATGTTTTGCTATGCACACCTAATTGTTCTCCTATACTTACTTTGTCCACAAATATTTGTGTGCCAAAAACTGCTTTTATATGTATGAAGAAGCATAGGCCTATTACTGCCGGTAACTCTTTTAACCCCCAAAGAGAGGATATCATAAAGAAGGAACAAAAGGTTGTCTGGGGAGGGGGTAAACTGGCTGGGTGCGCAAAACATGGGGTGAGCAACCACACCCTAAGCATTAATGCGGCTGATGACAAACTACAATGTATGAAGGATTTTATGAGCAACCCACACAAACCTTGCCAGCTTAACTGATACAATCTAAATGTTAAAGCATTTAAGTGAAAGAAAACTGCAATTAAGCAAGCATGTTACCACTTCTGATAAAGCCTCACCCTTGCCGACAGTACTTGTGGAATAGAATGCAAGATCAGAGCTTGCAGGGCAGCAGCTGAAGAAGGAGCAAAAAGGGTTTTCTTGTGTGTGTGTTTCTTTGTGGCTGATTAGCTGCTCTCCCTGTGCAAGGGTCAGAGGGGGGAGGGTTTCTGTTGAGGCAGGTGATTAGCTGTGGAAGGAGCTTATCAGAGCTTGCAGGGCAGCATCTTTTAGAGCTAGTCTCAAATGTTTGTTGGGGGAGACCTAGGTTTTTTTGGGGGGGGGAGTTATTTGTCCTGTCTTCACGCTTTTTATGATGGAGGACCGCTGTAGCCACTCCTAACGACACGTTCTCAAGATGGAGGGTGAGGGAAAGCTGCAGTCGCCTGCGGTTCCTGCGCAATGTTTGCCATCTTGCCAAAGGTTGCAGGCAGCTTTACCTGCAGCAATTGCATGTTGATTGCCCTCTTAGAAGACAAAGTCCAGCAACTGGAGGAACATGTAGCTACGCTCCAAAGAATTAGAGAGCTGGAGCTCTTCTTGGAAGCAACAGAGCACACTGTCTCCACCAAGGAGGAGACGGGGACTCCCCTGAGAAGGAGGCTAGTTCACCAACACAGGAGCCAGATATATGGAGAAACGTGACTCAAAGAAGTAGGAGGCCCAGGGTTAGCTCTGATTGTTTAGAAATACACAATCGCTTTGAGGTCCTCTCCCCTAGCATGGAAGACGAAGAGCAGACTCCATTTGAGGATCTCTACCTCATTACAGTCGATCAGGTATATGAAGACGAGCAGCAAAGTCAGTCCTCAGGGAATGTGCAGGCGACCTTGGAACGGACAGCTCACGGAAGAACCCCGACCAAACCTAAGAGGAGGCATGTAGTGGTGATAGGGGATTCCCTACTGAGGGGAACAGAAGCAGTGATCTGTGGGCCTGACAAGATGTCTCGGGAAGTGTGCTGTCTCCCCGGGGCTAAGATCCAAGATGTAACTGAACAACTGCAAGGAATCATAAAACCCACTGACAAATACCCCTTCCTCTTGGTTCATGTGGGAACCAATGACACTGCAAGCAATAGCCTCCAGAAGATCAAAAGAGACTACGAGGCTCTGGGCAGGAAATTGAAGCAATTAAATGCACAAATTGTCATCTCATCTGTCCTCCCAGTTGAACGACGTGGCCCAGGGAGAGAGGGAAAAATAGTGGAAGTGAACAGCTGGCTTCGCAAATGGTGTAAACAGGAACGGTTTGGATTCTTAGATCACGGACTGCAGTTTCTTGAAGATGGACTTCTGGCAAGCGATGGGCTGCACCTCACAACGGTTGGGAGGAATGTTTTCGCCAAAAATCTCAGAAACCTCATCAGGAGGGCTTTAAATTGACTAATGTGGGGGAGGGAGACAGTGCTCCTGAAGGTAGGAGTCTATCAATTGATGAAGATGATCATCCAAATGTCATAGACCAAATGGAGCAAACAGCACGCAGACCTAGTGGTGGGAGGAAAAAATCCTTAAATAAGAGGCACGGGGGAATGATTAATGGACTTCAATGTCTGTACACTAATGCGCAAAGCATGGGAAATAAACAAGAGGAGCTTGAGCTCTTGGTACAGCAAACTAAATATGACATAATAGGCATCACTGAAACCTGGTGGGATAAGTCCCACGACTGGAATGTAATAATGGAGGGATACAATCTATTTCAGAGAAACAGACCAGACAAGAAAGGAGGAGGAGTGGCGTTATATGTCAGGGATGTGTATACCTGTGAAGAGATCCAAGATTTAGAACCTCAAAGCCAAAGTGAGAGCATTTGGGTCAAAATTAAGGGAGAGAAGAATAACAGTGACCTCATTGTGGGAGTTTACTATAGATCCCCAAGCCAAACGGAGGACATAGATGATGCCTTCCTGGAACAGATGGCCAAGCATGCAAAAGGAAGGAGATAGTAGTAATGGGGACTTCAATTACCCGGATATTTGTTGGATGTCAAACTCAGCCAAGAGCATAAGGTCAAACAGATTCCTCACTGGCCTTGCAGACAACTTCGTTGTCCAGAAAGTGGGAGAAGCAACAAGACGAACAGCCATTTTAGATCTGGTCCTAACCAATGTTGATGACCTGGTTAGTGGGGTAGAAGTGGAAGGATCATTAGGCGCGAGTGATCATGCTCTTCTGAAGTTTACTATACAGCGGAAAGGAGCAGCCAAGCATACTAGGACTCAATTTCTTGACTTTAAGAAAGCCGACTTCATAAAACTTAGGGAAGTGCTGGGTGAGATCCCATGGACAGTAATACTAAAAGGAAAGGGAGTTCATGATGGCTGGGAGTTTGTTAAGAAGGAGATAGTAAAAGCACAACTTCAGGCAATACCAATGAGACGGAAACATGGAAGGTGCCTAAAGAAGCCAGGGTGGCTATCTAAAGAACTTTTAACTGAGTTAAGATTAAAAAAGGATGTGTACAAAAAATGGAAGAGGGGGGAAACCACCAAAGAGGAATTCAAACAAATAGCCAGCACGTGTAGACACAAAGTCAGAAAAGCTAAAGCACAGAATGAACTCAGGCTTGCTAGAGAGGTTAAAAGCAACAAAAAGGCTTTTATGGGTATGTTCAGTAGCAGAAGGAAGAACAAAGAAACAGTGGGGTCACTCAGAGGAGAAGATGGTGAAATGCAAACAGGGGACACAGAAAGGGCTGAACTCCTCAATGCCTTCTTTGCCTCAGTCTTCTCCGATAAAGAAAACAATGCCCGACCTGAAGAATTTGGAGCAAATGATTCAGCAGAGGAAACACAGCCCAGAATAACTAGGGAGATAGTACAAGAATACTTGGCTAGTTTAGATGTATTCAAGTCTCCAGGGCCAGATGAACTGCATCCAAGAGTATTAAAAGAACTGGCAGATGTGATCTCAGAACCACTGGCAGTCATCTTTGAGAATTCCTGGAGAACAGGCAAAGTCCCGGCAGACTGGAGGAGGGCAAATGTTGTCCCTATTTTCAAAAAGGGGAAAAGAGAGGACCCAAATAATTACCGCCCAGTCAGTCTGACATCAATACCAGGGAAGATTCTGGAGCAGATCATTAAGCAAACAGTCTGTGAGCACCTAGAAAGGAATGCTGTGATCACCAATAGTCAGCATGGATTTCTGAAAAATACGTCATGTCAGACTAACCTGATCTCGTTTTTTGACAGAATTACAAGCCTGGTAGATGAAGGGAACGCAGTGGATGTAGCCTACCTTGATCTCAGCAAGGCATTTGACAAGGTGCCCCATGATATTCTTGTAAAGAAGCTGGAAAAATGCGGTCTTGACTATGCTACCACTCAGTGGATTTGTAACTGGCTGACTGACCGAACCCAAAGGGTGCTCATCAATGGTTCCTCTTCATCCTGGAGAAGAGTGACTAGTGGGGTACCACAGGGTTCTGTCTTGGGCCCGGTCTTATTCAACATATTTATCAACGACTTGGATGATGGACTCAAGGGCATCCTGATCAAATTTGCAGATGACACCAAACTGGGAGGGTGGCTAACACCCCAGAGGACAGGATCACACTTCAAAACGACCTTGACAGATTAGAGAACTGGGCCAAAACAAACAAGATGAATTTTAACAGGGAGAAATGTAAAGTATTGCACTTGGGCAAAAAAATGAGAGGCACAAATACAAGATGGGTGACACCTGGCTTGAGAGCAGTACATGTGAAAAGGATCTAGGAGTCTTGGTTGACCACAAACTTGACATGAGCCAACAGTGTGACGCGGCAGCTAAAAAACCCAATGCAATTCTGGGCTGCATCAATAGGAGTATAGCATCTAGATCAAGGGAAGTAATAGTGCCACTGTATTCTGCTCTGGTCAGACCTCACCTGGAGTACTGTGTCCAGTTCTGGGCACCACAGCTCAAGAAGGACACTGACAAACTGCAACGTGTCCAGAGGAGGGCAACCAAAATGGTCAAAGGCCTGGAAACGATGCCTTATGAGGAACGGCTAAGGGAGCTGGGCATGTTTAGCCTGGAGAAGAGGAGGTTAAGGGGTGATATGATAGCCATGTTCAAATATATAAAAGGATGTCACATAGAGGAGGGAGAAAGGTTGTTTTCTGCTGCTCCAGAGAAGCGGACACGGAGCAATGGATCCAAACTACAAGAAAGAAGATTCCACCTAAACATTGGGAAGAACTTCCTGACAGTAAGAGCTGTTCGACAGTGGAATTTGCTGCCAAGGAGTGTGGTGGAGTCTCCTTCTTTGGAGGTCTTTAAGCAGAGGCTTAACAACCATATGTCAGAAGTGCTCTGATGGTGTTTCCTGCTTGGCAGGGGGTTGGACTCGATGGCCCTTGTGGTCTCTTCCAACTCTATGATTCTATGATTCCTGCATTGTGTGGATGTGGAATTTTCACTATATTCTATCCCCATCTGCTGGCCACATGTGAGATAACAACAACCTCACATTTGTCATAAGTTCCTCTATCTCAAGAGTCTTGAAATTGAGCTAAATTTATCTGGTGTTAGACATACTTTAAAATTATTGTTTTCACTTTAAAAGGTTATCTACCTTGGCTTTGAGAATCATTACAAATGAATAATGGAACTACAATCACTAGCCTATTCCAGTTAGCTCAGTTGGTTACGAGTGTGGTGCTCGTAATGCCAGTGTTCTGTGTTCAATTTCCATATGTTCCACCTGCACATTCCTGCATTGCAGGGGGCTGGACTGGGTGATCACTGGGGTCCCTTCCAAGTCTACAATTCTAAGTGTAATAAACCTGGCATTCCCTAGGTGTTTGTATCAAGCACAATGCATTTTCAAAGTTTTCAAAAGATTTCTGAATTCAATTACACATCCTTTATAAAGGAATCTACCACAGGAACAGACTGTAAAATTATATGCTTACATGTAGATTACAGATATTACTATGCAAAATAAGATAAACAAACTTCATGTAGGAGCTTCTGGTTTTAAACTACCATGTGCGACCCCCAGGTACCAGATGATACACAAATATATTTTTATTAATTCAATTTCTCTATGAAGGACTCAAGGGAAGTAACACATTCTAGTGCAAGAATTAAAAATATTAAGTATCTAAAACAATCCATGCTAGTGCTTAATAAAAAAATACCACAATTTAACTTCATTAGAATGACTGAGGACCCCCAAGCACACAAATTCAGCAGCTAACTAAAGTTAATACAGTGGTACCTCGGTTTAAGAACAGTCCGGTTTAAGAGCGATTTGGTTTACAAACTCCGCAAAACTGAAAATAGTGTCTTGGTTTGAGAACTTTACCTCAGTCTAAGAATGGAATCCGAACAGTGGAAGGGCACCGGCGGCGGGAGGCTTCATTAGGGAAAGCGCACCTCGGTTTAAGAACAGTTTTGGTTTAAGAACGGACTTCCAGAATAAGTTCGTAAACCGAGGTACCATTGTATAACATCATATATGACATCCAATATCACACTGAGATTCTAAGCTGCTGACTAAGCAGTATACTCCACCTGTTCAATTACTCCCCCCACCACCAAAAAAATATGGTGATTTCTAGGTCGTTATTTCACAGATCCTTTATTCACACGTCACTAATTTATTTATTCAATTTATATTCCATTTTGCCTTCAAGGAGCTCAAAGTGGCACACAAGTATTTTTCTCACCACCACCCCACAAGGCAAGTGAGACCGTGTCTGGTCCAGCACTACTCAGTGAGCTTCATAGCTAAGTGGGGATTTGATCCTGAGTTTCCCAAATCCTAATCCAACTGCTACACCACACTAGCTTTCTCATTTTCAAGGCAAAGAAATGGAATAATTCCTGTCTTGCACAGCCAATAAACTTGCTTCTGCACTGCAAACTGAAGTACCAAAAAGAATGGCAGTCTTTATATACACATTCCCACACATCAGTCACTCAAAGCAGAGTTACCATTGATGATCTTCATTTTTCTCATGCCCCCTTAAATCAATTCATCGTACAGTTGGATATGTGGGTTCTCATATGCAGCTTATTGCTATTGGCGTGCTGGAGGATGACCAGGAGCTCCCCGAGGCAAACATCATGGAGGAGCAGCCTGTCAATGATTTGTGAGGCAAAGCAGGGGCATCTGGGGCCCTCAGAAGGCACAATAAACCACTTCCTTCTCAAGACAGATGAAGCCCCTTCACAGAATTGGGGGGGCAAGCGGCCTAGGGAGCACAGGCACCCAACACTACAAGTTCCGTCGGCCACCCGACACCATGGTACACTCCTGAAGAACAAGAACTCCTCCGGAGTAAAAGAATACTCCTGAACAAGCTAATCTTCCCAAATAAACATGTTTTCCTCAGGCAACATGGATGGTCTGAAGCTGTGCTCTGACGGGACTCTGAAGGCTCAAGTCTTTGCACCAGCTATCCTTGTCTACCTAGCTGTTTGCTGGGCCTCCCTCTGTTTTGACTTTAGACTGCCTTTGAACCATGTTACCTCTGGGTTTGAATGTATGACCGTCATCAGACTGCAATTCACACACCGTTCAGTGCTGACTCTCAGTTACACTGCTTGTGTTTATCACCTGTGGAACGCCAGTTCTGTGTGGTTCAGAATACTAATCTGAATATTGGACAGAAGTAGAGCAGGACATCTCTGACCTCATAAAAACAAACTCTATAATGAAAACAAAGCAGCCACTCTTCCCAAGTTTCATTCTTCCCACACAGAACCAGAATGACAACTAATTGGGGATGCCGCACATCCCACAAATCTAGTATAGATTGAGGAGTGTCTAAAAGACAGCATTCAACCCCTTCTGAAAAATAGTTAAGTTGATCTATCCAATGGAAGTCCTGTTTGTGTTTTGTTTTGTTTTGTTTTGTTTTAACTGGACTTACAGTCACCCTGTCCCAAGACCTCAGGGTGGAAAAGAAAATGCTAATTATTGTGCCATGTCGCTTGCCACCAAAAGCCAGTTTGACTAAAAGCATCTTGCATCAATCACAGAAGATGCACAAGTTCAGGATTTGGAGAGCCCTTATGAAAAAAGAGCATTCTAAAGATGAAAAGCAGGTAAGATTACCTGCCCAGTTTACTGAATGCCCCTACTTAGGATGGAAAATATTTCCTAAGGTAATCTGTGTACCTAATGCTTCTGATTTGATGCATAGCTGGTACACTTAAGATAATTTTGTGTTTCAAATTCAAGTACCAATATTAAAATTATATAATACAAACCATGAATTAGGGATCCATTTAACCACTGAATATAGTAGCTATGTGGAAAAGAGAGCAGGATTTCATTGCTGATTATTGAGAAAGGTAGAAGAAGGACAGCACCAGCTGAAACTGCAAGAGTAAATGTACTCAAGAATAGCCTGAAAATCAAAAAGAAGCATTATTGTTACTGCTAATACAACAGTTCAGACACAAACTGTTAATGAAAACAGCTTAAAAAGAGCTTCAATGCATAACTGCCACTGCTTTGCAGGCACCAGAGCTAATATTCAACATGCAAAGTTTACTTTTTTAAAAAAATAGAATGGAGACCTATCAAATATTAGCTGCTATTATTATTAATTTATCTATGGCTTACACATACCAAAATGGCGTCTAAGCAGTTCAATTAGCACACCATCCTCTCACTTCCTTATCTTTCCTTATACCTCACAAAACACTATTCCTGAATGTGTTAAAGAAAACAAAACATCTGTCAAGGTTAATGAAAGTGCTCCCTCTGCTGTAAAAGTCTAGTACTGCTGAAGTAATGAAAAGCTCTGCATGGGAGCAAATTCAAACAAATTTTGATTTGCAGATGAATACTAAAAGGGAAAAACACACATACGCCACAATCCAAAGAACAACACAACTAGATTGGCATGCATAAGGAGGCTCTGGGCTGAGAATTGTCAGATTGCAGCTCCCATGTCATATGGAAAGCCAGTTATGATAATGATACATTTATAAGAGTTTCTTATAAAAGCTATTCAAAAAGTCAAAATTCTCAGGGGACACCTAAGTTTTAAAGAAAATTTAAACACGGGGAATGCAGATTCTATTTTCAGTTTTTGCTTTCATCGGGCTATTTGATTCATAAACACGGTATCCATTGTCAAAAACTAAGAGCTAAAAAGTCATGCAAGCAGCATATATTTTAGTTTTGTGCTTGGAGATCAGAAGAGTATTCTTCTTCTGCAACAGAAAAACACTTATTTGGCCTCATTCATTCATTATACTTAACCATGGTTTATTAAAATAAATTCAAACCATGACTTAGTGTTATGTAAGAATCCTGACCAGAAGCGTAACTACGGTTTGTTCAGTGATTTGAAACCATGGTTTGTTTTTGGTTCACCAAACATTGGCCTGATGTTACGTGTGAACCCAGCATCCTTCTTTAACCACAGTTTGTTTGCCCACCCAACTCTAGAAAAACTACAACAGCATGGGACAAGAGCAGCTGGAAAACAAATAAAACTTTGGAAAAACAATCCATGATTCATTTGATTGTCTGTGGGTTTCGCGTTATGTACAAGCCAGGCCTATATTTGCATAGCACCAGAAAGGTAATGAAAGCCTAAATAAGATATACATATACATACAAACATATACATACGAAATTCTATTGACAATAGCATCTTCATCCTCTTGCTCATCTGAAAAATAATGCATATTTGTATTATTTGTATTTTATTTCCAAGACAATTGTTGCCTGCTTTTTACTACTTTTCCAACATTTTTATATATATAAAAAAGTTAAAGTGATCAAAATGCACAGATTACAAATCAGTGAACCCTTGTTTAGACTGCCCTAGTCTTTGCCTTAAAGACAGATGCCTACACAGCAAGATAGCCCAATCTTTGCACTGTCATAGTACAATGCTCCTATATACAAGCTTTTTTCCTCCACTAATCTCAAATTCAGCATTTGAGTCTGCATCACAGTTTACAAAACCTATTGTTCTTGACTGACTGCCTTTGGACAGTCAATGAGGCAGCAAGTGAAGAAGTCACTCATGCTTCCTCTATGGCTGTTTTTAACTTTTACATAGGCAAGAGACACATCTCGGTGGCAAAATGCACAGTCCATGTTATCCAGTGCATAAACAAAACAAACATCTCTCCCTTCACCCTCAAATGAGACCCAGAAATGTCAACAGAGGAAGCACAAGTGATTTAAGTTTCCTCCCTTGCTTGCTTTGGTAGAATGTCCTGAGGCCATCTTATGCTTATTTTATTTGCAAACACTAATATACCACCAATATTAAGAAAAAAATACCATGGCACTGCAAAGCATAACATCAACAATAAAATTCCATTAATAAATTCCATTAATAAAGAGAAGTGAAATCTCAAAGCACTTTGAAACCATAGTAAAAAGTTTATTGGTAGATGGGAGTGAACAGAATTTTGGGGGAAATTAGAATACAGTCATACCTCGGCTCCCAAACGCCTTGGGAGTCGAATGTTCCAGCTCCCTAAAGATCGAAAACCAGAAGTGAGTGTTCCGGTTTTCAAACGTTCTTCTGGAAGCCGAACATCCGATGGGGCTTCCGTGGCTTCCGATCGGCTGCAGGAGTGTCCTGCAGCCAATCAGAAGCCGCACTTCGGAAGTCAAACATTTCGGAAGCTGAACGGACTTCCGGAACAGATTCTGTTCAACTTTTCGAGGTATGACTGTATGTACAATTCTTAATTTGTTATCACACTTTCTTTACTTCTTAGCACTTTGGCTTTACTTTAACAATGTTAAAGAAAATGGAAAATGGAAATTGTGCTTCCTCTTTGTTCTACCATGAATTTGTATTTACAGATTGGACTAGCAGACATTCTCTGAATAGGATGACTCCCCCCCTCTGGCCTTGATAGGCAGGGTCTTCAAGACTGTTGCCTCCTTAAGACTGTTGCCTCATCTTCCAGGAGGAGAATTCGTCCTGCCCTCCAGACCTAACTGACAGAAAAGAAACAACCCCTCAACCCCAAAATAAAACAACTCAGGGTAGATAGGAAATGAGAAACAGATTGAAAAGAGGTTTAATTTGAAAAGTTCCAACTGTAAGGTGCAAGACAATATGAAACTGTATTAGTTATTAGGATCTGTATTAAGAAATTTTATATAAATGATTTGACAAATCAGTGCAAAATTTCATGTTTAAGGAGAAAAAAGGAAAAATACAGTTTTGAAATTTTGAAACTTTAGAAAGCTCCATTAAAATATTGTCAGAATAGAAATGAAAATGTAATCAAAATATTACATTATGCAAGGGTTTTTTTAATCAAACTTCATTTTTTTTTATCATACTTCATATTTGTACTTTATAAAAGTACTGTATTTCATAAATGTTTAAATAAAAAAGAGAAATGTCAAAGTTTAAAGGAATTCATTTTCTTAAAGCTACATTTATAAATATACACAATGTTAGAGATGAAAGTGAAGAAAAATGTCAAGATGGCTTGATGGTGCAAGCCACTAGAAGCTTACCCTTACCCAAGTATAACTTAGTTTTTGACGGATAAGAAATGACCAACCAGATGCCTGTGGGAAGTCTGCAAGCTGGACATGAGCGCAACAGCCTTCTGCCCACCTGCAATTCCAAGCAACTGATAGTTGGTGGAATAATGCCTCTGACAGTGGAAGCAGAACATAGCCATCATGGCCAGAAGCCTTGGATAGTCTTGCCGTCAATTAATTTGTCTATAATAACATAACTGAGTACAAATAAATTTGGATGTTAAGTTTACGTGTTATTAATTTTTTAATTTGCAGATTTAACAAGGAATTGGGGGAAAATATCATGAAAAGATGGGGAATAAAGTAAAGAAGAAAAACAGGGAAAATAGTACTAACAGTAATAGTAAACCATAACATATTGGATATACTGACCATCAATACGTGGATCTTACATTAAAAATCCAAGTTAATATAAGCCCTCCAGTTAAACTTTAATCTCAAACCCTTAAATAGTATATCATTTACTGACATAGTAATGGTAAGCTAAATTAGCAATCCTGAACCCATATTTATTTAGACTGCAACCATACTGCTACTTGTACCACTAGGATCCCTGTCATGCAACTGTTAATAAGATTGCACGTAGACTCATTGTTAAAACCATGTTTATAGAAGACAATCTTACTCGGCTACGAGTGATCGCCAAAGAAGAAGAAGATTGCCACCATGCAGTCTGTAGACATTTGGTAGCTAGGTGGCAGCATGGCACAGACAATGAGCTTTCTTTCTGGCAATTGCAGTAAGGTGCTTTCCAAGACTGTTAACACACATCTACCTGAGCAGGTTTTGCCCCACTAGGTTATTGGCCCATTTTACATATGGCGCTGTTACATTACTTACTTATATTGTCGATTGTTTTTTAGATTGTATGTATAGTTTAGTACTTATTTGTTCTTATACATATTAACAGTTTAGTATTGGAATTTTAGATGGTAAACCACTTGGAGATTCTTTTATCAGAAGCAATATATAAATTATTTAAATAAATAAACTTCACCTTCTATTAACCAACTTGCAAAATTATAAATGAAGAAAACAGGCACAAGTTAAGAGCTAAAGTCCTAACAAGTTGGGAAACTTGCACTGAAAGAAATAAAGGTTGGGCAAATACAACGAAGAGATAATGTAAAATAGTACGGCTCTGGTCAAACACAAACTTTCCCCTCATCACCCAAAACACCTTTTTGGCACTGTGCCCCAATATCATCAAGAGCATCTCATCTATTTCCCATTTTGATTGCAGTCTACATATGACTATAAAAACAGTTACCTCCTTTCCTCTTGTATCTTCTGATAATGAAGTAGGAAACAATATAGAGAACAGCAAACAGAAGAAAACAGATCTGAAAAAGAAAGTTACAGAGTGAAGAGATTCACATCATATAACAAGCAGCAATTTAGTTTTCAAAAATACTAAAGTGACACAACCTATAATAAATAGAAAGAAAACATTATACCAAAAGTATAATTACTAATATGCAATGCTTATGTTATTTTGGCTATTTTTGTAGCTTTTCCAAAGTACCAATTTTACTGCTGCAAGGGCCACACATAAGAAAATTCACCACTATATCTTCTTAACTAGTCAAGATATATTAAAAAGGCCAGATTGCAAAGGAATTAATCCATCATTTTTCAGGAACAATGTGTATTACTGCCAGTCTTATTGTCCAGTGAGCATGCCAGCAAACTTCTGTTTTGCTTGCACAACACATTTGAAGATCTAATCTGGCAACTGACCCAGAACACCAGTAGGATGCAATAATGGCACTCCAGCACTCCTGCAACACACGAAGTCTGCTAATTCATTGCACAAGTCTAGGTATTTTTTTACTGGATCACGCTTGTGAGAAAATAAACTATGCATTAAAATGGTGTTGAACTTTATACTAATCATTTGTATTTCTTTCAACCACTGACATGTAGACAACTACTGTACCCAGAATATAATACAGGAAAACAAAGCCAGAAATGTTAGAAATAAAGTAGGAACAAAATGAATGGAAAGTTAATTAAAGGTTTTAAACCATTACACTTCCTGTAGTAGCCCCACAATCTGACACTAAAAACCCAACTATTCAAATTCATAATTTATGGGATGCCAATCCCCAATTCAACCGATAATTGACTAAGGCTTGCAATCCTATGTACACTTACCTACCAGCAAGCAAATACTCCAGAATGTGGGGCTGCGCAAAACATCTCATGTCAAAGGACAAAGTATAAAGTTTGCAATCTGTGCTACATGGGAAACAACTACTACTGTATGTCTTCCTTCTTACAATGACTGGCAACTGAACAGAGTGATCAGTGGAAATCAGTGGCAATGTATCTTTCTAACCTGATTTATTCTTTTATATCCTGTCAGACCTTGAACTTTTTCATTAAAAAAAATCTTACAATCATCATCATACTAATAGAAACTAGGAGAATGGAATACAACAGTGTTGGCAATGTGGTGCCCTCCAGCTGTTGTGGACTGCAACTCCCAGCCTCAGACAACAGGGTCAACAATGAGGCATGATGGGAGTCGTAGCTCACAGAACCTGAAGGGTAAGAGGTGGCTACCCCTGGAATCAAGTGTCTACAAAGAAAGAATGGCTGCAGTGGTTGAATAGGATATTCTACGCTGCAACATTCTGTTGCAGGTCCCACTTGACTCTTACCATAATTGAAACATTCCGATACAAAATGTGATGAAAAATGCAACATGAAAGTTAGTATTTCCTCTAATAATGAATGTCTGTGCAATGTAATGTTGCCCATGGATAGCAAATGGCCAAAGGATTGCACTCCTCACATACACAAATTCCATTTTACTATTAATCATGTTTAGTAGTCAGTATGTTTGTTTAGGAATAACACCAAACCATGGTTTGGCATTACGTATATAAGAAGAGTAGTTAATAATAATACTAAAAGTACAAAGGCGCAACTGTGCCTTAAATGTCTGAGTAGAAAAGCAGAATAGAGATTAATAAAACAACAAAAATAACTCTTCATAAAAATATATTTAAACTTTAAAGTTGAGTTTCACGTTAAATACTGACTGAAAGGCATCATGCACTTTGAAGAAGAATGAACTCAGGATGAAAGGGAGAAATGAGCTAAGAGGAAGGCACATTTGGCAAATCCTCGCCGTGATCAACTGCTACCTGGATCCAGAACTGGTCTCCACAGTTGCCTATGGACACACCGTTAAGACCATATTCATGGAAGACAATCTTACTCAGCTATAAGTGATCGCCAAAGAAGAAGATTGACTGTATATTTGGATGGAAGTAGAATATTCCCTTCCCCCCATGCATATGTCAGGACTTAATCTGAGCTGGATTGCACCTGAACAGTATATTAATTTGCAGTTTCTTTGGACTCTGGCTTTATTCACTGTGCTTTCACTCGAATTAGCTATCTCTAAATGCCAGTAACCAGTTATATCAAATGACTGGACACATCAGCACTCTCCAGGCCAGCGCTTGTCAGCATATAGTACCCCATTCCTGGTTCAGCTCATCTTACCCAGCACTTGTCATTAAAACCCTGCAGAGTGCTTCTATTATCCTTCATTCTCAGGGTTTCCGGAAGGAGATAATGAAAAAACTAGAGGGTTGTTTATGCAAAGACTATTTTAAAATACATTATCTACAATTAATTGGCTAACACTTACGTTCTCATGCAAAAACACTTATGGCTTGCTTTGCCAAGTTCAATTTGACTGGAAGCAGGGTCATATTTAATTCTGAAACAGTACTTCCAACCCACAGCGAGAGATCTATTATTCCAAATTAAATCAGTGTGATTTAAAGCCAGAATAAAGGTAGTTCACATTTTTTAAGAGAACACCTAACGCCATGCAGGGATTTGCACATGCAATCAATTTCTGACTTCCAACTGCAGCTGCCCATAATTTCATCACAGTGATCTTCAAAGTGTATTTTTAGGATAGAGTAGGAAATGGGTCTATAAACAATTTGTCAGGTGATGCTAGAGGATAATCAAAAGTATATCCTTTCCTCACCTCTTCCTCATGCTAAACCTCATCCAGTGATCTACAACTAACCAACATGGTTGGTACCCATGTGTCTCGAGAGACAATGGAAGAGTGTGCCTTTGGGGATGAAGTCAAACCATTGGAGGGTTACAGCATCTGCTGTGGCTATAGAGACCGATACAGGAGGGACATGTTTTGTTACAGCGGGGGCAGATGAAGGCACTAGGAACTAGAGTGGTTAGATGAATCGCCTAGAATGAAACATTATACATAAGAGATGGCAGCTGCCAGCATATCCTATAGATAGTTAATTTCACTTGCACAGTATCTTTCTGTTGTTTGGCTAGTGGTTGAGACTCCAACAACCAAAATACAAAATGATACAAGTGAAATTAACTGTCAGTAGAATGCACTGGCAGCTGCCATGTCGTTTTACATACAATGTTTCATTCTAGTGATTTAACCACTCTCCATTCCTAGAAGTTTACACACAATATATTCTGTAATAGGGCAAAGAAAGGTTGGCAATGTTATTATCACATTCCAAGCATATTGTGTCCAAGGACCAACGTTTCTCATGGCTATCACTTGCAAAAGTAACTGAATTTAAGCTCTAGAACTTCTTAGTGATCAGATGCTGTACTTAAAAGGTTGGTTTTTTTTAAAAAAGGTCTAAAATCTGGGGCAGGGGGAGATTTTACAGCCCTAAATCATTCCTTAGATTCCCCCAACCCCAACTCAAGAGATGGTTCTACAATAGCAAAATACTACATACAAAAAAAAGGTCAAATGATGCAGGTCTGACAAGAAGCTATAATAACTCATAGCAAGCAAATAAACACCAAAAAGTGAGAGGCAGTCCACATTAATGCCCTGAAGTATATTAACTCTTGAATAAAAGCAGCAGGAAATGAAGAAGAGTTTGGATTTGATATCCCGCTTTATCACTACCCTAGGGAGTCTCAAAGCGGCTAACATTCTCCTTTCCCTTCCTCCCCCACAACAAACACTCTGTGAGGTGAGTGGGGCTGAGAGACTTCAAAGAAGTGTGACTGGCCCAAGGTCACCCAGCAGCTGCATGTGGAGGAGCGGAGACGCGAACCCGGTTTCCCAGATTACGAGTCTATCGCTCTTAACCACTACACCACACTGGCGGTGCCATTTGTGCACCATCTTCAAACTGCTGATACAGAACTGCATGTAAACCTGGAAAGGCCATAGTGCAGCCTTTTTCAACCTTGGGTCCCCAGGTGTTGTTGAACTACAATTCCCATCACTCCTAGCCAGCATGGTTAGTGGTCAGGGAAAATGGAAGTTTATCAAAAAATGCTGAATGTGTATGCGGATAGATGACTGCATGAGGTTGAAACCAGGATGAAGGGGGCAGAAGCTGAAACAGGTGAAACCACTTCCACGTGTGCTCGAAAAAGCACAGCCATAATTGCAAATATAACCATGGATCCCTCACAATAACTTTTAATTATTCCCAATGTTTAATAATTCCCAATATTTTCCAAGCTTAGTGATAGAGAAACTGGTTATCTTGTAGGTTATCTTAGGACTCATGATACAGCACAAACACATGGAATTGACAGCAATGCCTTCCTTAAACTATCTTTCTCAGTGGTACTACTGTTGAGTCTGCAAAGCATTACAACTGTAAACCACAGTAAAAGGTTTAGAACAATTTAGAACAGTTTCCCAAATTGAAAGCAGTGAATATAATTACAATTAGCAATCTTTCTTCTATACGGCAGGTGGCAACAGGCTGATTCTAATGCAAGAGTGTTCCCATAAGGAAATGCTTGTGTCCTTCAGGGCCATTTGGCAACTAAACAAAGTACTAATAGCTACACGCAGATCCATCTCAAGCATCATAAAGATATGCCACTCACAGACTTCTGCAAAGAATATCAAGTCAAAATTTATTTTTTATTTGCATTCCTTGGTGCCTCAGAAATGCTTTAAAAAAGAATGGAAATGGGAGTGGGGGCATAATATTGTCAGTTGCCTTTGCCCATGAAGTGCTTTGATTACAATTAAAAGAGGTGAACAGAGCATCAACAATTTATTCCATATGACAATAGTTATCCATCTTCCTTAGGGAAATGGTGAGCCTGGAAGACCTTAAGAATGATGGTATCATTCAAGAATTTCTCAGTCCAACCCATCTGTAGTATAACAACAATGATGGCCTATCATATAGGGTTGTCATAAGGATTACTGAGAAGGATATTGACAAGCTGAAATGTGTGCAGGGGAGGGCGACAAAGTTGGTCAAGGGTCTGGAAACCAAGCCTTATGAGGAATGGTTGAAGGAGTTGGATATGTTTAGCTTGGAAAAGAAGAGACTGAGAAGAGATATGATAGCCATCTTCAAACATCTAAAGGGCTGTCACATGGAAGATGGAGCATGCTTTTTTCTCCTGCTCTGAAGGCTAGGACCCAAACCAATGTATTCAAGTTACAAGAAAGAAGATTCTGACTAAACATCAGGAAGAACTTTCTGATAGTAAGAGCTGTTCAAAAGTGGAACAGGCTCCCATGAGAGGTGGTGGACTCTCCTTCCTTGCAGGTTTTTAATTAGAGGTTGGATGAATCTAGCTGAGATTCTTGCACTGCATGGGGTTGGACTCGATAACCCTTGAGATCCCTTCCAACTATGATTCTATGAAATGTAGCTTCTGAGTGTGGAAGCATTCTTTACCTCAATTTTCAATGCCTGGAAGCCAAAGTTTACTTGGCATAACAACATAAAGAAGTCAAGTCTGTTAACCCTGCTAGATCATCCACCCATAGCAATGTCCTCAGAAAACCCAGGTCCATCACACTGATCTCTGAAATTCTTGCCACTGTAGAGGAAGGAACAAGAGGCTAGATAATATCAATCTCACTGCTTCAGAAAAGAATGTTGAAAGGACTGTACTTTCCATACTCTCAAGCCTTAGCTTATTATTATTGGTTTTAAAAATGAAGTTCCCAATTAAAACAGAAGGGCAGTATGATAAATCCACAACAATATCAAGTTCACTTCTGTTGCTTTTTGTAACACACCTTTAATAAGAGTGAGGAACCTCTTACCAATGGGCCAAATTTGGGTACAATATTTCCTAATTTGATCCACGAGGACGGTTTTCCCAAACCATGCGCATCTGCCCCACACCTGACATCTTATGTGATGTCAAGTGTGGGGCACCTAATGGTGTGTCTGAATCATCTGTACAACAGAGTTCCCCTTGCAAAGCCCCTTGCACTGATGTTCCCAGGCACCTGACAACCAGTTAGCTATCAGACACTTGGGAAGCACTGCAGAAGGGACAACCCACCTGTCCAGTCAGGAATGAGGATGGAGAAAGATCTGGTCAGTTGGGTCAAAAGGTTCCTTGCCCATGCTAGAAGGTAAAAAAGGTGTATGTTCTTCTACATTGACTGTTCTAGGCATAGGCATGTAGAAGAAAATTTGAAAATAAAGAAGTTGTTGGCACATGTTAATATGTTTTTAGCTTAAGTTGATCTTATTTATATTTTAAATTGTTTGGAATACATGTTTGAAACTTTTGAGAACTTAATGTGTTTTACTGTTTGTAAACCACTTAGAGATTCTATTTATAATCAAGCAGTATATAAATCTTGTTAAATAAAATAAATAAAATTCCAAGGTGGCACTTTTACAATAAACTATATAAATAAAACTCAATATATCAAATTATTCATGATATTCTTTAGTATAGAACTACATCCACACACCTGCATATTCATGGAAGCTAAGAGTTATAACTCATAAAAATTTATCCCAATGTATTGATTTTTCATACTTTTGATATGACAGATTTATAATACTCTACAAAAGCATTAAATTAGAACCAGTACTTTCCTCCCCTTAGAATAAATAAGAAACTAGCATTAAGTTTTTATGAACAAAATATAAGCACAAACAGAAGGATTTGGAGTTACTAAAAACATATTATTCTGTTTACAGCAGAATATTACTTCCTAACACAACTGGATAAAAGCAAAAATCAACAACCAACAATCAAAAACCAAGCAGATCACTCCCTCTTCTCATAGGCTAATGTGACGGGAGAGCAATCCTGCTTAATGCTGGGTTCCTGCTTAATGCTTCAAAGGCTCCCAACAACCAGCTGGCTGTCAAGCACTTTGGCAGCTGCTCAAAGCAGGCTTTGATCAAGCCCAATTTTTATCAGTATGATGTCAGGTCAGGTAGAGGGCAGGTGAATGTGACTTGCCCAAAATGGACTCGGGGGCCAAATGGGGAAGCCTGGTGGGCCAACACTGACCTGAAGGCTGGAGGTTCCTCATCCCTGATTGGTCCATGAGATGCAAGTTCATATGCCCACTCAGCAATAAGTTGCACTGGTGACATTAGGACAAAGGCTCACCTGGCACCTTTGTTGTGTATCATTAAGCACCAGGCAAAAACATTCCTCTTCTCTCAGGCCTTTGGCCACATAAACAATCTATGGCCTTTTAAACTGGGAGGTGTGTTGTTTCTATTTGTTACTATGATACATATTTCATTTTTTTATGGTAAAGCACCCATGTGATTCTCAGAATAAGGGTGGTATAGAAATTTAATTCATTCAGTGGTTTTCAACCAGTGTGCCATGGCACCCTGGGGTGCCTTGAATGATGGTCAGGGCTGCCACGGGCAACACTAGCCTCTGTCCGTCTTTCCTTCCCTCCCTCCTCTGATGCCCTCTCACATCTCTGCCTACCCCAAGCTTGCACAGCTGTTTACTGCAGCAGCCCTGGCTATAAGCTCTGCAAAGGAATGGTGCCTGTAGGAGGCAGCTCTCTTTAGGGTGGGGGGGGGCAGCTCAGAGACCAGAGAGAGCAGCAGCAGCTGCCTGGAGGACTCCCAAAGAGAAGAGAGGGGCATCACGAGGCTGAGGGAACACTCCACAGGGAGGATGTTTGAAAAAGGATGAGAGGCTGCCAGCTCTGCAGGCAAGGGATGACATAGATGTACTCCTGAGCCCCACAGGGATGCTACAGAAAGAATGTAGTTGGTCTAGGGAGCCGTGGACTCTGAATTAATAAATTTAATTAATAATAAATTCACAGTTAACCCCATGAGAAAAGTATGAGGTACAAATAATAAAACAAGACTCTGAGTTTTCTCTAGTTATTGTAGATTGTACCATTTTACCAAATATTTGCAAAAATATTTGCAAAAAAGAATAAATGCTGAAAAACTTGATGTTTCCCAAAGACCATAGAACAAGTTTATTAGCTGAGCAGGCATCTGGATTCTGGGGAACCATTCAAATTCTTGCCTGGCCAACAGAATTCCCACATCCAACCTCAAAACATTAGGACTGTATTACATTGCTACATTCACTGACAATACTGAATAATAATTTTATCAAATTTCAACAATCCATGGATTAGTCTATGAAGCCTCCTCATTTGGGCAAACATGCCCATATAACCAACATTTGACAACAAACGTGACACAGTTTCAGTGTAGGCTGTTTAAAAGCCCTTTTGCAAACAGTCCACACCGCTCTTTGAAGTCCCAACAACTGGGGCTACAAAGTGCATCACCTGCTGTTATAGTGACTATAGTAACCCCACCTGCCTGCCAAATTTGGCCCAGCAGGCATGGGGAGGCATGGTCCACCAGGATTCACTCAACTTCCAACTACCAAAATCCAAAAATAAATGCGGATTTATAAGTGTGTGAAACAGGCACTGCAATACCAACATGCCTGCTGTTGTGGCTTTAAGTAACCAGAGGAAAAATTTAACAATGATGACTGAACAGTTCAAACCCACTCTGGTCAACATTCACACAGAAAGAGAATACATTTCACCTTGAACTCAGCTGAATAAATTTCTATCCATTTTTAGCTTCTCAGGAAAACAACTGTCTGTGATGCAAGTCCTACAGGTCAAATAAAGGACCAATTGTACTGTTCTTTAGAAGATTCTCAGCAACATGCCAGGTAGGCCAATTAATCAAGAGTTATAGTGAGAAGAGAAAAAGCCTTCAATCCTAACATTATCACATTCTTGTAACATTAACACATTTATGTTGATCCTTGGCTTCCATTCATGGTTTGTCGGGAAAGAAAACAAATCTGTGAGCCCAGGTTCACACTTCACAACAAGCCAGGTTCTGTATTGGTTTGGGCATGTTTCCTCTCCCACATTGGCACAGTAAAGAGCAGAGTAGGAGAAGAGCACTTGTGCACATTAATTTATTTTAAACTATGGTCTAACAGTAGGAACAAACCCAGCCAAAGAAAAAATAGCATCTCCAAGGAGACATTGAAAAATTACATAAAAGACAGATATTGATTGGTAGTTTGTGTGGAAAAACTAAGAACAAATGGCAGCAGCCAAATCACAAATATATGTGATTGAGTACCCACATTTTCCCTTAATTTTTAGAAGCCACATACAACACTGGATCCAATCTAACTGTAAGCACACAACCTGATAGCTCAGCCAGTAGAGCATAAGACTCCTAATTTCAGGGTTGTGGGTTTGAGCCATGCATTGGGCAAAATATTCTTGCATCGCAGGGGTTTGGACTAGATGACCCTTGTGGTCAATTCCAACTCTACAATTCTGGGGTTCTATTATCAGAAAATCATATCTACCGTATTTTTCGCTCTACAGGACACACTTTTTCCCCTTCAAAAATGAAGGGGAAATGTGTGTGCATCCTATGGAGCGAAGATGCCATAGCCCCGCGACCCTCTCCCGGCTGGAGAGGTGACAGGCGGCTATGGCAGGAGCCTCTATAGCCGCGCGTCACCTCCCCAGCCGGGAGAGCGCGCGCGGGGCTAAAGCAGCCCCCCGCGACCCTCTCCCGGCTGGAGAGGTGACGTGCAGCTATGGCAGGAACCTCTACAGCCCCGCGTCACCTCTCCAGCCGGGAGAGCGCGCACGGGGCTAAAGCAGCCCCCCGCAACCCTCTCCCGGCTGGAGAGGTGACGCGTGGCTATAGCAGGAGCCTCTATAGCCGCGCGTCACCTCCCCAGCCGGGAGAGCGTGCGCGGGGCTAAAGAAGCCATAGCCCTGCGACCCTCTCCCGGCTGGAGAGGTGACGCGCAGCTATGGCAGGAGCCTCTCCGCTGCGCCTTTCCGCTGCTCCCTGACCTGCTCTTTGGGGCTGGTGGTGGGCTTCCCCGCCAGCCCCAAAGAGCAGATCGAGGAACCTGAAGCCTGGAAAGCAAGAGGGGTGGGTGTGCACTGACCCCTCTCGCTCTCCAGGCTTCAGGTAGCCGCCTGAACGCACCTTAAACGGCACCTTGTTTTAGAGCGGGAAAACAAGAGGGGCAAAGTTCTCCCCCTCTCTGTGCAGCGCCTCCTGCTGCTTCACTGAAGGGGCGCTGGGCAGAGAGGGGGAAAAAAAATTTTCTTGTTCTCCCCCCTCTAAAACAAAGTGCGTCCTATTGTCCGGTGCATCCTATGGTGCGAAAAATACGGTGCCTTCAGCAGAGAAATGGGAGTGAGTAGGAGCAGGTGAAACCAAATCCATGCCCCCCTCTTCATCTCTTGGAACACTTATCAATGCAACTGTTGACTTTTCTACTGCAGTTACTGTATCTGGAATGAAGGAGGGGCCATAAATACAACCCTTCACCTGTGAACAGAACAAAATTAATATTCACGGAAGAGGGATTTCTCACTTCCCCCTACCTTCTGCAGTACCCAATAATCTTCTCCTGGGTTTGGAGACCCTTGGGAATGGTGTACAATATTGTGCACATGGGTGTGGATAGAGGGGGGAGTTGGCTGATATCTCCCCCTTACGTGAATAGAGGAGCAACTTAGGAGCCAAGTTAATGTTCTTCATCTATACAAATTTGTTCTCTAACTGGAATAGGAAACTAAAAACTGCCATACATAATTAGTTCTTAGACAAAAGTAGTCACTCCCGCCATAGTAGACAAATGAACTCTGGGAAGGGATTGAGAGAAACCATGAATTAACAACCATAAATTACCTTTCTCTCAATGCAGCATATTCTATTTAACACACCTACATGGAAAAAATACCCAGAGGATCTAATTTATACCAGGGAATTTCACTCAATACAGCAGAATGAATGCCATTTACTTAGACAGTAAACAAGCACTGAGGATGAAAAAACAGTATTTAATAATTGTTTCAATTATTTTCCAGATTTTCCAGAAAACTAATTAAGGATTTATATTTAAGATTTTCATGAAACAATAGCACCATGAGTAGTCCTTTAAACATTTGCACGAAAACCCTAAATTCTACACACAAATCACCAAAACTGTAAATTTAATATCATTCACATTTGTTCAACTAGGTTCTCCTTAGAACTGTTACCATGGTCTGGGAGCTTCTGGAGGGATATACAGCGGTACCTCAGGTTACATTCGCTTCAGGTTACGGACTCCGCTAACCCAGAAATAGTACCTCAGGTTAAGAACTTTGCTTTAAGATGAGAACAGAAATCGTGCTCCGGCAGCGCGGCAGCAGGAGGAGGCCCATTAGCTAAAGTGGTGCTTCAGGTTAAGAACAGTTTCAAGTTAAGAACAGACCTCCAGAATGAATTAAGTACTTAACCTGAGGTACCACAGTATATGCATTTAGCATTGAGAGGGTCATAGGAGTCTGGTGCAAGGCAACCAGAAAAGTTATGTCTTTTGATCACTGGCCATCAATCAACATATTAAAACTGAAGCAATAAAGCTGCTGGCACATTTGTAAAGCTATGTAGGGTCTGATATGGTTTCAGTTGGATGGGGATTGCAAAGTTGAGATTCCTGCATTGCAGGGGGTGGACTAGATGACCCTCAGGATCCCTTCCAACTCTACAATTCTAGAACTCTTTTCTTTCCATTGAGTTGTGATCTCAATGAATCAGTCAACAAACTTTCTAAACTGCAAGTCATCTCATTTCTGGAAAATGTATCGTGCATTATTTATAAACATGTAGCCTTTAAAAATGCTAAGTTGGCATATTTGGTGCATCTCAACCATCATTTACCCTGAATGCTATCACTTCAAAGACTGAAAAGGATGTTATAAAAAGAAATTCCACACTGGAGTTTTATAATTCAATAGAAAGGAAGTGAAGGTACCCATGGTGCAATTTCACTTCCAGAAAGTCCATTTTCTCATATATTGCTAAGAAAATGTTACAATTTGTTTGATGTTTATCTGTATTTTGAGTCTGATTAATCTATTATTCAGAGTCTCAATGAAGCAAGGGACTAGGTGAGGCAAGCTATCTGAAGCTGAATCCAAACAAAGATGGCATGATGACATGGGTACAAGAAACTGACTACTGTATTATTCTTTGGTAATTTTGTTGTACGTTTGTGCTGTCTGAAGAGCAAAAGGATGGTATGACTGCCAAGTCCACTTTCACAAACTAAATTTGTAGCTATTCAAAATGCAAACTAGGTTCATAGCACCAGGAGAATTGGACCAACAGTAAAAAGATACCGCTGAGAATTACGAAAAAAGCAGAAGGCTAACTTAAAGTATTAGTTCTTATGCAACTTTTGCACAACACAGAAGGGTTGCTGTGCTATGTGTGGGCTGCAATTTCTGAGAAGGGCTTAAAATTCACTTTACTGAAAATATCAGCTTACAACTGAAGAGAAAAAAAAGGTTTTATAAAAGACCAAAGCTGAAAATAACAAATCCTCAGAAATGAGAACAGACCCTCAGTTGTTCACACCTTGATCTAATAAAACAAGCAAAACAAGAAGGGTCACTATAATCAAAACCAACAAGCTGAACAATCTGGTCTGCTCCTACTCTGAAAGGCAGGATTCTCCATGCATTAAATGAACAATGTGTCCCAGGCCACAGGAACCAGCCTGATTCCGGGAATAGTGTAGTGTAAAAAAGCAATTAAGGAAGTATGCCAGGTTACAAAAAGCTTCCAAGAACACTAATTTTATCTAACCTGTTACAGTTTTTTCAGTAAAAAATTAGAGGCCAAAACTGAAAACACAGTTTGGGGGAAGTATACCATAACATTCCTAGAGAAAGACTATATATTCTATTTCTGGTTAAGAACAGCATTTAACACAGGCTGAGCAACTATAAAATCCATTACCAAAAGTATTGTGTAGAGGAGATGACGTAGTCCTGTGACACTGAGGTGTTAACCACATATTCCCTCATTCTGATGCATGCCATGCTCAGTCTGGAGAAAGTGTGAGAGACGTGTGTAAGGAAAGAAGGAACGCAACAAGCTACCCCATACTTGCCTATGGAATTTACAAAGCAACATGGTGGTTTTAAGTACTGTCTTTATCTAACATTAAAATCAGCCGAAGGAGAGAGAAATGTAAAATATTACACTGTGGGGTATTGAATAATGGGATGGAGGGCATGCCTTACAGCACAACAATTTAAGGTGGCATCAGGCATTAAATAAGCAGGAGTACAATTTACTCACACATCCAACTTTTCAGTATTAAATTGGCACATCACTTCATGGGGAGACATGCAGATTCACTTTTGTATTTGTGGGGGTGGGGAGATGTTATAGAACCAAAGTGGACAACTCCGAAGAGGCCATACAGACAGTTATGTATCTCTGAATGTACCCAGCATGAAACTATGCAAAACTGGGGAGGCGGACAACAGGTTGGGGAAGAATGCTGTGAGAATAGTATTTAGTATGATGTGGGGAAAAGCAAAACATTAGTGGGTACAGAGTCACAAAGTACATAGCACGTACGAGGCAGTTGGCTAATACAGGACTGATGTGGAGAGGCTAGACAAATGATGTACTCTTGTACTTGACTGGCACAGGTTCAACAGTGTGTGTCAGCATTAGAAAGATTCGGCCATGAAATTCACTTGGTAACCTTAAACCCATTACCCTAACCTACTTCACAGGGTTGTTATGAAGTATAGTGGGGTGGGGAATCCATGCACTTTTTGAGCTCCTTTGGGGGCAAAGTGAGGTACAACTTTTTCCCCCAAAAGATGATGGGAGTCAATGGCAAACAACATGACCTCTAGAGATTCATCTATAAATGTGTGGGGAATCTTTTTCAGCATGAGGGCTATATTCCCCCATTGGCAACCTTATGGGAGTGGCATGCCAGTTTAGGTGGGACTAGAGACAGAACTGGGTGGAACAATAGGCATGACCACACACAAAAAGTAGGGTGTTTCTTTATGCACATACATCTCTCCACACTTTACTCTGGCAATTAAGAAACATTATCCCAGTTCAAGGACACATTCCAGTCAGTAAAAAGCTGATGAGGAGCATGACCTGTGGAAAGTCCCAGCGGCCAAACAATGAGGCCTGGAGGGTCACATTTGCACCCGAGGCCTGAGGCTTCCCATCTGTTCTAGAAGATGGAAATACAGTGGTACCTCGGGTTAAGAACTTAATTCGTTCTGGAGGCCCGTTCGTAACCTGAAACTGTTCTTGACCTGAGGTACCACTTTAGCTAATGGGGCCTCCTGCTGCCGCCGCACAGTTTCTGTTCTCATCCTGAAGCAAACTTCTTAACCCGAGGTACTATTTCTGGGTTAGCGACGTCTGTAACCTGAAGTGTCTGTAACCCAAGGTACTACTGTATATGCAACAATCCTGCACACCTGCTCAGTACATGATATGCAAAAGTAGTACATGGTATTTATAGAAGGGCTGTGGTGACACCATAAACTTCCAGGCTTGGGTTAAGGTTTGGATTATGATCTGGAGCTAGGAAGCACTTTATATGCAAATCAGAATGGCATAAGCTTCTTTGTAGAATGTACTCCCACATTCAGCACAGGAGGTAAAAGCAGTGGATAGCTGGATACATCAAAAACACATCACTTGTGCAAAAGGTGATGGACTGAACTTTGAATGCTTCAATTTTACTCAGAAATTAGTACTAACGAAACTAATGAAACCACTGAGAAGTTTTATTACAATCAAGCAGTAAGTATATACTTACGGGTACTGAGAATCAGAACTAGAGAGTACAGCTACAGTGTGTGTGATACAGTCAATACAGCTGCCGTACTTGGTATGGGCTGTGTTTGGGGAGAGGGTTATATGAGAATGAGGAAGACACTCTCCTGCAGGAATGTATGATACATACCACTTATACTGGCTGTAAAGGTTTTTTCTCTACCCTGTATACCCATACTGTGGGCAGTCATACAAGCATAAGCTTTTCCAAGTGAAAAGATCTTCGTGAACTAAGTGTCAGTCAGTCAACACTTTATATGCTGAAATGAAAGGTCACTGCAAGAGCGTCCCATGAATACATTTGACCCACATAACTTATACCCAATAGAGTGCAAAAGTATCCCATGAACACATTTGACCCACATTACCTTGTTTGTTTATTATATTTCAGACATGTTTGTTTACGTATTTATTATATTTCTAAACTGTTCTTCACCTGAAAGGAATCCCGGTGTTATATACAGCAAGTAATAAATACAGTAACACAATGCTGTTTTAAAGTCACAGACCATAAAACCAACTTACAGCAAGTACCTGACATAAGCAAAACCCAGAACTCTGTCTACAGAGACATCCCAGACTCTTAAGAACAATGATTCTGCTAAAGGGTGGTAAAGTGCTATTTATTATTGTACCTCCTCTGCCTATGGTGGGAACAAAAGAATTATAGAACTAATAATAATATTAATAATAATATTAATAATAATAATAATAGACACCCTGCTCAGGTGTAGAAACTCTTCAAGCCAATCCACCTTGGAGACAGAAACTATGACCACACACTTCCAAAGCTGCACAAAAGTGCAACGCGGTTAATGGTCTCATTACATTTTTGCCTTCGCAACTACTGTACTACATAATGCTTAAAAGCCTGGCTTTAGTCCCTAAGCAGCGACAGTAGGGACAACACGCACACAAATAGGGAAAAACGTGGAAGAGTTTCTTTAAACTGAAAGGCGAAGCGTGACTTGCGGAAGGCGAGAGAGGAGGGTGCAACTTAACCACAAGGGAAGTCCTTTTTTAAAAAACAGCAGCACCAGCAGCAGCAGCGTCTACTAACTGCCCGGGCGTATAAAACGCAGGTGCAAAACACACGAGCCCGCTCGGCGCCGCTTGCAAAGCGAGAGCGCAGCGCCGTCTCCCCGCACGCGGGGGCGGTGTAGGCGGGCCTTCGTGAGGGGGGGGATGGGGGCAGAGCAAATGGGGTCGACACGTTAGAACCGTGGGGGGCGGTTGCGGAGGGAGGGCGAGGGGGCCGTCGAGGGAGGCGGTGCCAGCAGCCCCGAAAGGGCCCTCGGTTCCCGGCGGCTACGCACCGTGTACTCCCGCACTTGGCTGTGGAAGTTCTGCTCGCGGATGGTCACCTCGTCCGCGTCCATCCTCTCATCGCCGCCTCGCAGCCCCCTCAGGCAATGGCGGCCGCCGCCCCAGCTCCTCCTGCTTCCAGGGCGACGGGCGGGGGACCATGGCAGGGGGCGGCGGCGGATGCCCCTGACACCTGGGGGGGGTGAGCGGGTGAGGGAAAGAGGGCGGAGGGGGCGGGCGTGAGGCGCGGGCACGACGCGACACTTAACGACGCGCGCCGCCGCCGCCTCCTCGCTCCCTCGGGGTCTGTCACACACCGTCCTGCGGCTGAGGGGGGCGGATCGGACAACCTCTCTGAGGGGGTACCTCGCTCAAGGGTGAGGCTGCGCCTGCGCGGACAAGGCGGGGGCCCGCCCGCGCGAAGGGCGGGCAGGGGGCAGGGCCTCCGCGACCGCGGCGCTCGAGGAGGAGGGCGGGGCTTAAGCGGCGGGGGTGTGGCTACCGCCGCCTCTTCTGCGTTGCAAGGAGAGAGGCGCGCGAGCAAAAGCTGCGAAGAGCGCCCGCGCGCCTCTCGAGGGCGGAGCTTGCCAGCGGGAGTGGGCGAGGCTGTGGAGTTGTTGACTTAGGAAGAGAGATTGGGTAGAGGTGGAGCCAAAGATGCAAAGTGAGGCGGGGCTTAGGCAAAGGTTTGCGGGGTTCGAAATAGGCGGAGCCAGTGTGCCTATTCCACGAGGAGGCGCAGGCGCTGATGTTCTTAAGAGCGGAAAGCCCACAGCGCAGCAGGTGCATGCTTATTCCCAGTACTGTACAGGAAATTTATGTTTGTCTGGACTAGATGACTCTTCGGGTCCCCTTCCAACTCTATAATTTTATGATTCTGAGGTGAGGCGACGGCCTCTAGTGGCAGGATCCACAGGTAGCACAAGATCCCCCCCTCCCCGATGTTCTAGCTTTCCATGTACAGTACAGTGGTACCTCATGTTACATATGCTTCAGGTTACAGACTCCACTAACCCAGAAATATTACCTCGGGTTAAGAACTTTGCTTCAGGATAAGAACAGAAATCATGCAGCGGCAGCAGGAGGCCCCATTAGCTAAAGTGGTGCTTCAGGTTAAGATCAGTTTCAGGTTAAGAACAGACCTCCAGAACAAATTAAGTTCTTAACCCGAGGTACCACTGTATATGAAATTTATATCCAAAAGAACACTCGGGTATTTCCCCCAGCTTGCAGGCTAAAATGGTACAGTCCAGTAAGTGGTGCTTCTACTGTTTAGTGTGAGTCACTTAGTCTGAACCAGAGTCCAAAAAACTGTTCCATCTTTAAGTAACAGCAATGACACATCCGTAGGAATGACACATCTGAAGAAGGGTAACGTAAGAACTCTCTCTTGACCCCTCTGCATTCTTAACGTGTTGATTGCCGTGCGTCTATCAAGTTCTGTCAGCCGGTGTCCCTAATAAATCAACCACATTCCTTATGACTGAATAGTTGGCCCCTATGGAACCGAAAAGCAAAATGAAAACAGTATTTTTCATTCTCATTATTTGAAAGCAACTTGGTGATATTCAAGGGGCTTGCAGTTTGGCACATTTACAGAGATTAGGAAGGAAGACTCCTTTATGGCTGCAAGATAGAGAGGATGAACCAAGCTGCTCCCTCTTTCTAGTTTAAGATGCACAAGGTCCTAAGTTTCATCCCCAACATATCCAGGTAAGGTGGGAATATCCCCGTCTGAAACCCTGAAGAGCTGCTACCAGTCAGTGTTGACAATATTGAGGTAAATGGACCAATGATCTGTCTTGTTATACAGCAGTTTCCTATGTTCCTAATTACTTTGGCTTTGATTTTCAGTTACTAGATAACCTTCCAACAAGAATTATTAATTAAGAATCTCACAATTGGTCTGTGATCATTTTTACATTTAGCAGATAGATGACGCTGGTTCCTATTTAGCTGTACATTTGTAATAGCATTACTTACTTAAAGAGACTGTAAGTACTGACATCATTTCCATTACACATCACCAGTATTTTGATAGATTTGATAGTCACTGCTGAGGGCTATTTAACAAATGATTTGAAACAGTTCATTTAGCTCATATTTGTTACACTTTGCTACTATGGATGTGTTAATGTTAAAACTGTCAAAACGTGATATTTAACTCAGTAATAGAATCATTGTTCCTAGGGTAACAATTCATTGTCCCAAACTATCTATACTTATCTATTTTAATTCATTCTCACTCATTGGTCACTTATAAATCTTCAAGTTCACTTTTGCTAGATGTATGCATCTAGAATAAATACCATCTGCCAAAATTGCACTAAAAATTGTATATTCTTGTATTTAAAATGTATATTCTTATTTCTTAGAACAGCCTGATTTCTGTGTGCTATTCATTGTGTTCTCATGCTTTACCAGCCCAGCCCAGGGAATCAACCAATCTGCATGGATGGATATTGTACAAATGTGAGGATTTGGGCTTCATCATCTCTGCAAATATACATGTTCACATCACTAGTGGAAGAAGCATCTGAATCAGCACTACAACAAATATTCCAACAAAATCAGGAAAGGCTGAAAAAGTTGGATATCTTCAGCCTGGAGAAAAGCAGCTTTGCTGGTGTTCTTGCTTGAGTAGCAGTGGATGTCTTTTGTTCCTTTGGCTGGTGAATGGGGCCAGAATGTCCTTTCCATTTTCTTGTGCAGTCCCAGGGCAAGTGACAACTGATTCATTCATTCATGCAGAGATTGTGAAAGCGACCTCCCTGTGGCTGCTGCTTTGGACAATGGATGGTGGCAGACTGGTCTCCTGCTTGCAGTGATGTTCTTTCTGGAAGGCAGCCTCCCAGGAACCATAGGTCCCCTGACATGTTCAGTTTGTTCTCATTAAATGCATGTTATGGATCTGTACACACATGAATTAAACATGGCCTGGAGATACAGTGGTACCTCGGGTTAAGTACTTAATTCGTTCCAGAGGTCCGTACTTAACCTGAAACTGTTCTTAACCTGAAGCACCACTTTAGCTAATGGGGCTTCCTGCTGCTGCCACGCTGCCGGAGCATGATTTCTGTTCTCATCCTGAAGCAAAGTTCTTAACCTGAAGCACTATTTCTGGGTTAGCGGAGTCAGTAACCTGAAGCGGATGTAACCTGAGGTACTACTGTACTCTGTTAATTGTAACTGCAATGTTCTAAAGAGATCTAAGCTTGAATCCAACCATGTGCAGAGTTCTGCTCACATAATGGAACTTCTTCTCCTGTCCCCTTAACACCCCCCCCAACGCTTTGGAACAGATTCTGAGAGTGGGGAGGGAAGAGGAGGTAGAAGTGCCAATACCATTCCCCGCAGTCACCATGACATGCACAGGAAGTACAGCAAAATGTGAGGTTTTTAGTATGTGTCATGAAACAGGATTTCTTTTTTTCCCCAGAACTGTTCTGGATTTCCATTGCATGCCATGGTTCTCCTGCTCTCTATCAATAACAGCCACAATAGAAATACATTATGATATAAATCACAGATAACATCCTTTTGAAAGTGCAAAGGGGAGTGATCTAAGGAAGTGCAGTCATTGTGAATTACTGGGCAGATCTGTTGAAAACATTTGACCAATAATTTATGAGCTTGGGGTATTTCTTGACATGTTTTTAATGTGGGAGTATGGATTTTTCAGAGTGAGCCATTCTGGGAAGTGTCCGTCTTGAATCACTCTAATTTCCGGGTTATTGGATGTATTCCATTCTAACGGTTTAAAGTTCGTGGAAAGCTAACTTTGTGTACAGGTTTTATTTCATAGTTGACCAATGTCCTTTTATTATCCGTTGCAGGGGCAGGGATGAGGCGAGGGAAGGGGCAATGCATCTTGCTAGGTTGGCCCTGCCAGGTAACACTCATTAGGCAAAATAGACTCGGGTGTGGTGGGGAATTGTATAGTAACTATTAAGTTTCAGGAACATGGAAAGCATTATGGAGGAGGATGTTGGGTGTGAGGCAGGACAGTGGCTTACCTTGGGCCATTCACTATCTCTCAGCCTAGACCACAAGCTGGTTGTGAAGCTAAATGAGGGAGTGGGAGAACCAGGTATCACACTTTGAGCTCTTTAGAGAAGGGGGAGATAGAAGTGTAATCAATAAGTAAAACTTACGTCAAACCATAGCAAAAAGATGTGGGACCTTTCAAACACCCATTAGAAATGGAACCCATATGTAATATTTTCATATTAAATGTGTCCCTGTATGTACTCCTGTGGTCATACAAAAGGCTGCTGAAAAGGTCAGAGACCATCTTGGTCAGGCATGGGCAACCTCAGCCCTCCAGATGTTTTGGGACTACAACTCCCACCATCCCTAACCACTGGTCCTATTAGCTAGGAATGATGGGAGTTGTAGTTCCAAAACATCTGGAGGGCTGAGGTTGCCTATGCCTGATCTTGGTTGTGAGTCCTGAAAAAGCTGCTCCTTGCCTTGGGAGGGTGGGACCCTGACTGACTCCAGCTACAAAAGCTGAGGCTGCTGAACAGACTCTTGGCCTGGGGTATTGTTTAGAGGGAGGCATTGCTGTTGTTGATGTTAATTTTTTATTATTTATGTGGCAATTGTTCAGTTTGGTTGTATACTTTTCAATGTTTTGTTTATTATTTATTACTACTTTTCTTTATGTTTGTAATTGTGTAATTTTTTAATATAAGCTGCCTGGAGCATGGTTTTAACTTTGGAAAGGCGCATACAAATAAAATGATTGATTAATTATCACATCCAAAGCAGATGTAGCCCTTCTGCATACAAACATCAGCCAAGGTGGACAGGACCCTCAAAATCCAATCTTGGTATTACCAACATTCGCAGTTAGAGATATGTTAAGTTCAAGGGGGCACTAACAATGGTGCGTTTCCATCATCAATTGAAGACAACCTGTTTACTCAGCCTTTGCCTGACAGTTAATAGCAGTGCCCGGTGTCCATAAATTGTGGGTGTTCAGCTGATGACAACTGTTGCTTTTTATTGAATATTTATGGTGTGAACTGCTCAGATGGATGGATGGATGGATGGACGGACGGACGGACGGACAAGCAGATAATAAAGTCATTGATTTCACTATTGAGTGATTTTTATTGATTATAAAGTTTTTATGCTGTGAGCTGCTTCAATTTTTCCTTTGTAAATGAAAGGCAGTATAGTAGATATCTTTTTGATCGATTGACTGACTGCATTTATATCCCATCTTTTTCTCCAAGGAGCTCAAAATTACATACATGCTTCTCCCCCTCCTTATTTAATCCCTACAACAGCCCTGTGAGGCAGGTTGGGCTGAGAGGCAATGGCTGGCCCAAGGTCATCCATCAAGCTTCATGGCTGAGTGGTGATTTGAACCCTGGTCTACCCGGCCGTAATCTGACACTTTCACTACTGCACCACACTGTTAGTATCGATAGTCAGGAGAACTTGACCCAAAATGAAGATAACAGCAGTTAGGACTGAGATTACCCAAAGTATAAAGGGGGGAAGGTTAAAATCCCACACTCAAATGCCATCTTCAGAATTTTATCTTCTGAACTATAGTCCTACAATTCTGATTCAAGGATAACCCTGCTCAAACCATCAAGGTCTCCTACTTCAAATGCAGCTTTAGAGAAAGCGGGTCCAAAAAGATGGGAATCCTATCATACACTGATAGAGGAGATGATGGTACCATATTCCAAACCTCACTACAGTTCCTTATAATGACCTGGAAGATGTGGCGCTGGGAGGCCCATATAGTGTGGAATAAACTAGGACCCT